TTTTTATATTAATTACTTCATTCCTACCGTGACGTTATCATTTCTAATGAGATTACCACTTGTCGTACGGTGAAGAAAATTATCGTGAGGAAACCTGCACGCATGTATGAGCTACCTAACTTAGCCTGTTTTGGAAAGACGCGTGAAGTCCAACCAGCACTTGGCCAGTGTGGTGGACTATGGTCTGATCCTCTCGTATTGAAGGGAGGCCCTTACCTAGCAGTGGGATGTTAAAAAGGGCTGGACACATACATTACTTCATTTCTATGTTTAGATATCCTAAAATATACTTGATGGATAAAAAAATCAGCTTAAAGAGAACACAAATTTATTGGACACTCATTTTTTACACGCTACTACTCACACACACGTCATAGCAAGACGTTTACCCTACGATTTGAACATTATCTGCGAATTCCTTCAGAGTAGGCACTGCCAATCATAAACTAAAATTAATATAGCATATTTTGCTAAGTACCCATGACATACATAAAAGGATAATGAGGAAACTGATCCTCTTAAATAATTTTGAATAGGTTTAATCGATATTAAAATTATTTCTATAATCGATAGAAAACAAAAAGTATATAGCATCACATATCCTGAAAACTTGACATAACGTTCAATGTTAGATATATTTTTTTCACTATCTTTCTTTTTAGATAAATTGTATATATATTTATATGTATGTATTTAATATATGTATGTTTCTCTTATATATTTATTTATGTACGTATATATGTAATATTATTGTACAGTTCTGTTTACGGTTTCATTAATCCTTTCACCAGAGGTTATCTGTAAGAGATTGCTCATAGCAGTAAGACCGCCTATACGTGTCTTTTGTTATCTTTGTTTTTCTTTTATTTTATGTATTATCCTTGCGTGCAATAAAGTATTTATAAATAAATAAAAAAAAACGTTTTCCAATACCGTTAGCGATTGTATAATGTCATTTTGTCAGACTGAATTCTTGTGAGAAAATTCTTAAATAAATCCCATAAATACATAAAAAGCTGTATTATTTAGTATCTGAACCAATATAAATAAATAAATTAATTTAATATAGTTATTGTTACAGAAAATACTTATTTCTATTGATAATCTTCACCAACAATAAAAGGCAGATTCTATGAAAATATAAAGGTTTTGTTTTTATTTCAGATTTTATGATCAACTGATAAAGTCTGCTAAATAGAATCAACTCGTATGAAAAACAACAAAAATATTAATATCTCATACTGTGTCATAATTCAATCATATATAGTTACTAATATTATAAAGAGACAGAATTTGTTTGCTTGTTTCTTTGTTTGTTTGAACGCGCTAATCTCAGGAACTAATCTAATACTAATCCGAATTGAAAAATTCTTTTTGCATTCGATAGCCCGTTTATTGAGGAAGGTATAGGCTATATACCATCATGGTACCTACTGCCAAAGGTAGCGGAGCCCTAATCATAAATGTCAATAAATCGGGCAGACTTCCATACATTATTACTAATAGCTTTATGCCAAAGAGTTTTTATTGTAGTTTTAGTGCGAGCGAAGCTGCGGGTGATGCTAGTCGTAATTATTAAATTAAATTTATCAAAATATGTCCCTTGAAATTGAACTTCCAATAGAGAGAAAATATTTGGGCAAAGTAACTTAAAGCTTTACATTTTTTACATAGGACACACAAATGCAAATGTCATATACATATTTAAAGTATTTTTGATAAGAACTTAAACTACTAAGTGAAAAAATAATCGCAATAGTTTAACTAGTAGTAGTAACATTTTAAGTTAAGTTAATCCATAGTATATTTCAATATCTAATAGTAATTATTCTTACCATATTGTTGTATATTATTAATAAATATATTAAAAACCAGCACCATATGAAGTTAATAATAATTAAATTACTGAATTTTAAATATTAAAGGTTCTGTATAATTTTCTATAATAATAAAATATAGACAACCACAAATATTTATGGATATAGTTATAGCATAACCCAAATTCATTCATCCCTATGGATTATCGCTCCCCGAAGAGACGTCACGTCACAAGGCCACGTCCGAGCCATCATTGTCGGATAACTTGGTAAAAATACCAAAAAATACGCCAAATTTATTTGTCAGAACCTAATTCTTGAGATCTCACGTCGCTCTGCCAGTCAAATTTAGGAACAGGGTTATCAAATTGTGTATGGTATATTAAAGTATTGTGAGTTTGCTATGAATTAGTTTTAGGAAGTTTCTCTGATGATATCTATAAATTTAATAAAACCATGTCTAATTTAATGCATATTTTTTAATTTGTACTTTCACTTTTATAAGATTCAATCATCACACTAGACTAAAGAAAATCTTATGAAATCTTAAATACAAATATAAGATATCCGTATATATAAATTTTCAATATCATAAAATACATAGCTAATAGTAACAACATTTTAGTTAATAATCTAGAAACTTTAAGATTTAAATAAATTGTAACTGATTGAAATATTATTTGAATGAACTGGTATTTAATGGCCGACTGATGTACAAATGCCAAGTGAATTGAGCCATGTATCAACCCTGGCTACTTAGACAAACAGACTTCTTCGTGCGACTGACAGCCGGCGACATATTTTATTCACGTCGCACCGCTCGTAATTCCGTCGATGCAGATAAATTGTTTTACCGCGGTACTGCGAGAGAGGCCACGTCCCAGGACTTTGGCGTTTGCATGATGAGCTCGTTTTTTATGCTCGAATAAAATTGTGTTAGCCGCCGCCACCGAAGCGACGTGTGAACACCGCCCGTGGATTCGCAAGAAATTGTTTTCGGAAGCCTGCTTTGATATTTATGAAAGTTGGCATGTCGAGGCATCCGTTTGAGTGAAGGGTACGCGGTGGATTTTTAGAATCCCCTGGACGGGCTATTTGACTTATTACTTCCTTTTATGTGAGAAGGAATTTTGTGGTCAAAGATGAAATTTAAAAGTAAGACCCCATGAGTAGTAACACGGTTACAAATTCTGACAAGCTTTACATACATTAATGACTGAATTGGTATCGCATATACGTAAATGGCGACACTGTTGCTTCATGCTCGTCGCGGGACCGTCGTTGCGAGCGCTATCAATATTAAATCTTGCGTCAGGTAAACATCTGTACTCGAAGGCAAACGTAGAGGTTTGATCATGACTGATTCCATTAGTTAACTCACGAGATTTCATGTTTGTGTAGTGAATGCGTTTACCTAATTTTACGTTTCCCCGAATACTTAACTAACGAGCAAAGCGAAATTTAGTTAAAATTTAACGCCATCAGAATTTAATGTCGTAAGTATTCGCCAAAAAGGAATTCAATGTTGACCTCAACCCGCACGGTTTCATAGAGGATTATTATGTTTATACTGAAAATAATGCGCGCTTGCGGCGTTCGAGGCAAATATTTGAAGACGCAGTCAAAGGGTGGGTTTTTGCGAAGGCCCTTTGAGCCGGCCGCGGTCTGCGGTCAGATAAACCGATTAGCCGTTGTACTTGGAGACTCGCCGAGATATAGTCGCCGTAGTTGAGTGGCACTGGCTAGAAAAGTAGTTAAAAATACATTTTATAAAAGTAAAATTAGCAGCATATTACTAAAATGTAAAGTTGATAAGAAATTTTCATTACTAAAAAAATTGCTAATATGTAGGTAATAATTATAAACATTGACTAAAGAGTATTTTACGTTTATTTATGATACGATATATTACTCTTATTTTTGTTAAGATTGTAATTTATATCTTAAGAACATATATTTTACAATTTTTCAAGTAGGTGTATTATCAGTTTTAAAAATTCAATAAATCAATATTTATTTTTAGATATATACAATTCTTAAGTGAAATGTTTCAAATAAAAATAGTAATCACTCAAAACTTACTTGGTGCTTCTTCCTTAACATGACGAATGCAACAGCCTACATTGAAACAAAAACATAGATATTTCTATGCTAGAAGTGAACTAGCACATCGACAGACTTTTTAAATATAAGTATTTATTATACATAAATAAGGTTAGTTTTAAAGTCTGAGAGCATCCTGGAGTCTAAGGAGCACTGACAAGCGTGTATAAGAAAAAAATAACAATTAAAAAGTAAAGAGGGCATACCTCTGAGATTTAACCTTGTTATTTCTGTACAACGCATAAATATACCTATGCATAATTATAAAATAAGATAATATAATTAATCGTCTTGGATCAACAAAATTTTGAAACGAGCATGACAATTCATCTGTCTTTACTTTATAAAATTTATTTGTGTAGGTACCTACTACATAAATATTTGCCAATTTTCTAATTACATTTACCTACACTTAGATTATAATGTTATTTTGCTATTTGCGCCTTGTCTTTTCCAAGAAATTGTTTCTTCGTCCTGTTGACTTATTCAAGAAGACTCGCAAAGGCTTCGCGGCACTCCACCTGCGGTAAGGTGTAACTTAACGAACCCTCTCTGAATCTTTAATATAGTTTCGTTTAATGCCGGCTAGTTGCGAAATTTACGAATAGCCCACGTTTATTTTGAAAGGCATCCGTTTTAAAGTAAATTTGAAAACCCGTATGTTTGATCCCAAACCTCACTTTAAAATTACCTTGTCTTAATTCTAGAGAGCGTGGAAACAGCTAAGTTTGTTTCATAGATACAATTCTAGTAAAAAGATTACGTTTAAAAATACTATTTTACTTTTTAATATATTATATAAATAATATAATCAGAGAAAACAGAATATTCTGCCTTCTTGGAATACCGTTTTAAAATTCAAAGCAATTTATGTCGTAGTATTCATAGAAAATCACAAGAGTCGAATTAATTCCATTACCAATACAAACAAGCACCTTTAGGACAGGTACCCCGTTCACAAACGAAGCACTCGGTTCCCTACTTGGCAAATTAGATTTCGCATAAAGCCTATTTTAATTTGCGCTGTCGCTAAACATTGCGAGCTCTTTAATGTTTAAGCGGGCGCACAAACTTTCCCTATTGACTCTGTTCAGGCCGCGGCGACGGCCGGTTGACATTCGCGTACAAAGCAAATATGTTCTTGGTGGCGCGACCCCGGCCGGGCGCGATAATAAGCTTACCGGCGGAGGGCGCCGCCCTGCGTCTCCGCCCAACCATTGTCGTATTATTAAATTCTTTTGTTGTTATACTACAATGGAATTTTCAGTTATTTACATGAGGTCCGAACGCTGAAATTACAAAAATCCCCATCTTTGCTTAGGATTTGCAATATGATTCACAAGAATGAAATGCTCAACTTTTGTCTACACGAAATTCACAACGTATACTTATAGATATACATGTATATGCATAACTAATTTTCAAAGAGTTGTTTCAGTTTTATATGAAAAGTTGCACGACGCAGGTGTTCTAAGCTGCGTACCGCTTACACTGTGTAAATTGCTCAAGTGAAGGCAATTATAAAATAAACTGAATTTTAAGCGTGGAAATCTGAGCGCTCACCCTTTATGAATTTAGACTTCTAAGCCGGGGTGGGCTTCATTTTGAGAACACACTCCGTATAACAATAAAACTCATTAAATCGCTCGTGCGGTCGCGTTTTATAAATGTTTCACGTATTAATAAAATTAACAAAGCAGAGGTGGTATGCGAGAGGGCTATTTTCCGACAAAGCGTCGGAGCGGAGTACAATGGAATCTAAAATAAATACGAGGTCTTTAGCAAACAGAGCGTACAAAGGTCCACCTGGCGAGAGAGTGCAGTGAGGCTGAGGCGCTGCTTTCTGTACTGTTGAAAATTAAGTGGCTGCGACGGACTTCAATTAATGCCCGCGAGGCGTCTGCCGGAAGCGTCAAGCTGCTACACATGTTACTCTAAGGCTTCTTTTAATTACGTTTACTATTCGTAATAATTAAAGGTTGCCAGAACGTCATAACGATAGTATATATGTATTTTTGTATTAGTCTGCGTCGATGAAAAGTTGAAAGGTGAAAAGTCGTTGAAAAGTCGATAAAAAAAAGATCTTTCTTCATAATAAGAATATCTATAAATATATTACAATATAAAACCAGAACTGTACTGTGTATAATTGTACAAACATATATTATAACGTAACATATTTATCCAATCTTTCCTTTATTCACCCCTCCTAATCCTCATGTTATCTTTTACAAAAAGCCGTTTCTCCAAGTCTACAAAACGTATCTCGACCCTATATTGGCAGATTCGTATCAAGTCCAGCGTTGAGTGTCGACAAACCGCTGCTTATCGCAAATTACACCGTTTTACTAGATCCTCTCAAAAATTACGAAAGGTAGAGCTTTTTCACAGCTATTCCGTTGCCCCTACTAGAGACATTTTCATTTTTAGTTTCATTATATTATGCGTTTGAAAACTCAAGCTGGACTCGAGTAAAATTATTTAAAAAAATTGTATTTAAGAAAAAGTTTAAAAGAAAAAAAAATATCTATTTATAAATATAAACAAGATATTATAAACAAATATTATACGTATTTATAGGAACTAAAAAAAATTTATTTGAAGGGCTTAAGACGATAATCTTATTTTGCGCTCTAGCTAATTACCTTTATTATTTTAAAATAGCTTTTTTTATATTCCAAATTCATAAATCGTTATTTTTTTAACATCTTCCTTGTCTAAAAGTATACTGAGTCATTATTTAGTCGCATATCTCCCTGCACCCAATAAAAAATTACGTCTCTTAGTAGGGATTGGAGTTAAGCAATCGTCAGTTAAGCCCGGGCGGTGGATTTTATTGCCATTCGTATTGTCGGCCAGAGATTTACTTTGACATGTCGAAAATTCGTTTGTCTCTTCATCGATTTATTTCTCTATTTCAGTTTTCACCATTCTACTTTGTCGTGAAAGGATTAGCATGCCGGGATTCCATTTTTGTGAAAAAATCAAGCGGATAAACTCTATTTTTGAACGTAGATGTTTTAAATTAAATTGAACTTATTTGGTGTCAGCAATATGGACGAAGGTAATATTTATATATAACTAATAGTCGATTAAGCTAGGCTATGTTTTTAAGGATGGAGCTTTCTATAAAAATCTATGCTTTGCATTTATTAAATGGATTAGAACAAGAAGCGATGAAGTGTGTAAGTATATTCGATATTTACATTACTATAATGTCACGTACACAGTATAATTTGTATAGTATGTATCCTAGACTACTCTTGTATAAGTACGTTCACGTTTCGTTGAAAATATTTAAAATTTTGGTACAAACTTCCTTAAAATAACAGTGCTTTGTTAGAACATTAACATGCAAAGAATGCACATACGTGTATCGGTTGATATACACCGGTTAGCACATTAACGGTGTTTCCTTTGTCTGCACTCGAATTACGGGGAAAGGCGAAAATTTAAATACCCGCCGGGACTGTTTTACATGTAAGAGATGCACTTTGCATGTAATGCCGCGATTAAATGAGGCGACACGACGCTCTGATCACAGAACGGCTAGAAAAATATGATGTGTTTTTTTTATTTTGACATAAAAATCTATATAAAATACAGATAATAATATATTCTAGCCTTTATCGTCGCGTTTCGTCGCTTTAAACTAAAACGTTAATTGTATAATTCCAAAATATAAATTATATGTTACAAATGTAACTATTATGTGTTATTTTATAATTTGCTTTAACATTTACATAATATTCTAAAAATAAAGGTATTAAAAATCATCAATACACATTTCTGTTGTTAATGCTAGCGAGTTGAAAAATATTGTATTATAGCCCCTCCATTTCCATATACTCCTTCATATCGTATTCGGTTAAAAGCGACAATTTCGTGGTGCAAGACGTGAGTTCTATTAAAACACCTCATTCTCTACGGCTGAATCACATTACAAGTCAATTAGGCTAGCTTTCGAGTCTTTTATATGGTGATGCTTGTTCTATTTTTAATTTTTGAAATAGGTTATGAGCAGTTATTGTAACATGTAAAAAGAAATTTACTATTTAATTGAGAGCACTCTGTTTTTCCTTTTAACATCTTTATATTAAGGGTTTTTAATTTGTATATTAAGGGTTTTTAATTTAGATTTTTTTTAATTTTTTATAGCATTAAGATAGTGTGATAGTGTTTTAAACGTTAATTTTAATATATCATAGGCAAAGTCAAAACAGTTCAGTATCTTTTGCTCCTGTTTGTCAAGCATTTTATTTTTGTTTAGCTTGTGTTATGATTAAAAAAGTGGAAATAGTTCTTATATAGATTATATTAGGTAAATTGTATTCATACAGGTTAAATCAAATTTTCAATAATGATTATGGTCGACCACTAGACGAACACTAGTTTAAATAAACACTTCAAGGAACTCTTCAATACTCACTTAAATTGGGTTGAATTTTATATAAGTCAATCAACTGTAGACGAATCGTACTTGCCAAAACCTAATAGGTATTTATCATGAACGAATTGTGGCTAATTCGTTCATGGTATTTATTATAGAATTAAAAAATATAATGTATGAGTCAATATTATTTTACTGTTTTATAATAAATACATTTAAAATTATTACATACTAAGAATTCATCGGCCCTCGTTACGAACTAACGAACGAACAAAATCGAAGAAACGAATCGTTTCACATTTAGAAACTTTTAGGTTTATTTTAATGACATAGGAGAAGAAACACGTTAAAAGAGACTTATTTACAACTAGCGACTAACCCTCGGTCCGCTCGAGTTCGTCCCTAAATACGTTTTAACAGTTAGTATATATTTCTCAGAGATGAGATATTTTCACGCAGTAAAAAGTATCCTATATGTTGACCCGGAAAACCAGCTATCATCATACCAATTTTCATCAAAATCTGTCTGGGAACGCATCACGAGAAACTCACTTCTTGTGATGCGTTCCCAGACAGACAAACAAACAGACAAAAATTGTAAAAACTACTTCGGCTACAGTTACGTATCATTTTATTGTTTAGATAAATATATAGATTTATTGCACAACATTATTATAATATAAATAGTTTGAAATATATATTAACAGTGAATATATTAATAGTTTGAAATATATTATTAATAGGTAAATAAATTAACAGTGTACACTTATAAGGGCTGGTCTGAGCAACGATCATTAATTTAATACTCTAAAAACAAAAAAATAGACATAAACTATGCATAATTGGCAAACAAATGGAGGAAATGCATTTTATTGCCTTGTAGTTTTTATAGATTAAAATTTTTGATAACTACGAGTTGCATTTTGGATTTCTTAAGTCAGAATAACAAAGCGAACCGTTATTTTAAACGTATTAGTTTATTTGATATTTCTATCTGTATTTTATCATAAGTCATAACCAATCCAGTACTTCATGTTTATCAATAAAAAAAAAAGATTTTAAGTAGGTAATTTATAAATTAATGCAATTGAGTAAATGTGATGTTTGTAATATTATAGAGAGGTAAAGTTTGTGAGTTCGTGACGTTTTGGGGGGTAATCTCTGGATTTACTGAACCGATTTAGATGAAATTTGGTAAGAAGAAAGTTTGAGCCCCTGGAAAGGACATAGGATATCTTGGAAATCATCCCTTAAGGGGGTGAAAATGGGGAAAATGAGTCGCTAGTTTTAAAATAATTACAAATTATATATTATCTACAAAACCGAATCAGTATCCCTAAGAGTAGAACATTTCCTTTCTATATTTATGTTATAAAGTATTTATGTACGTGTATTTAGAAAACTTCAATTAATAAGAAAATAATGCATTTATTTTAGACACACATGAAAAATCATTTTTTTGTAAGATTATATTATTTTGGTAAATTACTAATGGAACCCAGCTATTTAATTGTCTTGAAAATTACTCAGTATTTTTATAGAATTAAAAGTATAAATATGTACTTACGGTACCGCTCGTACCGTGAAATAAATTGGGTCTAATAGATTTTACATTTAATTTTAAGATAAAGCTCAATTTATTTTATAGGGAAAAGGAACTTAGTACAAATACCACTATTACTGATTTCTTTACATGTCGTAGATAAGTAAGACGTTAAGCCGTTTCGGTCACGATTTTTCCGAGGGGCGTAAACGGACTCTGACCAATGACCGTCTTGGAGGGAGGGCTGATATGATGATAACATTTAGCGAAATCAGCTTTGCGGCCTAATCCATATAAATAATATCTAACAGATAGTCTTTACCACACTCAGAAAAGTCAAACATTATTAAAATCAAAAATTAATACATTTAAATTCTTGTATTATTTGTAGATGCAATCAAATCTCAAATAACTATAATGCACCGCCTTAACTCACCTTTTGATTAATTTTATGTTACAACATATGTACATTTTGATGGCTCCTATAAATTGATATAAAATCATTTTATTGTGTCCACGAGCTGCAGCCTGCAGCGGCCGAACGACGGGCCCCATTAAGAAATGATGGAACTTGATGAATAAACGTAGGACATAAAACACAAAGTTTTACCTCAATAAGGAATGTTTAAGTGTCGTTATTTCAAACACCTTTATGTCTCGATGGGATAATTCATTTTCAAGTTGGCTCATTAATTAATTGGGCATCTACCGCGGAGGGCCGCGTGCTTTTTACGAGGACAATAAACTGACTCGAATAACTGTCGCCGCGGGTGGCGTCTTTATTTGTAAAGGCCACCGTAACACCACCATCACATTTCTACTATACGCATAATAAAGACTATCAAAAAGTTATAGTGTTTTTGGATATTTAATATGACGCACGTGTTATGAATGTTTTGTTATTTGCTTAAATAATGTCTCTCCTTTAAAACAGTGTATTACAGCTCTGTATACGTTACTATTTAATACAAATTTTTACAAAATGAAAATTACATTCTCATGTAAAAAGTAATCAAAGTAGCCAATTTTATGTATTATTTCAACATTTGAGTCAAATGTAAAATATATTTATGCCCCCTTTCTAATTTTGTGTAACTGAATTTTAGACCCGTCTTATGATTCTAGGCACAACAGTAGAGAAGCTTACTTTTATTTTACTCGACACAATTAAACAATTCTTACACCAATCGACTTTACGATCCCGCTTGCTTCAAGTGGCTTTTTAACGTCGCAATTGGTTTTACGGCATTTTACGCCAGAAATTTACAATTTTATTGCGATGAAATAATGTTATCGATCCGTGTTCTTTAGAATCTAACTTTATACCGAGCTGAATTCAAAAATAATGCTTGTTGTATTTTTATGATCAGCTTTATCTCTTGCAGATCAAAAATAGTTATTATATTAAAAGAAAAATATTAAATTTCTGAGTCGTTGTCTTATTTTTTGAAGTTATACCTCTTTTGGCACGTTTGGAAAAAAATATGAGTGTAAAATTTTTACGATGCGTACGCACACCGACAGCCAAAAAGCGACATGATGAAGTTAGCTGCATTCCTTTTACAAACGGAGAGTTGTGATTTTTGTTCTGTTACGCCAAATAAGTATAACTTCTTACGTGCGTACATAACTACACACGCACATATTTTTTTATATATTTTTTTTTCTTCACATTTTAAAGATTTCTTTATTTCGTTGAGCAAATAAAATATTCTAGCGATATGTGCAGAGATGCACCGCAAAGACGTACAGAACATAATGTGACAGTTTTAATAGCCGATGTAAATCAGTAGCACGCGCGGAGTTGGCAACTGTACCACCTGTATTTACGTTATTCATCTCGCCTCCGCAATTTTATAACTTTCAAAGTTAAAAGCGACGAAATTGTCGCACGCTTACAGAATATTACCCCTGAACGACATTGCTGGCATCAATCGAAAGGGAGACAAGAAAATAATTTATTTATTTATTTGTAAAAAGCACACTTACAACATGCATATGAAACGTTTTCAATTCAATTAATGTAATAATAATAAATCTTATACGCATGTCAATTATAAGTGTACATAGCATTTAAATATTCATGAATTAAAAGTACAAAAATTAAAAAAAAAAATTATTATTATTATTATAGATAAATGTCATAATACAAAAGAAATTGATAATAATACATAAAATAAGAAGTAAAATTAAAATCATCATTATAAACGAAAAAAAACGACAATAATTAAGATTTACAATCATGCAAATTGCCTCTATTTTTTTATTAAACCGGGATAACAATTTTTATTAGTATTATCTGAAAATGCTATCTTTGACACTTTATCATTCCTTCCCACAACAAGTAACGAATAAAGGTTGTTTAACAAAGAAGTTAGTAAAAAACATAGTACGGATTGGGGAATCGTAGATTAGGCACTTTTTTGTATGTTTGTATGTTAAATAGCCAGTTTCAAATGGATACGAATAGCTCTATGCTAGAGACCCTTGCAATTATCAATTGTAGCAAGTATCGATATTATTTTAAAATCAGCTGCACATTCATGTCACATTTATAATATCACAATAAAAAAAAACAATAAAACAAATGTCTAGAAGTGAGATCGGGTCACAAGAATGAAATAAATAAAAATATTACTTTAAAAATTATTTATTCATAAAATATTTCAAAAATTCAAATTCCGTTGTAAGCTTTATGTATATATAGTACACACTCTTAGCCACCATTTTTTCTTATAATATACATTACGGAATCAGGTACTTCCTTCACAAACATTACATATACATAAATAAATTATAATTTTATTATTATATTCCTTAAATGATACTACATAAATTATAATTCATGAACAGTCTAAAATACTGACACATTTTGCTTAAACACTTACTTATATTTGTACGACAAAATACATTGGAAACTCTATATAAAAAACTCAAAATACACACTCTCTATAATATATAAAACTTGACTTTGGCTAGTTTCCTAACTACACTATATAGATGGGTACATTTTATAAATATAATAACAGTCATAATAACAGATATTCTCAACTAGTGCCTCTAGGAAAACAAAAACAAATCTTTCCCACGGGAACCACACATTTATTCGGGATAAAAGTAGCCTATGTGTTATTCAATGCTATTGTTAGCCAATTTGGTTATTCGTATCCGTAGAAATATTATAAATGTGAAAGTTTGTGAGTATGGATTTTTGTGACTCCTTCACGCCATAACGGCAGGACGGATCTGGATGAAATTTGGCACAGAGAGAGGTTATAGTCGGGAATGACACATAGACTACTTTTTATCCTGGAAAATATTCAGTTCTCGTGTGATAGGTTTGTTTTTGTTTTTCTAGTGGCGAACCCGAGCGAAGCGAGGTGAACCGCTAGTTTCTCTATATAAAGTAAAAGGAAAACTTAGTCAAGTTGCACATTTAAATATGTGGGACATATTTACGCATTATTTTTAAATGATTTATAATTTTAGTGTCATATTTTATTTTATTCACTTTGATGAATATGAATACATACCTAAGACGTTATGAATGTATAACATAATATGAGAAACCGTAAAATGTTAATAATCATATAAAATTTACTATTATTCTTGGGCCTTTCATTATATAAGTTTCGGTAGATTTCAAATTTTTACTATCGTAATAATATCGTCCTATATAACATATTACGATATTTTTAAGATAACATTTATAAATCAAAACATTTTTGACTTTAAATATAAGTTTTTAAAAATAATTTGATATTATAAAAACTACTAACGACTATGACCATAGAAAACATTTGAAATCAAATTGATGAAAGCGTCAAGTTTCCTCAAACCTCTTCACCTTGGCACATTTCTTCATTCTAAGCAGTGCCCGACGCCGTCTTTCGCCCCGTTTACAAACATATTTTTTGATTGTCCCCGAATATATAATTGTTTTATTTTATGATTTTTATTGTTGCATATTTTTAAAAACTTATTAATTTAAAATTTTAATCAAAACTATCTTTTACATGGTCACGTAAATCTAAGGAAGTACTTTAAATAAAACTTTCTTTTCGAATTTTTTCGCGGAATTATTTAGATTTTTGGTTCCCGACGTTTCGATTGCTTTACAGCAATCATGGTCACGGGAGAGACTAAGGTTTCAGATATCTCAAAGGCATTAATTATATAGTTCTTATAGATAGCTTAACCACCAATAACTACGATAGTAGAAAAGATAGTTTTATCTAAAATGTCAAATATTCGCGTAAATCGAAGAAAAAAATATTCTAAGAAAGTACTTATTAATTTTACTATTAAAGTAATCACAGTTGTATTGCTTTGTAAAAATTTAATTACGGATTTATTCGTCCATTTTTTTTTATTTTCACTTTAATTCTATCCAATTAATATAGAATAAAAATACTTAGAAATGTAGTATCTAACTCCACCACTTATAAATAAAATTGTTCACAAGCAATTGTAGTATAATCAAGAACTAATACAATTGGTCCACTACAATTAGTGTATGTACTCGTACACTAAGAAATATTTTATTCCTGTTGTTTTTTTAATTTGCTAACACCTCCAGGTAAATTGTTAAAAAAATTATAAAATTTATAAGAAATCTATTGTTAACTGTAACGCCTTAAATAAAATCTAATCACTATTTTTGTTAAATACATACTACGTAATGTTTGTATATAAACTATTAAGTTAGACTTACTTTAATCTTTTTAGAGTCCTACAGAATTATTTTCCTTTGATGTCTCTAAACAAAACAACTATTTCAGAGTCCGTATTTACGTTACCGTCCGTAACATGTCATGTCAACAGTTATAGAAAAAATACACGAATTCATAATATTACCGTTCGATTTATTCCAATATTAGGTCTCTTTCAAAATTTTCTACAAAAAACTTCGCGACTTTAGGTGTTTTTATTATTTTTATTTCATTCTATACATGCAAAAATGCTCTATTGTCTGCAATCTCCATAAATTGACTTAACTTTTAAAAAAGGATGCCGATTATTAATATTATATGTATAGTAATAAAAAGACCTAAGACTTTAAAAGAAAAATCAGGCGAGAATTACATAACGTATACATATAATTGACTATTATTGTGTTTATTGGCTATGTATATTCATATAAATATAGATTTAAAAATATTTGTCCAAAATTATATATGTAAATTCCATACCCTGTTGCATCTAGATTTTCAGTATAGAAGAAAAAGTTACGTAATATTATTCAGTATACTTAATCACACCATTTATATTAATAAAATTAAACAAATTATTAAATATAATTTATAATACTTTTAAATTGATCAAAATATTTTTACTTTCAATGAAACTTATATTCATATTATTCGACTTTTTTGTAGATAATTTTCTCAATAAAACTTTTATTAGATTATTATTATATTATATAGGTAGAATTAAATAATAGAAAATATTTTTTATACTAAAAAATCTAATGAAAAAATATTTTTGTACGCTATACTGTAATTGTTTAATCATTCTTATTGCTTAAAATATTTAAGTACTCAAAATGAACTAATTTGTTTGTGGTAAAATACATATGTATGTATATAATACAAAAATATATCTTTTTAAATATCTACATACACTATAAAACTAATAAATATTTATTTACATATATTCTAATAGGTCCTTACTTGTCCACATCTGGCATATCACCTACTTGCTTCTCCATTCTATTCAATCTGTAACACAGTAACATAGCGCTAAGTAAATCTATAAAGAATATTTTGCATGAAAAAAAATGAAACGCGCTGAAAAAACTAGTTAGAGAGATCAGTAAATACATCTATCTAATCTAAATATCTAAGTAATTATATATTTTATATATCACAGATCATATAATACTATACTAGTAATTTTACGTAATTGCCTCGGTGGTCCTGGGTTCGAGGCCCGGGTCGGGCCAAGTTTAATTACTGAGTTTTTCTGTTAAGATAGTTTACCTACCTTTAAATTAAAATTAACTTATAGTCCACTTAAAAAAAAATAATGAATTCATTAATAAATTATTATAAACATGCAAATTATTTTGTTTTCTATATTGTGATTAATATATAATAATGAAACTATTTATAATACTGTTAAATAACTCTATTTCTTTTTAATAATTAATTTATATTAATTTATCGAATAGTGCATTTCAGTTTTTAATTTCTTATTATCCTTTCATTTATGAAACAGTAAACGCATGTTGTGATTACCTCTAAAAAGGAATACAATTATACAATGTTTAATTTATTATGTAAATTATCTTTGTATTACTGTTGTAATTCCTGTTGGTAATCTTTAATCTTTAAATAAATAAATAAACGAAGGAACGAAAGAATGAACGTACGAACGACCGACCGACCGACTGACCGAACAATTATATATAAATAATATATTCTCAGTAACAGCCCGGAGTTGGCAGGTTGGCGGTGTTTCACCCCCGTGCCTCGAAGTATCGTCCCATCGGACTTTGAGAGACACTACACAAGACACACACACTGCACTATATATATATCTCCTACGAATTTGGCTAGTCTCAGTGAGATTGGCCGCCGTGGTCCAAATCGGTCTGGAGGGCATTATATGTATTTGAAATTTGTGTCGTTCATACGTAATATTAATTTAACACAAACCTTATCTGACATATGTTCCATAATAAGCGGCGCAGATGGCGCTGGCGGGTCCACCTCTTTAGTGTTTAAGTTTCGTCTTGTCATTCCAGAATTTTCGTGAGCTTCTTTCGGTAAAAATCTCCACATAACGGGTGTGAATAATTCAGCATCCATCTTAGAAGTATCTCTTTTGTCGAAAAACCAGCCGATGATGGCGCCTACTACCAGCGTGGCGACAAGACCCAGGGGAGCGATCCAATGGTACGACACGCGGAATAGTGGAAATATTGTTTCTGGGTCCTGGTGACATGAAATACAATTAGAGCTTTGTTATATAACTACAAAGTTGATGAAAGTGGAATCAAGTAGTAATACGCCTGCGTGGTTATCTAAATAATCAAGTGAAGTGTGTTTAAACGTGGGTTCAATACTCTTAAGTGGGTGATCAATCATTTCTCAAGTAAGGGATATAAAACTCATGATCCCTATATATTTAAAGACGAGTAGTCCATGTATTCCATACTAACCGTTAAAACGTATCTAGTACCCGTAAAGCGCGGGTAAGCCGCTAGAATAACATAAAGTTATTAAAGAACTTCTGTAAGAGACTCACAAAATTATCGTGCACAACAAAAGTGGAGTTGGCCGCACACGCAGCGGACAGGCCGAGCGGCGGCGCGCGCAGGCCGCGCGCGGCCGCCGCCTGCGTGCCCAGCGACACCGTGCCCGCCAGCAGCGCGCCCGCCGCCGCGCCCGCCGCCGCGCCGCGCGGGCCCACCCACCAGCACGCCATGCCCAGCGTGAACATGCCGCATGTTGCGCTTGCTGCGATCGCTGATAGAGCTGTCGCTACCCCTGCATAGAATTATACTACTATACTAATATTATACAGAGGTAAAGTCTTTGAGATTGAGACGTTGTAGGGGGTACCTAATCTCTGGATCTACTGAACCGATTTACATGAAATTTGGTAAGAAGATAGTTTGATACCCTGGAAAGGACATAGGATACTTTATATCCCAGAAATCATCCCTTAAGGTACCACCTAAAATGGGAATGATAGTTTGTGTGGGAAATCAAACTAGGACGAACCCGAGCGAAGCGAGGGCGAGTCGCTGGTAGTATATTATTTGCTAATTATTATTATTAATGAGTAATTAATCACTCTATCTGACTGCTATTGTAAATGTGAAAGTTGTTATGTATATATGTGTGTTTGTATATTTGTTACTCCCAAAGTTCCTGATGCCGCGCCAGCAGTCGCCCACTTAGGCCCTCCCCGCTGACAAAGCTATCGCTATGCCTACTTTGGGTTCCTTTTGGAAAGTGAATTGTTTACAAGTTATATGCTGTTATTATTATATTATTAATGAATTTTCAATCACACAACAATTATAAATGCGAAAGTTTATATTATGTGTGTATATTTGTTACTCCATTACGCTTAAACAGATCGATAACATTTGAAGGGTACAGACAAAGAACAGAGAATGTCCTAATGAATAGAATATGAGAAAAAAAATAAAGTTCAGAAGTATAATATTTTTATTGATATCAAAGTATGCAAAATAAGTAGATTTTTAGACAATCCTCCTTTTTTATTATATTCTTTATTGCACCATTAGGGGCATTACCACTTCTTTCTTTATTGGGGCATAGATAAAAACGTATTCATAGCGACATCCGTTGAGTAGTTTTAAAAACCAGTGGTTGGGAATGTTAGTACCATAAACATAGATTTGTTACTACTATCACAGATAATATAATACCAGATCATATAATGCAAAATAAAAAAAAACATTTCCTATTCTTTGCTTATACCGTTCATTTCCTAAAAAGTAGTAATGGTCTTTCGCCAAAAGTTGTACATCTAAAAAGTCTATGATATAGGGACGCAGTCGAAACGAGAGCAAATCGCTGGTCATAATATAAAAGCAACCAAAATAACTAAACTAGGTACATTTTAAAAGAGCTCAAACAATTAATAAAAGAAAAAGCAATCTTTATTTATAAATTATTATGATTTAGTGACGTTAGTGTATATTAATCAATTGAAAATGTTAAATATACATATATTTAATAATGTGTTTTTTTCCACTTAAATTTAATTATATATTAACCTCTAATTACGTCATATTCCAAACGTCGGTGGAAACAAAAGTTAATTATGCCTTAAGACGTTAAAGTGGCACGCTACGTTGACTACAAAATCTTACGTAAAATTAACGTTATTTTATACGTATTGCAACGAGATGATATACGAATTTACTATATGTATAACACGTAAATGGAATCTTGCCAAAATATAGTACCTATACTTACGTCATAAATTACGAATCACTATTATCTACATAACTGGATATACATACACATACATACATATGTATTATGTACATATTTTATTGAAGTATAAAAATGTAGAAGACCGCTATTTTACATCCTAATCTACATATATATCCTAATCTAGGATCTGTAGCACTAAAAGGTAATTGTACTGCATTTAATTGATTTAATTATATTTTATATTCTATTGATTAATTGCACAATTTAATAAGTTATTTGCGTTAATATTCTAGTATTGTGCATAGATATGACATCTTATCTACTAATCTTGCTGATTTGGCTTGAAGACGGCATTATTGTGACACGAATTACGATATATATAATATACTCGTACATAGCTATAACGAATTCGAATAAGATTACTTGAATGAATCCTTACTAAAAGTAACATTACTAAGAGGAACATTACTTTCGCAATAATAATTATATAAGTATTAGTATATTTATATAATTATTATTGCGAAAGAGTTCGTTGAGCTGCTTTTAGGCAGCATAAAATTAACTGATGAAATTGGATTTTAGACTTAGCTGTAGGTAAATTAAAACACATATTTTTGAATTTTGAAAATTGAAAGTATTTTCTTAAAACTGTGACATAATATTATTTACGTAAGTACATTGAATATTTACGTCTTCATTTATTTAAAACATTTTATTTACAATTTGGATGTATTCTATATTTATTTTATTATCTATACTAATATTATAAAGAGGAATAGTGAGTTTGTGAGGTTGTAGGGGGGTAATTTCTGAACCTACTGAACCGATTTAGATGAAATTTGGTAAGAAGATAGTTTAAGACCCTGAGGAGGACATAGGATAGTTTTTATCCCAGAAATCGTCCCTTAAGGAGGTGAAAATGGAGATGAAAGTTTGTATGTGGGGAATTAACCTAGGGACGAAGCCGAGCGAAGCGAGGGTGAGTCGCTACTTCATTTATAAAACAATGCACTTACCGAGCACTCCTCCAAGTTTTTCTATAATAATTAGCGTAATAATAGACATGAGTGCTAGGGCAGCGGTCACAGAGCGCGCTAGAATGCCTTCAGTCAAGGGCCTAAGCCTAAGACGAAGCCAGCCACGCAATATATCTTCTATCGCTACAAGAGCGCAAGCGTTTAAAACTGCTGAGAGAGAGCTGGAAATAATGAAAATTAAGTATAATAAACTACCATATTTTGTGCCTTTATATATCCATCTATACGAATATTCGGTACATTTTAATTCAGATTAAATTATCCTACGGTGGTTACTACCCGTTAACTATCACTATGCAAAAAATTACGTCAATTAAGTATTCTATTGACTTACGATAGAAGGTCAAAGTAACATACACAATTTCCTTAACCACTAATCCATTATAATATTAATAAATTACGAAGGATTAGCATTAAAAAGAAATATTTCTGAACATTAATTCGATTCCACTATATTGTCTATATCGAAGGTGCGTGTAACATACATACGTACATACATACATACATACATACATATGTATGTGCACAAAACACATAGATACCTTTTTTTTTTTAACGGTGGGAAATGCATTTACGCACGACGTGTGGGACTCACCGGCGTAATACAGCCAGTACTACCCACTAAAACCCAACAAAACCTTCCCCCGTCATAATGGGGCGTCGCAGGATCGCTTACGCATTCAACTACGACGCCCCGACGGCAGGTCTGCCGAAGCAGACCACCACAACCATGGGGTTGCTCCAAGGTCCACTCTGCTATCAGAGAAGTACCAGGAGCAACCCGCAAGGTACACCACCCCCCAAAGAGGGCCACCTCCCACCGCCCACCGAGGTAGGCAACCTCCCTGTGCGTTTCTTAGCTTCGCTACTACTACTGAGCCCCCCCACCACGACAAGGTGAACGCACGTTGGGGGGGAAAACACATAGATACCTAGAAAGTGAATCTTGTCTTATAACTTGTAGTACTTCCTTCGTGGAGGCATTACTTCAGTAAGCCTTAATACCTATTGATTCTTAAAATCTTTTAATAGTAATATCGAACGTAGGTATCGAGTAATACCGTTAGCAAAGAAAACAATGAAACGTGGTTACTATAAGATTATACATAGATAACAAGATTGATAACTCACACAAGGTTGTAAATTTGAAAATCCACTAAATGATAACAAGAGATGAAGCGAAGGAGATTTGTTATCTAGATAAGACTGTTTTACCAATTTTAAACACTAATATATAAACACAACTAAGAGATAACACGAAAATAAATAAGTATCTACATACTAAAACAGGTATGTAAAATTTAACAAATATATAACATGGCAATTGACAAGCTCCTGAACTCTAATGACTCTCTCACAGAAATCGACCAAAAGTAATCACTTAATTCCAACTGTTGTGGAGGCCTAACATTTAACATCATCTCCTTCCTTCTTCTCTTGGCTTTTATCTCTTCTTCTTTTACTCCATTTCCTCAAATGGTTTCGTGTAAGTTTTATCTCTTATAAGCTACGATTGCTCTAACAAACAAGCCGTATGTAACATGAACCAAAAAAAACGGTAAATACCTCAACCCAGCACCAAACACTCCAGCCAAGAAGACACCAGATAGACCAGGTAAATGCTGCACCCTGGCCACGTATGTGACAAAGGCAGGTAGCAGGCGGTCGTCCACCAGCGGCACGCCGCCGGGGTCGCAGCCGCCGCGCACCCACGCGCCCCACGCCGCCAGCCCGCACCACACGCACAGCGATATAGCCAGGATAGCACCGAAACAGAATATGGCTAGGGCGCTACGAAATTATAATATAGGTTACTATACTGTATTCGCCGAATGACCAAGCGCTGAGATTTTGCGCTTGTATATAATTAGTTGTAGATAAGACGCTTAGGCCGCGATTACAATGATAAAGTAATAATTGGATTTCGCTCGTTGCATTCCTTGCTGTTCAGACGTCTCTTGTGTAGTTCACCTGTTTTACTATTAATGTAGAAGATGGCAGTTATACATCGGAAAGCGAAAATTAATAAATAATGTGTACAAATATTTAAAAATACAATTAATTTTACTTTAATGTTGATTTTATTTTATTACAAATTATTAATAATTCCTCACTAAAGTATTAGCAACATGAACGAGCCCTATGATTTCAAACCAGTTGCAAGTATTAGTGGGCGATGCTAGACAGTTTTCTGTCCTTATCAGTTTGTATGGTAATGTGGGACAGAGAAAGCGCTTTGCATGGTTCACTCCGTGAATAGGGTAAAGTGTCCTATGTGAAGTGAGGTATCACAATGTTTGCTAAACATTAGCTATTGATGAGGCAGTGCTATTGAAAAGTTCAGAATTATGATTTTGTTCCAATAACTTAAATTGTTAGACATTTTTTTTAATTTGTTAGACACGGGAACACATGGTATATTTATTTGTCAAACTTGTGTGTTTTGCGAGATTGTGTAACTACATTCAACACATTTTCATAAACTTACATATTTGTAAGTTAGTAGTGCAATTGATTGATTTTAAAATAGATTTTTACTCCATGTATCTATTATCTGTTCTCAAAGTTGTTTCTAAGGCTTCATTTTATGTTGTATTATAAAAATGTATAATTTGTCTTTCAGTATTAAACTAACTGCTGTATTGATTAGTATATTGTTTTTTTTTTACTTGTAATTATACTTACGTAATAGCTTTTCTTTTACTCGGTAAGGCGATGTAACGCTGTACCATAGTCTGGTTGACAGAGTTGAAACAAGTCCAGTACAGAAACCCGCCTACAACTGCGCCCCATCCCGTCTGACGCTCGTATGGAGAAAAACTCCAACTGTAAAAACAATATCGACTATATGATTATTTTTTGTAACAAGCGTAATCTAAAAATCAGACAATACTTAATAAAAAACTTAAAATGAGTTTCTAGGATGAATAATGTATATATGGACGTTGATCTTCCTTCTATATACATTATAATATATCACAGAAAAAACATACAACTATAATTTTGTGCTATCTACTACATTGCTATTAGCATCTACCTACAATAAAAAACGAATTTTCCTTGTGACCATGGATCGTTAATTCTCTAACTATAGTTGAATGTAATTTATCAACGTAATCTTTTGTTAAACAAAATAAGATATTAGTTTTGTAAAAAAAACTTCATTTGAAATATGCACTTTACCAATTATTATACGAAAAGAACACAGTACAATTTTTAAGTTTTCCTTTGGAGATACTTCAGCATATTCCCTATAGTTTGTATCTACTTTCAATTAATTGACATTACTCGTAAATTGAAGTAACAAAATTCACACATTGTTTAAATTTTTAAGTCGATAGCGAACGTAGAATCTTGCCGAACCGAGTCAGTTTGACCTTCGTGAGTAAAATTTGATTGTTGCAAAGATTTTTTTTATTTCTAGCAAAATATCTAAAATAGAAGCCTCTTAATTTTGTCTATGAAATTTTAATTGTTACGAGCATCGATAGGTTTAGTTTTTACTTTTCCCAAATTCACCATTTTTGAAAATATATATATTTAGAGAGTTTATGGTGAATGGTGCCTGATATCTTAGTGAGATTTTAGGATTTTAGTTTTCAATAATAATAAAAGGTTATAAGTGTACGTACGCATTCAATATCGCAGGTAGAAGCTATTTTGGAGTTCATTTTGATGTGATCAATTTATACATGCAAGATTCAAATTCTAAACACAAAAATTATTCAACATATAGCTTTCACTTTCTACAAATATATTACGTATGTAATTAAAGATTCGTATATAATCTGGGACGCATAATTTAAATAATTATGTAACCAAAGTAATTATACCAAACCAAATTATAGCATTTTCATAACGATGCTCTTACTTGGATAGATCAAGTCGTCCAGATTCATTGGCAATATCGAGAACTGCATTCACCCCGCCCACCGCCAGAGTCCCTGCTGCTGCTACTAACAGCACCCCAATAAACATTATACCCGTCTGCACTGAATCCGTCCACACCACCGCTCTAAGACCACCCTAAATATTAAATAATGGTATAAAAATTGAAAAAAAAAACATAAACGTCAATATTTTTGCATTGAAACAAAATACAAAGTTATTAAAAAAATATATTGAAAATAAAACTATAAAAGGTAAATGGAATAAAAATAAAACCAAATATATAAATAATTAAAAACTTAAATTAATGGTACTTACTAATACTGTATAGAGGCCGCATATAGCAACCATAGCGCCACCCACGGCAAAAACATTGAAACCCGTTACTGGAAATAAAACAAACAAATGTACACAAATTATATAAAAATAATAAGGGGGTCGAGTGGACATAGGGTCAGTTTGAGCTGCTCCTACTATGCGTACATACATACTTCGCTATAATGTAAGAGGCATGCGTGCTTGTTCTCTATTTAATAAATGAAAATGTACACACAGGCGGCAACAGCCAGAATGTTATTCGCTGACAGTATTATAATTGTCGGAGAAAATGCAATCGAGGTCGTGATAGAATATCGAATTGAATATCAGCGGAACGAAAATTGAACATTAGTTCTGCGACTCGGTGATCCATCTAGTTTTTTCCACATAGCGTTGGATGGTGTATCTTACGCTTTGCTACGACTTTTGGTACCTCGGCTCATTGATTTAAAACTATGGCAACACTAACCGAGAAGTAAGGAACAGGATAAATGTAGGCTGGATGAAACAGCGATATGCTTCGGGCACATTTCGGTTTCGCTTATGCCCCTGAACAATAAGACCTGTCGTAATATATGAATCAGAATGTTGGCCAACGAAAGAAACAGGTGAAAGAAGGATGCAGGTGGCAGAGATGCAAAAGAGATTCATGTGTGGAATTACTGAGCTGGACAACATTATAAAGGAATATATTTTAGAAAATTGAAAGTAGCACCAGTGACAGAGAAGCTTACATAGAAGGTAGTAATAGGTAAGCGTGGTTATTATGAGGAGGGAAGAAAGTCATATGTGTAAGTTATATTATGTAAGAGGACTGTCGCATGACTGACTGTGCATGTGGACAGACTTAGAAGTAGGGAAAGACCAAGGAAGGTATGGATTGACTGTTGTGAAAGGAAATATGTGTGATAGGTGTGTGTGCTGAGATGAAGGCTGATAAAAGAAAATGGAGGAAGGAAACCTGTTGGGCTGACACCATGTAGCATGGGAAAAGACAACGAGAAGAGAAGAAGTTTCAACGTCACTCATTCAGTCTTCATATCATTATATTAGTAAATATTGTGTGTATACCTTTCTATTATTCTATTACGTAACTTTTAATTATTACGATAAAAAGTTAGTTAACTTACATTGATTAAATGCTAATGCAGGAACATAAACAACCATTGGCAGGAACAATACCTGGTAAAGGAAATTTAAATTTATTATTTACATATAAAATTTTAGATGTGTTAATGGTATGAATTCTTGTGTCAATGTAAATAAAAATAAATTAGTCTAAAAGGTATAAAAATCTGCTGATTGAATTGACAAGACTAAATGTGCTATTTAACTTGCATTTTTGTTTGCTGCGAAGATAGTTAAATCTAAATGTTTAAAATGCCTAAAATACACGTAGACTAGTAAGTATGTAATGTCTTTACAAATAATCTACTATAATAAAATGTATGTATGTACATACATACATATGTGAGATGCTATAAAATCTAAAAAGTTTAGACCACTTTAGGCCATATTGCTGTCAGAGCCGCAATATAATTACCGAATAGATAATAATTTTTAAACAATATTGTTATGCTAAAATAGGGATATAGTGTATTCAGTTTAGAAAAATTCAGCATATCTATTCTGAAATATATCGTCTATATATTTCTGATATCTGATATTCTTTATTGATGTATCAACGAACAGGCCAAACCCTTTAAGGCTAGAAAACTGAAATTTCGCACGTATGCCTCATATGACGTAAGCCACTAAGAAAGAATTTTTCAAAATTCAACCCCCAAGGGGGTGAAATAGGGCATAAAAGTTTGTATAAAACTTTTTATTCCTTAGACATATTTGTTGCTTGTTTTCTAAATCTAAAATTCAACCCCTAAAAGGGTAAAATAGGGGATGAAAGTTTATATGAAAAACAACTTTTTAGAGTTTTTCTGTAGTTTTAGTGTGAGCGAAGCCGCGGGTTCTGCTAGTTATTGATAAATAATAAATATTAAATAGGTAGGTATTTAGTTACACTTCGTTATAAAGGCGTGTGTAAATTAGTACACACTTACTCGTAAACTGGTCAATTGACCATTGTCCGCGCACGTTGACTTTAACGTGAGTAAAGTCCATCTTCAAGACCAATCCTTGGCCGGCAATTAGAATCTATAAATATATTGATACTAACGCTTTAAAAATAACGTATAAACAATAGTTAGATTAATTTGGCGACCTACAACTTCCTACTATATTTTATCTTAGCCTCTTCCTACAAATAAACTGTAATGCGTATTTATATGAATACACGTTTAAAAAGAAAAGTCATTAATAATATTTGCTTTAAAGTTTACCTACTTTCATATAATCTATACTTATAATAATATTCTAACTGAACCGATATTAAATATTATTTTGTATAAAATATTATTGAAGTATGTAGCCAATATTATCGATACGGAGGCCAAATCTACAATTTTTAAAATTTTTATCCATCTATCTGTCTGTGACCGCTTCACGGGAAAACCACTAGACGGGTTTTGGTCACTAGATGGCACCATGTGTTTTTAAAACACGTACGTAATTTTAATTCGAAAAAAATATGTACACATATGACTTTTCGATGATTTTATTAGAATTATTAGGCATTACCCGCGACTCCACCCGTGTTTTTCAAATGAAAATATTTATAAGTTTTTGCTATTACTTAATAATACTAATTTTAAATTTGTTTGTAGATATTTAAAAATAAAATTCGGCAAGTGCCAGACCAACTGACACAACAACGGTCCCTTTAGCCAAATACTGAGGCCACCATCATCTTTTTCTAAACATATTACTTCAAGACTGTTTTGTTTCAAGATTACAATAATTCGTTCTATGAACGCATTTAAAAATCCAGCTTGTAATAATACCTATAAAACAGTTAAAATAAGTGTTTTGTAGAAAATGTGTTCATGAAAAAAAACCTATTTATAAAAATTGAAAATATATTCTATACAAATTATTTGTAATTCTAATTACTAATTATGTAAATTTGTTTTTTCTGGTTCTGTTTAAATTAACTTTCTTACAAGGCATGTTTTACAGATATTGGACGACATGTCATGGGAGTAAGTACCTATAATATAATGTTTAATATGTTTTATGATAAGTATAATGGATATTAAAAAACATTAAATATCATTTTTATGATGTGATGGTCATTAACAATTTCAAAACAAAAAAAAAACAAGTAATATTTCATGAGACATATATAAGGTGTCTTCTCCCTTCTACGCGACATTGGCGAAGTAAATGTTGCCCAAACGGCCCTAGAAGCCATTGAACTTAAGAATTGAATTGAATAATTCGTAAGAAAAGTCAATGACAATAATACTTATTAGAAATGCGAAAATTAAAAGTGAATAGTGATTGTGTAATTGTTACTATTGTAAGGTTGCATTTTTATATATGAGCGTTTTAGTGTAAAATAATATATTTTAGTAATTTGTAATGATTTACGTATATGGCGTTTAGTAATGTGACCTTGGCCGATAGGAATGTATTTAAAAAAATATAATAGACGCGGATATTCATTTGTTTCCTTGCGCTTTTGCACAGAGATGTTGGTACCTTGTACTGACTCGTCACAAATTGTTTATAATATTGTAAATTATTAAAAAAGCAACTACATACTAAGTTTCTAGCCGCCTATTTTCAGCAGAAATGCTTTCCGAGCCAGTGGTAGCTTCCACGCGGACAGACATACTGACGATTATAAAAAAATACTAAATATAAGAATTTATGCAATGAATATCTCGAGGTTTTTTTAGTGTCATCCTACACTATTTGATGAGTCTGATCAGCAGACTTTAATTGAATGTTATAATGGCAAGTTTTTTTATGTATCGAAATATTATAATTGTAAAGGTGATACTTAATAACGTTAAATTAAAACTAAAGTAAAGATTTTATTTGCATCAATATTTCACACAAACATCAGTGGTTTTTCAGCAAATATTTGCTTTGTGCAGTAACCACTACCTACTTCTTCATTGTCAGGTGTGGACAATAGACTATTATACTTTCTACTGGACGACGGAACAAAGTTTATTCATATGTTTTGCGGCATTTAAAAAAGAATAACAAGCACATATTAAAATATATTAATATACATTGACCTTTTGTCTTGTGTGTAAAAAAACTTAATTTTTAATATAAGTATACGGCTATAATATATAAAACAAATCAAATTAAATAGAATAAATGTAATATTATAAAATTGTCATACATAATTGTATGACATGTATGTATATTGAATCTGACAATTTATCACAAACGTTCGCATTCGTCTATTTTTTGCACAGTTAACCTGCTTACCTCATCTAAAAGGAAAAGAATTGATGCCACAGCACGCACATGGCGATTAAACCGAAGCTCTAAATACTGCAACAAAAAAAATATATTTTATATATGAATTGATAAAACTCCCACGTTATAAAATAGCCCATGTTTAGGCCCTAAATTCAGGAATACCAAAAAAATCCTCTTCATTGAGAATTTCGTCTATTTTTAAAGCAATTAAAAGAATGAAAAGTCAAACAAATATAAATCTAAAGTAAGTACAATGTTAATATACCTTTAAAAAAAACAACTGTAAAATTAATAGTTTAGGCTAGTTTTGCCCGCGGCTTCGTTTCTTTCGACTAAACCGTTCTTGTTTTATAATTTATCCTGTAGAAATCATGTTTCTCAAAACAAAAAGTTATATTAAGAATATATTTACCAATGAAATTCTCTGTATAATTTAGTTTAGTCGTTCCTGAGATTATTAGATACTAAGAAACTGTTTTTTTTTTTAATCTTTAATAAGTTATATTTATCGGCATTTGATGTGATGAAAATAATATAGGAAATATATAATAATATAGTATATAATAATATAGAATATGGTGTAGCTATTTTAAAACCACTTTTAAAGTATAGCTTCAAACAGCGAATCTTTATGTACGGACACGGCTTTATTGCTCCGGTACAAAGTCTACTATACGCCAGCGCTTGACAGGCCCCCAGTGATGTATGAACGAACAGATAAAATCTGAAGTAAATCAATAACAGATAGCCATCAAAAATTACAATATATTGGCGTGGACTTTTCTGATCATATAATTTATTCTCAATAGGTAATGTTTCTAGTTCTTTTTTATTAATTTTTTTTTCGATTTCAATACTCGATATAAATCATGGCTTGAGTTTTATCAATCAATTTAATTAAACAAGTTGTTATATTAATAACAAAATATAAAATTATATGTATAAATACGAATCGTAAAATATTTAACTAAGGGTACTAAATTTATTTTAAAGCCTTTGTAACCTAACTTCGCTCGGCGTATTATTATTTTTTTAATCGTGTATTTTAGGAAAAAACTGCAAATGTTTGATAGAAATAGAGCCGTTTCAGAGATACATGAAATAAATTTATATTAGGTATAGCAAGAGCAATTCTTGTATAGGTTTTTTTTTAATATAAGAATTTCTCATTTAATATTATAAGATACTCGTAACTTCCCGTAACAGTAACACCGGTCTCATTAAAATATATTCATATATAAATATTTCTTACATTAAACAAAAATCTATACTAATATTATAATTAATATGAAAGTTTGTGAGTATGTATGGATGTTTGTTAGTCTTTCACGCCAGAACAATGAGATAGATTATAGTCTAGAATAACACATGGGCTCTTTTTATCCCATAATATTTTTACACGGCTGCCGCGAAGCCCAAAGGAGGGTTATTATGAAGTTTGTAGTCTAACCACAGAAATCTTAATCCTTATTATTAAGATTTCTGTGAGTCTAACTATCTATATCTTTAGTATAACTAAAACATTCGCTATTTGTACCATAAGGAAAAAAAATTATTTATTAAAAAATAAAAAAATATATACATACCTCATATGATGAGGAGAGTCTAAGCGTACAGAATACTGGAAGATACACCGTCGCCACAATCACACAGCTAAGTATCACACCAAATATCACCAACCAGTACTGTGTACCGTAGTTGTATATTTCCGCCGGTGTTCCTAATATTGTAACACCGGAGACATAACTGTGGAGAGAGATAATATTATATTTAATGTAAAAAATATAAAATTTAACTAAATGTTGTAGAAATGTAATAAGCCTGATAAATTATATTACCTAAAATATTTCTAATAGAACGGAACAAATGTTAATTGTTTTAGAGTTAAGTAGTTTTAAGTATCTGTCTATATATGTATATAGAATTATATATAACTAGCAGAACCCGCGGCTTCGCTCGCGCTAAAACTACAAAAAATCTCTAACAAGGTAGTTTCATACAAACTCTCATCCCCTATTTTACCCCCTTATAGCATGAATTTCGAAAAATGCTAAATCACTTATTTATTTAATTTTATTGAAGAGCATTTATACCAAGTTTCAAGTAATTCTAATCATAAATCTTGAATTGTATTATAAAGCGTTTTTCCGTGGGAATTAGATAATCGCCCGCGGTAAAAAGTAGCCTATGTCACTCTCCAGCCCTCAAATTCTCACCACACAAAAAATCACGCCAATCCGTCACTCCGTTTCGACTTGAAAGAAGGATAAACAAACAAACCAACAAACAAACAAACAAACAAACAAACAAACAAACAAACAAAGACACTTTCACATTTATAATATTAAAGTATGGATTTTATTTAGCAAATATATTAATAATATAAGACATCTAATATTTATATTAATTACATCCTTTATAAGATTTTCCTTAATAACGAAGAGTAGACAGGTAAATCAAGGACAATTTTTTTTGGCAAATAAACCAACCTAAGTGAATTTAACTGCTATTTATTCAATCTTTATACCAAAACGTTTAATTACTATTAAATAAAATAACTGGATGTTGTCAAAACTTTGACATATTTATATACATAAAATCAATTAAAAACTATTTAATTTTTTGTTACAAAGTATTTCCCTTAATAACTTGTTATTATATATCGTTTAAGCGTTCGAAGAAAACACATAATAAAAAAATGATTACCTGGCTATCAGAGACATGGCGACCGGGAAAGTAGACATAGCCTTGCCTCCAAGCAAGTAATCTTTGATGTCTAAAACAGCTTTACTCCGAGAACCTACGGCGCTGTACCACAACCCTCCAGCACATGATGAGGCACAGAGTACTCCAAAAGCCACATAGTCCCCCACCCCAAATCCTCCTTCTTGCAATGTAAACGTCATATTTATAACCTGTAAAAGAAATAGTACTGTACACTGAAACACTAAATTCTACACTTCTAATACCCTAAATAAGAACGGGAGAGGGACAAATAAGATTTTTATAAATTACTGTTTTGCTTATTTCATCTAATCACAAATATCTCAAACACAAATATCTATATATACAAGGTGGATTTTTGAGACGGAACAGTAAGGGCAGATACCTTAAATGTCCCGTGTCTCCCATTAAGACGGGGGAGGTTCCGTTGGGGCTTAGTGGGTAGTACTGGCTTTGCCAGTGAATACCGTACCTGATTCCTAAATGCATTTCCCAACGTTAAAAAAAGGTACCTCACCTCCAGGTAAATTTCTAAGAAATTAATTAAATTTCTAAGAAATCTATTGTTAACTGAAACGCCGGCTTGTCCGAGGTCGTGGAGGGATTAATAAAACAATATTTATGCCAAGTGTCACTTGTTTTTATCAGTTTATTCGCACGCAATTAAATATTTTGTGCAACGAGTTGACAAAAAAGAAAAGTAGGTTACGTGCGGTAATGAAGTATCTGTACCTGCAAAAAATGTCCACGAAGGAAATTTTTGTAGACATCCAGAAGATATAAGTGGATGATGCTGTACTCTATTCTACATTCAACATGGATTCATTCTACTGTAGCATTCAATTGATTTTAATTGATTCATTGAGTTTTAGGAAAGTGTCGGCAAGATATGTGCCACGAATTCTAACCGACGAAAATAAAAAGAGACGTTTGGAAATTTCTAAGCGTAATCTCGAAATGTTCCAGAGTGATCCGGACAAATTTTGTTGTCGTCTTGTCACCATGGATGAATCTTGGGTACATCGATTCGATCCTGAAACTAAGAGACAAAGCATGTCTTGGAAAGGTCCATCCTCTCCATCCATAAGGAAATTTCGAGTTACAACTACCGCTGGCAAAGTTATGGCCTTAGTGATCTGGGATAGTGAAGGCATCCTATACGTTAATCCTTAGTAGTGCTATACATAAATCCTAAGATTTGCTATACATAAATAATAAAATCAGAAAAACAAACTAAAGTAAGCAAAAATACCAAATCGTTTATTTCTGATTTAGTTCACCGAATTTTTTTTTAACTCTTATGTCTATGTACTACTATTATCAAATATTTTTAATCCTCCAGGAATGAGAAAAATATTACAAGGCAAACAAATTAAAAATTTTGTATAATAATTGAAACACCTAATATTTTATTAACGTTTTAAAGGCATTCATTATCCAGTCTTTATCGTTGCTCAAATTAAAGTATTTTTAACTTTAAACATTTAAATTGTACGGTAATTAAGTGTATTAATTAATTTTTATGAAACAAAGAATCAAAACGAAGTCATTAAACGATTTAAATAATGTTTAGGCAAGTAATCACTTTTTAAAAAACCTCTTCTACAGCAGAAGACACAGTTTTAAGATTTGTCGGATAAACATAATTGATATTAAATTAATAAATAAATTTATAGTATTCATATGTATGACGTCGCAATTTAAACTGGTAAGCATATTAGTCTACAGTCTCCAACGGTTTTTTTTAAATGATTAAACTCTATTAAATGCAGAACTCGAACCCGGGACCGCTGGCACAGCAAGTAGGGTCACTACAAACAGAGCCAAAGGTGTCGTGTCGTGATTTGATCCAAACCATCTGTTTAAGATGACAATATTATTTTTTAGTTTAGTGTTGGATTATAATAAGATTAAATCGTAAAAAAAAACAAACAAGCTACTAATAAACTTTAGGAAATTACCATTTCGACATGTTCCGTATCAATCCACAATTGTATCAGCTAGTATCAAACCTTCGTAGAAAGAAAAGTTGGGCGTCTGAAAAACTCGTGAAGTTGTAGCTTGTTACTAACCTTAAAAAACCATTGGGGACTATAGACTATATCTTCGATGTACCTACATGAATAAATTTAAATTGTTTACAGGTGATTAAACAAACGCAAGAAACTGGTTTATATAATTAAAAAGGTAAAATACATAAGATATTATAATAAAACTCTCTTGGTGCATTTTAGCTTCGGTTATCTTAATGTTAAGAAATATTTCTGCTTAAAATACCTACATTTTTAATTCACATATTTTTTTCTACAATACGTAATTTTGAATTTACCTCCTACTTGATTTTAAAATCGATGTATGAATATTGATTCTTATTAATAATTAATCTAATATATAAAATTCTCGTGTCACAGTGTTGGTAACAAATCTCCTCCGAAACGGCTTGACCGATTCTTCTGAAAGTGTGAATATTCAGTAGGTCTGAAAACAGGACATAAACTATTTTTCATACCCCTAAGTGATAAGGGTGGCAATCCCAAAAAAATATTTTTTATTTTTTGGACAACATTTTTTATTTTAATTTTTTATGATTAAAAAATACATACAAACCTAAATTTTCACTAGGGATGAACCCGAGCGGAGCGAGGGTGAGTCGCTAGTTTTATTATTAAAATTAGTTTCTATGGATATGTGGCGCTACACGCAGATGTCATGTGTAATGTTATATGATACAAAGCAATAATTACCTTATTTTATATATAATTTAATTATAAAACGCTTATGGAAGAATGTAACCAAATTCTTGGCATATATGGTATATTGCCAATGATGCAAGGACGTCGACGTGTACGGTCCGACAATGTCAACAAGTCCACTAGTTCCAACAACTTTCACTAAACATAATACTTCTTAAGAATATACTGCACTGTACAAAAAACATTCATAAATTCTATGTGTCCACATTCTTGATACAGCAAGTCAAATTTCCCGCGCATTATGTTACAGATTACAAATGTCATTGTCAATATAAACGCACTCACATCGTGACACTCGAGTAAATAGCACACGTAATTTATTAAACAAAAAATTGCACAGCAATATCGACATGCGAACGAAGAAGCGTTGTTAAAATAAATGAATTAACAACATTCAGTGAGTCGTACACACGACAGAATTAGTAACACAGTTTTAAAATACGACGCACACATTGGCGCCCATGCGTCGCGAATACCGCGGCTAGCAATGTACGTAAAGCTACTGTAGCGACGTCTATTGATAAACTGATCAAATAATAAGCACTGCTACTGCTCTATGTCTATGAGTCTAAACAACACACACTTTGCTGCGACACTAGCGATGTCAAAACGCGGAAAATATCTGCTAACTTTAATAGTTAAATATAGTAATCGTGTAAACTTTTTAAATTGTTTGATTAACAATTTAGGAAGTTTACACGGTTATACCTTCAAAATAGCAAATTTTGACTGTAGGAGTGTTTTAATATACGAATCTTATTTTTTTTTAAATTATTTTGGGTATTTTTTAAAACAATAAAACCTTCTTTATATTCATAAGTACAAAGATTTTTTATTCTTTGGTAATACTTTCAAATATTCAGACATATGAAAAAATTGACAAATAATCATATTTTCATATTTTTAGATGGCACATTTTGTATATTATTTACCAAGAAATGCCGCCAAAATCCAAAGAAATTCCAACAAAAAAGCCTTTACCTCAAATTTTACGACCTAGTATTAGTGGTGCAAGTCTCAACTATGTACCAGACAATGCTTTAGATGGTATATTATTCAACTATTTTAATTGTTTAAATATTTTCCTACTTGATTTACATTGTGAACTTTCCGAATCATATAATTCATCTTGTAATTACGTAAGTATTGAGTTACTACGTCGAACAAGGAAGAGATGCAATTAATAGCAACCATTTAAACTACAAGTTACTTACATAATATCTTAGGTTGTAAAATTAAGTATATAATTCGTTTATGTATATATTTTTATATAATTAATTTAAAGTATGTTAACTATTAGTATTGAATATACAATTTATTAACTTGGCTTACTACTCATGTGAATAAGTACCTATATAACAAAACTATTTATAGGATACCAAGAACGCATAGAAACTGGGATACCTTGGACTCTAACAGAGGAAGCAGCTCGGCATCATAAGCATGAGTGTTTCAAAAAATATATTCCAAAACTGCAATTGACCCAAGCACTTCAGAACAAAATAAATAATAGTATTATGTGTGGATTCTTTGACGAAAAATCTAAATTTAGCCTTAAGGACCAGTGGGATATTCTTCTACCTATGACTTTATGGGATAATGAAAAATTTTCGAATGAAGAAAAAAAAATCTGGTTTCAAAGTTGTAATTCATTGACTAACGACATGATACAATTGATTAAACGAGCTGTACAGCACGACGATCGAAATGTGCTTAAAAATGATTTTAAAATGGTCAATGTATTAAGAGTGACCGACTGTAAGGTATGACTAAAAACTTAGTTAATTGTTTCATTTTTATCTTTCATAATTGAGAAAGCTTTTACGTACAGATGACAGAAATGGACAACGGGTTGAAAGACTTTCTAAATTTAACGGTGCTGAACCTTTGTGGCAACTACATCGCAGATGTGAATTCAAGTGTCCTTCCACAGGGATTACAAATGCTGGAACTACAGGCTAATCGCATTACTAGCGTGGGCACATTTGCCGAACACTTACCTAATTTGATTTACTTAGGACTGGCAAGAAATCTTTTGTCAAATGGTCTGTAATCTGAAAGTGCATAGTAATTTAAAAAAATAAGTCTTGTTTAGATGGTAGCTGGCTTACGAAATATCAACATTGTGAACAAATGTGTACGGAACGGATGTCCGTGACCTTTGTGTGAATATGTAAACTTACAAACTTGAAATTAATTATTTTACAATATTTAGAACAACTAGGAAATGTAGTAGAAAATATGTCGTTGTTATTATCTGTGCTTTTATTTTTAATTTTAACACAATAAGTAAATAACGATTGATATTATTCTTCATATATTACAGATAGCCTTGATGGTCTAGCCAGGTTACCCAGACAACTCACCGTTTTAGATCTATCTGATAATGACATCTGTGACCTAGAACCAGTACTAACAGCTTTATCAGCACATCCCAACCTTGTCGCCTTGCAACTTACTGGAAATCCCTGTTCTGTATGATCTCTACTCTATTCATCAAGTAGTTATATATATTTTCTGTAGATGGCGCTAAAAATATATAAAACTAAACTATAGCTGCTCTACTCATTACAAACGGTCGCTACATTTTGTCAGTATAATACTACGCTTATTATATAGATGGCGCTTTGAATAATTCTTATATTTTTGCTTCATGTTTGAACTTTACTTTTGACGGGATTTTAATATAGACTACATCAAGCAATTTTGTAACAAACAATGGAAATATAAGACAAAGCTTTATAAGAAGCCAGCTAAGATATGTGAATAATCCTAAGAATATTGTTGAAATAATTAAAATGTTTAAAATTTTAGTTGTGCGCAGCCTACGCCCGAACCATTTTCATGCGCTTACCGCGTTTACAATGGTTAGATACACGTGAGATCTTGCCTACCGATAGACCTGTAGAGCCATTCGATCCTCATCCTGATGACTTACGTTCCGCCTATTTTAATTTCACTGTCTTCCGAATTATGTCCATTCCTCCACCACCAAAACCAGATAAGGTATTTAATATTCCTGATATAGGTAATTTCACACTCTACAATATCTTCTAATTATCACGCACAGTACACACATTAAAAATAACTTGCCATTTTTGTAGGGTTTCGAGCGTTTTCTTTCTCTCTCTCTCTCTCTCTCTCTCTCTCTCTCTCTCTCTCTTTGTTATCTATTTCTATACTACACTTTCCAACCATTTAACGAAACCATACTTCTTAATCTTAGTATATTATAAATATTTTCCTTTGGTATATAAGCCCGCGATGGACATCGTACGGTAGTTCTAGTTTTTCACATGAAACAGAAATAATTAGCATCTAATAAATTCAAAACAATATTATGAAAATAAAAGCTTTTTATGTAAAAAGCGTTCTCGGACTTTTTCATAAATCTATTAGTACTAAATAAAGTTTTTTTATTTTATAAAAACCTCCATCCTTTAACGTCTACTTAATAAATGTTAAATTTACTTTGTCAGTTGAAAAGAAATATAACGCAATTCAAACAAATTATAGCCTTTGATAAAATATTTATATTATTGCTACAGCTTAAAAATGATTTAAAAGCCTAAATAAAAACTTAAGGTTACATTAGTAATTTATAACCATTGTAGGGAGCAATAACAGCATTTCACGTTGAATTTGAATTACCATTACTTGACTCTACACGAAGGAACTTCCTAATGTTCCGGAATAACGAATCACTGATAGAGATGTTACCGCCATCTGAAGACGAAGAGTCATCAGACAAATTAAATCCGACAATTGTGAAAAGCAAAATAACGATTGGTAAATTTATTTGCTTCACATTATATATTAATTGAATCATATTTATATATATGATATATCAGTACGTCAATATTATTGATAACTTAGTTTTAAGCAATTTAATTTGAACTATCGCTCTTTTAAAAATATAGATGCTGCAACATCATCCCATGAATTTGACATTTACAACCAATTAAGAACAAAGAACTCGCGCGAAATTTGTCACCTTAAAATATTTGAGAGCAATCGCGTCCAATGGAATAAAATAATGAACTTTCAAGAGCCAACCATAAAAATATTCTGCCCAAATCTTACTGCTCTAAGAGATACTTTCCGCACTGTCGTAACAGTTAGAATAATTTACACAGTGGTATGAATTTTAATTTTATTCTAAACTAAACTCAACGTGTCCTGTAATTACTTTTTGCAATATAAAATTTCATAGGACCAAAACTAGCTTTATTAGTATACTAGCGACTTAGCCCTAGTTACGTAACGTTTAGTATAGATTTCTCAAAGATAACTAGCTATCATCTTTATATTGCGTGTGCAATAAAGAGTAATAAATAAAAAGTTAAAACAAATAAATAAAGGTAATTTGAAGGGTATCGTGGTAAACCACGAAATAAACTGCGACTTCAGGATTTTCATAAGAGGCAAATATTATGTCAAGTGCGTGGCGCTATTTAATCGAAATGTTTTTGATATTTCAGACGACAATTGGCAAACAAAGCAAATCTGACAAGAAAAGTGCTCAATATCTGAAGCAACCAGGAGAACAACGCGTTACATTAGCTACAATAAATTGCGCTCTGAAACAACCAGACTGGAGTCAACAATCTCAACATTTTCATTGGGATGACTCATTGGGTACAAATGACGCTATCCACTGGGGAGATGGCGATCTTTCTGTAATATATTATTTAAATCTCTGATGTAATCCACTTAAACATTAAAAATATGACAATTTAAATCATTTAAATATAAATGGAATTTTTACATTAGCCGTTACCTCGTTGGTTTAATATTAATTTTATATGCCCTCAGGTTATGACCCTGGATTTAGGTAGAGCCAAAAAAGTTATTAGGTTTTTCTGTCAATAATTTACTGTATGTAGCACCCTAATGTTTTTTCACCCAAAATTGGGTAGTATTATTAAACCCGTCTGTAGTGTGATGAGCCTGGTCTCTCCCTGGTTATTGTAGTACCACCCCAACGGACTGTGACCCCGGGGTACAGGATGTTTTAAAATAATTTATTTTCTTTTATTTAATATACCTTTTAAATGCTTACGTGAATAGTAATATTGATATGTTATGTTTTGTACAGGTATTGCAATATACTTTGGCAGCTGTAAAAACACCTAAAGGAAAACCAGATTCTGACCCAAGCTCTACAAAACAATTTCCACCTGAAAATTTGACTTGTCACTTTGGATTTGGAATAGATACTTTACGTGTTTAAATTTGGTTTTAATATTACATATGTATTTATCTTAAAGCTTTGAGTTTTAATATATACAATACGTAATTATAATAATTCCTTAATTTATCTAAGAACCTTCATATTTTCTAACTGCATTATATTCAACGCCTAATCACTATAACGAAGAAAAATTCATAACATCTATCTACACATAAATATTTTTCGTTTTAAAAGTTCAATGAAAGTTTTATATCCAGATGTATAAATAAATAGGTAATTGAGTATATCCTCAATTCAAACGATGGGTCAGTGTAACTCGTGATAGGATCAAATAAATGTACATAATATATTCATAGGTTAGTTGTTCTTGAATGGCGCAAGAAAAGCACGAGCGCTGGGGCAGCCAGCTGGAATACTTATTGTCATGTCTTGGATATGCAGTTGGTATAGGAAATATATGGAGATTTCCTTATTTATGCTATAGAAATGGAGGTGGTAAGTTATTAAATTTAAAAATTACGCACGATGTGGTTTAACTTTAGCAGTACTTTTTTATACGATGTTACATTTTGATAAATTATTTTAATCTAGATAATGGTTTAAAGCGAATATAATAAATTTAACTTTTCTTATATTAATGTACGTTACAGGTGCGTTTCTTATCCCGTATTTGCTAACGCTTGTAACGTGTGGGATACCTCTAGTTTATTTGGAATCGCTGCTGGGACAATTTGCAAGTGCAGGATGCATTTCGATATTTAACATAAATCCTCTGCTGAAAGGTAACAAAATTAATTAATTTGGTAATTAACTAATATTAAAAAGTACTCAACTTTGTAAAAAAAAATATTTTTTTATATTTTTAGGTGCAGGCTACGCTGTAATAGTTTTAAATGTAATAGCAATATTGTACTTCGCTACTATAATGTCATATCCAATATTGTACATATATCATTCCTTTAGCTCACCGCTACCTTGGCAGAGTTGTGGCAACGCATGGAATACTGAGAAATGTGTCGAGGTAAATTTGGGATATTACACACAGTTTCTGAATATAATTATTATTGCTAAATTGTTATGGTTATCCCTCTATACTTTCAGATCACTGGAAATTATAGCTTTGTAGCTAACAGATCTATTACTACGCCAGAAGATGAGTTTTTTCAGTAAGTTTAACTTATGAAGGATATTATTAAGGAAAAAATGCGAGAGTTCAACATAATACATATATAGCTAACAGATACATAAACATTTATAACTAACATAAGTATAATTTTAAATAGGCAATTGATAAAGTTCAGAGTTTAAGTTTAGTGGCAGTTTACAGAACTTATTAATCTGAAAGCTGATTATTCTACACTTTACTAAATTGTCTCTCGGTACTTTTTAGACAGTATCTTATCTGTACTGTATTATAATAAACATCAGTACCTGGGTGAAGCTTCGCTCGACATAGGCGCTCGTTCACTAGGTTGTCATCGATTGGCGACAATGCAAGTGGCACAAAAAATTACGAGATGGCGCTACATGACATTTTCAACATAAGAGCATATAGAAAAAGCTTTAACAATGTGATTAAAAAATGACATTTTATGTGAAAAATTGCGCTTTTTTCATAAATGACACCCATATACATATGTTGATAAACTTAAACAGCAAAACCTTATCTAAGTACAAAATTTCATTGAAATCGTTAGAGCCATTACCGAGATACACGAAATAATTTTGTATGTACATACATACATTTATAAAAGAATTGCTTATTTAATACACGTAAACTAAATAGTGATTTTAATGGCCAAATCTTAATATACGACTTGATGATCTGCTTATCGTAAATTCAATGAACATGACATGTAGTTGATAAAGGTACGCTAGCAACTATTTACTTAGTTAGTCTTTTAAAATTGGGTTAAAGATTAAAAATATTTCTTTTACAGCATCCGACTGTTGCGCATGTCTTCTGGCTTAAACCATATCGGCAGCATAGTATGGCCAGTATTTTGGTGTAACACAATCTGCTGGGTTATCATATATTTTTGCATCTGTAATGGAGTCAAAAGCGTTGGAAAAGTATCTACTTTTATATATCTAATCATACCGGAAATTACTTTTGCTGGAAAATTGCCAATTGCTATATTTTTCTGAAAGCGGACTTCTCGTAAATCTATTTATGTTTACAGATCGTGTACTTCACAGTTTTGTTTCCGTATGTGGTACTTTGTGCCTTATTTGTACGTGGTATAACGTTGCCAGGAGCTTGGCAGGGTATTCTTTACTTTATACTTCCGGATTGGAATCAGTTAACAAAACCAAAAGTAATTAAAATGACTATTTTTACCATTATGTTGTATTAGCTCTTACTATAACAGAGGGTTTATAATTTTTATAATTCTAATTATTATGATTTTAGATAAGCTTAAAGACAATAGCTATTCTATAATCTACTCTTCAATATGTATAGATAGCTATTTTTAATTGTATTTCTAATATGGGAAAAAATACCTATCAAAATGTACAGAAAACTTCAAAATCGTTCTTCACTTTTGAATTATAATTATATATTTTGTATGATGTATTTTATTTTTACGTATTTTGCAGAGGGTTCTATCTATAAACATTTTTTTAAGCTCCTTGAAAGCTTACTTGGTTTTTCTTTGGTATGATGCAACTTTCTTTTCTTTCTTTTATGTGTTATATATACTCTTTATTATATTAATAATACACCTATTTACATTGAAAATAATTAAATAATATTTGAGATTTTTTAATATTTTTTTATGCTATGTTTATTTAATATTCATAGGTTTGGGCTGATGCAGCCACACAAATATTCTATTCCTTAGGCCCTGGATGGGGCGGGCTTGTCAGTATGGCAAGTTTTAATAAATTTCATTACGATAATTTACGGTCTGTACATTTTTAAATATTATAAAAAAATAGTTTTATTTTTTATAATTTTAGAGCAAAATTTTTAACAATTTTAATTTTTTTTCTTTACAGACCGTCAATAATAATTCCTCTTGTAAACAGCGGTACAAGTATCTGGGCTGGATTTGTGGTGTTCTCCGTTTTAGGCTTTGCGGCGGAACAAGCGGGAGTACCTGTAGGGCAGGTGGCGACGGCAGGGCCGGGGCTAGCCTTCGTTACCTACCCCACTGCTGTGACTATGATGCCCGCTCCTAATTTTTGGGCCATCACGTTCTTTGTAATGTTATTCTTTCTTGGTATTGATACAATGGTAAGTTTATTTATTGTTTACTTGGTATTTTATTATTATTACTATCAAATATTATTTTATCGTTTATTTAAAATTGACAATAAACATTAAAATTAAATATATACTTATTTATTTTACGTTTACGAATTATTTAATTGTAAATTAACAAAAAAGAATAGTAACATTAAAAGAATAGCACCTCAGTGTTAATATTATCATATTTACATTTCCAGTTCGTTACAATTGAATCGATTATAGCTGGGGTTTTGGACGAATACTCTTACCTGCGTTCTAGAAAGAAGCTAATAACGTTACTGACTTGTTTGATTCTCTTTAGTCTATCAATTATATGTAATACTGAGGTATGTAAAAATTATTATCAAATATTAATTCCAATATTCAAATATTAATATAAACGCCCGCCCGCAAAAAAGCTTATAGCGAACTCGCCGTTAGTGAGTGGCGTTCTAACTTTAATAATATCTATATTTATTTACTCTTCTTCCCTCAAGTTATTTATATACTTAGTATATTTTATTAATTCCACTACCCTTTATTCTTATTTAAAACTGCTAATACTAAACTTAGAATCATTAAATAATAAGGTTTATTTGATCAATGTTTATTTCCTACAATAAACATAAGTTCGCGTGATAATCAGCATTGAAAACTTTAACAGCTAAGTAAAGCAACCCACTAAATGATTAAATCTTTACTATAGCAATTAAACTGTTAACAATTTGCGAGTAGAAAACAAACAACTGTATCACTTCCTGAGGTAAACGACCCTGTTTATGAGAAAGGGTGAAATTATGATTTGCATTTCCGACTTAATCCCATAGATTTGTTTGACAGTTGAGTGTGTATGTATTGTGTATGTGTGTACTTTGAAATTTATCACGCTCTAACGTTTCAACGGTTTTTGTGAAATTCGAAATATGCTATCTTAGCTTATATTCTGGTTTAACATATGTATATATTCAGCCCATTTTAAGCCTCCCTTAATCAGACTATAGTCCACCACGCTGGCCAAGTACGGGTTAGCGGACTTCACATGTCTTTCGAAAACTTAGTAGGTTCTCTCACGATATTCTCTTTACCGTAAGACGAGTAGTAATAATCTTAGAAATTATTCATAAATGAAAATATCAGAGGTGTAAGACCCGGGATTTGAACCCAACCCGCACTAGACTAGCATGGTGGACTACGGCCTCCTCGTATTGAAGGGAAGCCCATGCCTAACAGTACGACGTAAAAAGGGCTGCATATAATACAATACAAATGTAAACGGTTGGGTTTGACAAGTATTTATAATAATAATTAAAAACTAGATAGTTTCTGTAGGTATACTCGTATAGCACATTAAATACACTATTATAACGGCATCTCTTTTCTTTTTGTAGAGTTAATGTCCGTAGCCATACTATTAAAATCTTTATATATATAATTCTTCTGTGAGTGTGTATGTCACTGAACTTCTCTCAAACGACTGAACCGATTTTGATGAAATTTTTTGTGTGTGTTCAAGGGGATCTGGGAATGGTTTAGATTCACAATTTGAATAATAATTTTCATCAAAAAAATTATTAAAAAAAGTTTGAAATTTTCAAATTAAAAACGTGTAGACAGGACAACGTCTGTCGGGTCCGCTAGTGTCTATATAAATCTTTAGTGATAATCTCATAGATGCACATAACCATAGTTGATAGATAGCTTAATATTCATAAGCAAAACAATTTGAAATCGCTAGCTGTAATAAGCAATTCTATTTCAAATTATACTATCATCACCAGCTGGTAATTCAATCTATCCCCATATATGGAACAGCTATTGAAGCCAATAAAATCATCGAATACTGTCACTTCACGTGAATGCGATCAACCTGACTGTTCCATTTCTATTCCGTCGCCTCAAACTGAAACGGATTCAAATCGATTTATTCCTATTCAATCAGGCATTGAAATTAAATTATCTATTTTGCACTAAAATATATTTGGTATATTTAAATATATTTTTTTCCCCTTACATATATTTTTTTATTTAATGGCGATTTACACTCATTTTGCTATCAAACACGAGCCAATGTGTTATTCTAGGTTATATTCTATCTGTGTAATAAGTTTCCTGCATTTATCTACCCATTTCACTGTAAAGGATAAATATACATACAAACTTTTACTCGTATATATTATAATAATCTGATAATTTTAGGGAGGTCTTCACATGTATATAATAATGCCCTCCTGATCGATTCCGGCCACGGCGGCCAATCTCATTGAGACTAGCCAACTGCGCAGGAGATAGGTATTATAGCGCACAAGTGTACGTGCAGATACAACGTGCACTCTCTATTCCTGTCACTCTCATACTCCGGTGGGACGACTACTCAACACAACCGGTGGGAGTTAAGGCGCAGGACTGACGGCTTTACATGCTCTCCGAGGCACGAAAGTGAAACACCGCCAACTTCCCAACTCCGGGCTGTTACTGAGGCTTATTATACAGAAAGATTCAATAGCTTAACTTGGCCCGACCTGGAACTCGAACCCAGGATCCTCGTTTGTGCAACCGTACATGCTAGCCACTACAACACCGAGGCAGTCACATGTATATAATGATCTGATAATTTTAGGGAGGTCTTCACGTGATTGGTCTTTTGGATGCCCATGTAGCAATTGCTTGTGTACCTATAGTTTGTGGCCTAGAACTATTTGCAGCAGTGTACACGTATGGACCTAAAAAGTTGAACTTAGATGTGCAATTTATGACAGGAAAACCATTAAGATCTTTTTGGCTAGTCCTCTGGAGGTACATAGTTCCGACTTTACTTTTGGTAAGAGATAATTGAAACTTTACAAACTATGTATTTTCTTCATAAAATTAATTTAAATATAGAAAAAACCTCAACAGAAATAATCTATATAATACCTGTAATATATTTTCATTTACATATATACATATAATACAATATACTCTTAATGTAATAATGTCTGAATTTCGTAGATAATAACTATATACTCATTACGAGAGGTCTCTAGTATAGCGGGATGGTGCGTCGCCCTTGCCTCAGTTATTTGCATCCCAATATACGCCATTAAAGCTATTTACGAAGCAAAAGGATCACTAAAAGAGGTACGACTACAAAATAACTAAACTAGTATTAATTTTTAGTGCTATGTATAATACTAGCAGAACTCGCGACTTCGCTCGCGCAAAAAATACAAAAAAAGACTTCTAACAAACTTTCATCCACGATTTTACCTCCTTATGTGCTAAATTTCGAAAAATGCTAAAACATTAATACTAAGTTTCATGTAATTCTGATAATATTTTTTTTGGGTTCTAATATAACGTGTTTTCCCGTGGGAATGAGATAATCTCCCGCAGTAAAAAGTAGCCTATGTCTCTCTCCAGCTCTTCAATTATGTCCACATAAAAAATCAGGCCAATCCGTCACTCTGTTTTGACGTGAAAGGACAAACAAACAAACTAATATAATATAAGCATGGATTTATATATAAATCACCCATTATATCTTTGATATCAATATTTTAATTCTTGATTAATATTTAAAGAAGTAATTTTATATTTCAGAGAATACAAGAGACTTGCAAACCAAATTCGTATTGGGGGCCATTCGAATCCGATACAAGAAAAAGGTGGAAATCCTTTCAGAACCAAAATATCGCAGTACCTATGAATGACATCAATAACACTTAGTTTTAATAAAACGTGACATAAATTAGGTATTAATTTATCTTCCCAAATAAAATAATTTACCAGCCAACGTTTAATCATTTTATTAACCGACTTCCAAAAACGAGGAGGTTCTCAATTCGTCGGAATCTTTTTTTTTATGTATGTTCACCGATTACTCGAAGACGCCTGAACCGATCTGGAAATTTTTTGTTTTGTTTGAAAGGGCGTACTTGCCAGGTAGTCCCGTATAAATTTTATCGAAATCGGTCAAGCGGTTTTAAAAAAAATCAACAATAAATATATATTTTTAAACAAATTGTTTAATCGAATATGATATTAAAAACTTTCTTCCTACAAATTACCTGCTTATTACGTCTACACTAAAAATATAAAAATAAAAACTTAAAAAAAAATCGACTTCCGGGCACTAAAATGTAAAAAATAACTAAACGGGGGTTTTCATTTAGAATAGATACCTAATCAGATATTTTCGAAGTCGGTGCCAGCGGACAATATTTTAAGATATGAATATCTAATAGGTATATATATGTATTTTATGTATCAAAATATATTAGATTTCCTATGCGTCGCTGTACAAGTCATGTCGTCACTGTACAAGTCATGTCCGCGTGGGATAGTGGCAAGAATGCTAGCCGCATTCTCCCGTTGAATGGCAATGCCGATTCTTTGAGCAAAAAATGCGCCAGCCCTTCTGTCACCAGTAGAGGTGATAAGACGAAGTATTACGTCTTTTAAGAGCTTAGCACTTTGACTCCATGGGCCAAGAGTTTCTACAGCAAATGGAATAAAAACATAATTTTGACTAAGGGAGGAGTATTTACGCAACTTAAGTAGTTCAGCCATCTCCGCCGCAGCTTCCACTTTAGACGCCGTCTCCCTGATATGGGACGGGGCTAATGTGTCAATGCATGTAGTGTCCCATAATAGGGCCCGTCCCCTTTCCCAAGGAACCAGCGACAGGCCATCAGGTCTCTTACCATCATCTCGACTTATTCCAGATGGCTCAATAAGAGCAGGAATGTTGACATTGGCAAGAGCCCTTATGATGGTATTGTTTAAGGAACCATGACGGAAAAGTCTACCTGAATTTCTTTTGCAAGAGAGTCCACGGAGTCCATAACAGTCAACTTCTTTTCCACACGGGCATCTGTGCTCAGTGCACAGCGGTGTGCCCAGCCGGAGACCTAAAGCGATACAAAAACTATCATTATCTAAAAGGTTATAATAGCAATACATATATACAAATGTTAAACTCACAAATAATAGCGTGATTTGCTGTATATTGTTTATTTCATTTTGCTTTACAGATCGTTTACTTTCTTTTAAGAATTTATATATGTACCAGCGACTCACCCTCGCTCCTCTCGGATTCGTCCCTATAGTTACGATTAAACGTTTAGTATAGATTGATGAAATATTTTCCCTCAATAAAAAGTTTCCTATATGTTGACCCGGATAATCAGCTATCTGAGCTATATATGTAAACAAGTTATATAAGTTAAACCTTTTTGAAGTATGACTAATCAAAAGCGTCAAAAACAAAACAACTACATAATACATAATATATCATGGCCGATTTCAAAATATAGGTATAAAAATATTTGGCTTTTAAAAAAATTTGTTACTATTTGGAGCTAAATTAATATAAAATTAAAAATATCATGTAATTATTAAGTGTTACGTTACCCAACAAAATTTAAAGTGAATTTTATCATTGGTTCGTATTAAAAAGTAAATATGGCTGACAACAAAAATGCTGATAACCGAAAAGGTGATGAGAAGGACAAGAGGGTCAAGATACAGGTATAGAAAATAACATATCAGCATACGTACAAAGACAGTAGGTATAGCTTACAATAACACACAAGTTACTTCTATACTTGTTGCATCCAACTTTAAACTGTTTAGCATATGCTTTGAAATATTTAGACTTCTCCAATATTTTCTAATACTAAAAGTAAAACTTTATCAATGAAAGAAAGTTTATTATTTTATATATAATATAAATTTGTATTTTAATTCCATTAGGTTTTTAAAATGTATTAATATGATAAAGATTTGAAAATTGAGATATACATTTTTCCTGCTATTCGTTTTATATAAATCGATACACACTTTTCATCTGTTAAAAATTATACTTATAAATTTTTTCTTCCTTTCAGATGAGATCCCATGGTCTTAAATATGTTTTTTTTTTATTTTAACTCTAGTATCTATAGAAATATTAAAATTGTAATGGGATCACGATAACTATAAAATACTTGCTTGAAAAATGAGAACAGACAATCTAGATACTTAATATTATAAAGAGGCAGAGATTGTTTCTTAAAACGCGCTAATCTCAGGAACTACTAATCCGATTTGAATGCTACTACCCAAGAGTGCGGAGCAGTAATCATAAATGTCAACAAATCGCACACATTTCCATATATTATTGTAAAACTATATATATATATATATATATATATTATACTAGCGACTCACCCTCGCTTCGCTCGGTTTCGTTTTATTTTTTTTTAACGGAACCTTAATTCTTTTTCTAAAATAAAAGGAGTCCAGCCGTTTCAGAGATTATCCGGAACAAACAGACAGACAGAAAAAAATTTAAAAATTGTGTGTTTTCATAAAAGTACCGTATATAATTTCATATGCATTTAGTAAAGCGCTGTTATTTTGATATTACAAACAGACACTTCAATTTATCTGTGTAGACTATAGATGTATAGGTACACAAGGACGAACCCGAGCGAAGCAAGGGTGAGTCGCTAGTATATAATAGTTATAAGTAAGTTACATTTCTGGCTGTCTTTTTGTGTGTCATTCGAGAATGATTTCACGGATTTCAATAGACATTTTCTTTTGTGTAAGTAATAGACTAGCTTATTTTGATTATAATTAGTTAAGTAGATCCAAAAAATCAGTTTGCGCCGCCCATTCTGCGCGCTGCCCTACCAACGGGGGGATGTTAACTAAATAGAAATAAACGCGATCAAATTGAGTTAAGTTCTTGCGTAGGTTGAAGGCGAAGATGAAGTTGGAGAAGGAGAAACTGGAAGAAAGAAAATGAAAAGGTTCCAGTTACCAAATCTACCTCGATGGTGGCAAGCTAATATTATTCAATATGCGTAAGTAGATAGTTTTAAATATACAAAAATCTCTAATCACAATTATGGGTTCTCCTACCACCAAACGATATGATTTATATGGTGAACTAACTGCTGCTAGTGGCTTATATGGGATTCATATAATTATAAAATGTTTTATAAAACTGATAAAAATAATATATACCTACTACTTATAATTACATATTATACATATGTACTGATCTTTATTGCACTTCAAAATTAAAGACAGTATTTAAAATGCAATTTTTATTTGCAAAGGACTTATCTCTAGAAGAAATCTCTTCCAGTGAAGCTATGGTAGTGAGAAATGGTATATTTATTTTATAATTTGTAACTTTGAAAATTTTTAAGGAACTTTACATAAATAATTCTTAAATCTAATGCAAATTAATTTTCCTCAACGATTTTTCATTTCGTTCTCTTGTTTCCGCTAGTTTAGACGATAATAAACACAGATGTTAATGGACACTCGTAATCTCTAGGACTGACCAACCGGCCGAACGACCGACCGACCGACCGACTAGACACGTGCCACACTATGATACAACAGTCGCCAATCTTTTTTCTTAGCATATTATCATTAAGTGTCATAAGCAATATGAAACTAGGACCTTGTTAAATTGATCTCGTGTTTTTATAACATCGCAGTTTTAAATGATAAAAATATTTGTCTCATTATAAACATGTGACTTCGTATCTATTACCTACCGAAACGTGTTCGCGACGCAGTACCGAATACACATAAGCTGTTTTTTTTAAATATCCTTTTGACCTTAACCTCACAACTTAGTGTAAGTATATCTATAAATATTTTACAAAATAAATAAAAAGTAAAGTAATAAACATTCTGGATATCGTGAATTACATATGTATTTGCGTTGAAAAATGCCTTTTCCTTCTAACGAGTTGTCATAAATACATGCCAGTGAATAATAAATTAAAACTGTATTATTTTCGCAAATCGAAGGCCTTAGCTTCAACTGACCCGGTCGTGGCTGGCGACATTCGCGCCATCTGGGTCACTTCTCGGTCGAGCTTCTTGAGCTGGTGTGACGCATGGGGCAGGGTTTTCTACTTTTGATAGATTTATTTTTTCTTTTATATATTTTTTTTAGTTTAAAAAAAGGTTTTTATCACAACTTTCAATAGTTATTTCCTTATTAGGTAATTGTAAAATAAATTTAAATCTATAAGTACCTATATACGTATAAATTACAAAATAATTTTAAAACTTAATGTTTCATTCTAATTAAACTATTTTTTTGCTAGACTGTTAAATCAAATATACTGTCAATAAGCTAAGTGAATGTGTGGAAAATTATCCATGATAGGTTTTTGAGCGTGAGATTAATGTTCGCGTGTGACACGTGGGGCGCCACGGGGACCGGGGTACCACCCCAGCCAGCTATCAAAGGCAATGGCGGCAACAGTCATTGCACTTTAGGCCTCGAGTGTAGAAACATGCAGTGGCATAGGCTATAGTAACAATGCAGCGAACGTCTTCGAACGCATCAGAAGGCAACTTCTGGACCACTATCGAGCTATTAGCAGGACGCGGTAGGCGAACATCGACTGGTGATTATGAAGAATCATACCTATTGGAATCTTCAAATACCGAGTCTCCTAGAACAAAATCGTCACTCAGGTGCCTTTGATCTAAAATTATTTCATACATAATTAGTAACCTATATATATCTAAATTTTATTTTTACTAAGATATGAAGAATTTAGTTTAGGTTTTTAGGAAATGTAAACATTTGATATTTTTTGTTATCAAAATCTTACCATTTAAAAAGCTTTATAAATACCATTCTAAATTCTAGACAAATATTAATGGCTATAAAATTTACTAACTTACGTTTCCTAAAATAAACAAACATTGCCGCCGACATCAGTGCTTACGGCTTTTCTTATGTTTGTTTACTGCAGTCACAATGTAAGAGCAACATGTAGTTCTGGTGTAAACATTATCTCAAGGTATCATAAATTCGGGCTGAACATTTATTCGTTGATCAGTTAATTTTACATTAACGGGATATTTCTAAGCAAATGCTCCGAAGTGCTTCATATATATAATGTGCGTAAAACTGCGCCATCAAAAATCCATAGGCGCACGCTCTATGATAAACTTTTTATTATATAAACCACAGCTACGATCAATAAAATATTCTTGTTTATGTCGTATTTTTCTTTTAAGTTATATATAATTTTATTTTGTGTCGCTTAGTTAAATATGAATAATACATATTTTTTTACAAAATTTAACAATTCAAGATAAAGTTGTCTAGTGGTTAGACTGTACAAAACAATTTAAAAATAACGATCACATCATTACGTAATTCTCTAAATATCCCAATGAATCGGTGAGAGTATGATTCTATATTTATCATTAATTCTTCATCACCACAATGGAATATAAATATACTTTATTATGTAAACATCCCAAAAGTGATGCGAACGCAGTAAATAGACCGTATAGTGTTTAAGAAACACTTTAGACTCTGAGACATGCGTTTTATAGCTTTTAAAAATATCACAGCTTTTCAGTTTTACTACCATTACACAGTTTTACAGACAGTTTAACGGGTTGATATTTTAAATGTATCTATTGAATGCGATGTATTCGTTCCATGGTTTAAAATTAGATTAATCTGCTGTACACTTTAAAATTTCAAAAATAGATTTATTGTAATTTAAGGATGTGTAGGTATTGACATACTTCTATAAAGAAATCAGGTAGATTGGTGAATCCATATTGATATTATAAATGTGGAAGTGTGTTTGTTTGTCCTTGTTTCACGTCGAAACAGAGCGATGGATTTTTGTGTGGAGATATTTGGCGGGCTATCTTTTACTGTAGGAGATTGTCTCATTCCCACGGGAAAACACGATATAATACAACCCACACCTCATCATAGCTATGTATGCGAGTATATTATAATAGTCTAACTATTCTATGCTAACCGTTAAAACGTACCTAGGGACGCCCCGAGCGAAGCAAGGGTGAATCTCCTAATAATCTATCATTTTATATTGGATTAGTAAGTTTAATGAGTAAAATATAAAAATATAACAATTTAACAAGACGCTCGATCCGCTGACTTATAACTATGCGTTTAGTAAACAAATAGTTATAATTTGGAAAACTGATAAGATACATATATAACATTGCTCGCAGCTCCGCCCGCGTTCACATTACCAAAAACCAAATTCTTAGGTTTTACATATTAGAATACTCTTACAATGCAGTTTTTGTATTTTTTCTTAGAAATGAGATATTTTCCCGCGGTAAAAAGTATCCTATATGTTGACCCAGATAAACAGCTATCCCTATACCAAATTTCATGAAAATCCCTCTAGTGGTTTTTCCGTGATGCGGTAACAGACAGAAAGACTGACAGACACAGACAAAAATTCTAAAAACTATAGATTCGGCCTCTAATAATGGCTATTTCAAGAAAATTTTCCAAAAAATTCGGCTTACTTACAATTTTATTATAGGTATAGATATTATGTACTTACAAGTTTAAATAACCTGATATAAATATACGGTATTACAAATTCTTAATCTTCGATACTTTTTATTGGTCTAGTGACATAATTGTTACATAACAACAAAATAATTATGTTATTCTATACATCATAAACCATTTTACGTGGATAACCTCGACTTCCTCTTCCTTTCCTTCACAACTGTAATTCACGAAAACACTTCTGCATCAACGTAACGGCCCATAAAATGTGCGCTATTTATTACTCATGATTCAAACGAAGTTTCATTTTTAAGCGAATAGACATTCTTCAAGCCGCGAAATCAGATCGTATTTATATGGCACAATCGAAGGAGCTCATGTAAATGGACGTATAGGAATTTTTACTTGTAATTTTGTAAAATAAGTACTCATCGTCCGTATGTGCTCGTGCTGTTAATCTATACTTATAATAAATCTGTAAAGAGGTCAATTCTGTACATCAAATATATTTCCAAAATAACTATCAGGGGGTGATTAGGGATCGATACTGATGCCAATGCCAAAATGCAATCAGTAAAATTTTTGTGTCTGTCTGTCTGTATAACCGTTATAGAAACAAGAACTACTCGACGGATTTTAACGAAACTTGGTACAATTATTTTTCATACTCCTGAGCTGGTTAAGGTATACTTTTCATCACGCTACAATCAATAGGAGCAGAGCAGTGAAGGGAAATGTTGGGAAAACGGGAGAAGTTACTCCATTTTTTAAGCTTCCGTCGCGTGTGCAACCTTAATGGTTAAAGCTACACAGAAAGCATGTATGACGGAAATGTTCTCCTTAAAATTATATAAAAAATATCCCAGGACAGTATATGTCTATCTTTTATGGTTGACTCACAATAACACGTGTAACTCCCGATAGCTTAGCAGTTCGAAGCTTTCTGATTTATATTTGTCTACTCTTACGTTTATAACACTCTCAGTCATCCCTAATTAAAAAAGTTAACATTATAAACTATTCCATAAAAAAGAATCATAGAAATCGGTATAGAAACACCAAAGTCATACATGAAATACGCAAATAATAAGCCATCGCGAGTCAGGGGGATGTAAGAAGACAAATAGAACAATAATACTTTCTTAGATTTACGCGAATGTTTGACATTATTAAATAGAACAAATCCAGATTTTTTTCAATTTTTTTATTTGTCTGTTTGTCTGTTTGTACGGGCTAATCTCCGAATCTATTGGACCGATTTAAATGAAATTTTGCATGGTGGTACCTTATATCCCCGGACAACGTCTTAGATATTTTTATCCCGGAAAATGGAATGGTTCCCGTGGGATAGTTAAAAAACTATTATAACGTATACAACTTATGCACCTAATTTAGTAAAATTTAACATTCTGATATCTTATATTGCCGGTCAAACAATAGGTTACTTTTCATCCGGGAAAAATGAACGGTTCCCGTGGGAACTAACAGATTTCTATTAGTGTTTTTCTAGAGGCAAACCCGAGCGAAGCGAGGGTGAGCCGCTGGTTTTTTCAGTATACATATAATAAAATTGTAACCAAGCCGAATCTGTACATTAAATATTTTTTTTGGAAAATCTTATTGAAATAGACATTATTATCGTTAGACAGATTTTTAGAGTTTTTGTCTGTCTGACGGTCTGTTACCGCATCACGGAATAACCACTGGAAGGACTTTGATGAATTTGGTATGATGATAGCTGGTTATACGGGTCAACATATAGGATACTTTTTACTGCGGGAAAATATCTCATCTCTGAGAAATCAATACAAAACGTTAAAACGCAAGCAGGGACGAATCCGAGCGTAGCGAGGGTGAGTCGATAGTATTAGTATAAGTTCTATTATACCGTAAACAATTTTCTCTTGGCTCGAATTGAAGAATGCAAGATCAGGCCGTAGTCCCCCACACTGACCCAAGACCGAGTTGGTAGACTTCACACGTCTTTTGGAGTCTATAGTTAGGTCTAGGCATACAGGTTTTCTGGTAAGTAGTCATCATGTTATAAATGATTCGCACATGAAATTTTTTTTTAAATATCAGATTTTGTTTTTCTTTAATTTTTAATTATTTTTCGTTAGGCAATCACTCCCTTGTATCAGAATTTATTAAGCCATTGAACACCTCATGAATTAACAGCTGCTATCAATCAATAAAAACCAAGCACCCCCTCCAAAGAACTTTCAGTTGTTATCATTAAATCCATCGATATAAGCTATGGGGTCGTTGCTTGGTTGTGATTGGTAAGGTTTCCTGATCAAGCATTATGCTTTACATTTAATTGACCGGGAATCCATGGAGATTAGACTACAAACAAGTTGCCCCAGTGCTATCAAATTCATTCTATCTATATTAATCTATACTAATATTATAAATGTGAAAGTTTGTGTGTATGGATGTTTGTTACTCTTTCACGCCAGAACGGCTGAACTGATTTAGATGAAATTTGGCACAGAGATAGATTATAGTCTGGAATAACACATAGGCTACTTTTTATCCCGGAAAAATGTACGGAATAAGTATGTTTGTTTATAATATAATGAATATATATACAAAATCAAAAAAGCTAAAGTAATTCCTATGTTTCGACTAGAGGATTATATACTTAATAACATTTTTTCTAAAATATAAACATATTATTTAAATACTTTCCTTATCGCAGTATTAATAATATATAATAGTCGATTTACATAAACATAACGAAATTATGCACAATATTTCGTTTCCAATTCTTTATATAAACAAGATAATATGAATCTGTATCTATGTATAAAAATTGTTTATATTTTAAAAAAAAGCCTCGTTGTTATAAACATCAAGATGATTGGAGAGGATAACATTAGAGATAATGACAAACGATATAGATATTAATAACTTTATTTCATAACAAAGATAATTTACCATGACGAATACTCGAATTTTATTACACTTATTATATAAGTATAAAAACTGTGAATTTTTAACTACTAATAGAATAATATCTGTAGCTTATGGCATCGAAAGTATATTCTTTAAACGTTTGGATCTATGCTAATATTATAAAGAGGCAGAGTTTGATTTGAAAAACTATGTAAAATCATGAGAAAATTAATATTACCTATTAAAGCTTATAGCCGCAACTCTACTCACGAAGTTTATATATGTACTAGCGACTCACTCTCGCTTCGCTCGGGTTCGTCCCTAGCTTGCTTCCCAATACAAACTTTCATCCCCATTTTCACCCCCTTAAGGGATGATTTCCGGAATAAAAAGTCCTATCCTATGTCCTTCCCAGGGGCTCAAACTATCTTTTTACCAAATTTCATCTTAATCGGTTCAGTAGATCCAGAGACTACCCCCTACAACGTCACAAACTCACAATTTCACAAACTTTACCTCTTTATAATATTAGTATAGATAATGGCTTCGTTTATAAGGTTATAGCATGATGTTTAAAATTTGTGACCTTTCTCAATAAATAGCATATTAAATGCAATAATATTTTTTCAAGTCAGACCAGTATTTACAGAGATTAGCTCATTCACTCCCACAAAATACGTACCTCTACAGATAAAAATAAATTTTAAGATAAACTCGAAAATACAAAAGTTCCTACAGAATAGTACATGGCACTTTGTATGAAAAAATGTAGAAGTAAAAATTAGGTATAGGTATAGGTTTTGATTTGTTCAAAAGTAAATTACTTACATGGCAAGTTTTTTTTTCATAATTTAGTTAATTATTTTAACTTTTAAAACTAGGTCATTTTAACAGTTCAATAGATACGATATCTTATATTACCAGTATAATATCAAGAAGTGTCTGTAATAGATAATAATAGATAGAGTCGCGCCCTATGGGCGTACCATGGGTAAACTTCCCCATTCGCACCATGGTGATAGAGGCTCCACACACACTATTAGGTACCACTAAACTCTTTTAAATGTCAACAATGGTAGCCTAACAGCCAGATTGCGTTTCGTAGAGTTTTATGTGTCACTATTAAGTGACGAAGCTATCGGTCGTTAAAGTAACATAATGACATACTCGGACCCAATTTCAAGCCAAATATCGAGATATACTATATAAAAACGTCCCAAAACATGATTACAATAATTTTATGCGATATACAAAAACTTTTGAAATAGGGCGACTTTAGTTGTTTTAAATTTTCATATTGTCAATAATCTACATAAATATGCTTTATGTGTTAATCAGTCATTATTTTTGTAAAAAATAATGGTATTACATATGTAATTAAACTATCTACTAAATAAACGATACAGCAATACCATTCTGTTAATTTTCATCTATTACACCCACATTAGTTTATTGATTTTTTTTATTGGTAAAACAACGATTATTTAAAAAAATATATTTAACATAAAAATAAATTTAAAGTTATTATAATATAAAAATAATTTTAAATTTCAATCAAGAGACGTAAGCGATGATAACCTCTATTTGTCCATAGATGTCGTAACTTAATAATTCTCAAGGATCAATTTTGCCTTCATGTATGGCATTCACAAAAACTTTTAGTCACGAAACCTAAAGAAGGAGATGGACTTGATAAGCTTACGCTATATATTTTTACAAAGCATTTAGTGTATCATAAAGTTAATACGTTATTATTTAATTTAACCGTCACTGTAATGAATTATCAAGAATTTATAAAGCTGTAAAAAGGGAGGTTGGTAATAGGTATATACTTAGATATTTTTTATTACTAAATTAACTATTTTGAGTTTTTTGCAGCACAAAAGTAGAATTTACAAAATTTTTTTTTTTTTATTGAACATATTAAATTATGTCACTCTTTTCTGTGTAAATTATATATTGTATAAAAATGAATGTATGTTTAATGTTTATCTATTTCTAAAATATACATTTCTAACCGTTTAATGGGATTGCGATAAAAGATTTCTGACATTATCAAAGCACGATCAAATAATTTAAGTGTTAATATGTATGTATGTATGTGTGTATGTATGAATTCACCTGTGTTACTCTATATCTGGACAACGTTAAATTGCTAGTTATAATCGATAGAAATAAATTCTGAATAGCATTGTCCCATCGTGGCAATGGCCGTCTAGTATGAACACCACGTTACATGAAAATGTATACATGTGGTATCGGCGGCAGCCGTGCCTTACCGTGCCAGCCCAGCCGCGTGCCGTGATAAAGGTCTCAACTATTATGACACGGGCGCCCAGCGTCAAAACTACTAATATTTTTCATAGAAAACATTCCGTCAGTAAATTTACGTTTTGGTCGACTTCTCGGAAAATTGCTGTCCAAAACGAAGCGCAGGGAGTTCCAGCGGTCATGGTAGGTGTTATAAAAAGATGGACAGTGTCTACGTGTTATGTATAAATTATAAAATTTAAGTATAGTTTCTCACGATACTTTCAAATGTTATTATTTATTCCTAATGTGTCAGATATTATATATTTTACGAGTACATCACGAGTTTATACGCTATGTAGTGTAAAGTTTAAAATGTGCTCATTTGTTATTTTCTTCCCAGTTTCACCCACCCTCATGTCCGGGCTCGTCTTGAAAAGCATATGGGAACAAATCTGGTACGGCTTACCGACAAGACCTTCATGACGGAGTTGGAGGAGCGAATCCGCGCTGTAAATGAGGAGAATCTGAATAAAAGGATCTCCTCCAGAGTTGTGAGTTCTGTTTATCGTAATATCTTAAAACTTAACCATTCTGCATTTATATTCTCACTAGTCACATGTCCACGACTAATTTCCCATAATGTGCGACAGCAAAATGTCTATATCACTGTCCAGTGTCCAACCCATAAATTATATCTTTATGCACAAGTCACTACGATCTGTTGTTCCATTGCTACGTGAATGAAGGACACAGAGCAATAAAAAGTTAGTAGATACAATATCTACGCTTATGACTTATAAAAACAATACCTCTAGTCATTAAATATGTCATTGTTTTTAGCAACATTATAATTATTATATTAGTACATTTGTTACACGCGCTCACAGTATACGATAAGAAGAGTTTAATCTCCTTTAACCTGTAGAGTCTAGAAATTTACTTGTAATAACATTTATGTGCTCTTTATTTTTGTTATTAATATATTATTATGATATTTTTCTAGCTTGATGAAATGGAGAGATTGAAACGACTCATTCTGGTAGGAAAAACACCATTGAAAGAATGTCCACCAGAACTCTTCAATCATCCTGTGTTCGTATTCTGGAGGATGGTGAACAAAGAAGTTGCAAGAGCAACAAAAAAACGGGCAGATGCCTACTATAGAAAGTTAAAAGCCTCGCAGAAATTCGACCAGGTAAAGGGAATTTTGTAAAAAATAATTTCACCTACCTCAAAATTAACCAAAATGCTTTTAATATATGTTACACTTTACCCTCAGAGGTCGAACTATAATAATTAAAATTTTAAATATGGGGATGCCTTCTAGGTATGAACTCATAGTCCGCGGGTCAGCAGCCTTTTTATTAAATGATCAATACAAAGTACATAAAACATCGTAAGTAGCTTCCTTTTGGCGAGTATAACAAACTTTCTCTCTGTTACTTTTTTCGAAAGTGCTGCGTTTTCAAGTGAACAAGATCGAAATATGTCGAATAGATGAGTTTTTCTTTCTTGATGAATACATACTTAGTTTTAATGCATTTACAAGATAATATAATAAGAAATTAGAAAAATATTTTATGCGACAAAGATACTGCGCAGATAAGCTTGTCTACCACCACGAACATGCCGTACCTACTTAAGAATTTTTATTTTTCAATACATTCAGTAGTTCACTTTTGCTGAATTGTTTAATATATAATTAATTATTAATGTTATCTAGTGGTCAAAGTGTCTGACAAATTCCCTGCTGCGTTATTTCAGACTGATAACTTAAATATGACGTTATCATGAGATTATGTTAATGTGTACAGCATGTCCGCAGTGGTAGACAAGCTCATCGGTGCAGAATTTTTGCCGGACAATTTTTTTTTCGAATTTCTTATTAAAATATCTTATTAAAATATCTTATCTTAAAACTAAGCATGTGCATCAAGAAAGAAAAACTCATGTATTCGGAATATTTCGATCATGCTCACTTGAAAAAGCAGCACTTTCGAAAAAAGTTGTCGAGAAAAAGTTTGGTAAACTCACCAAAAGGAAGCCACTCACGAAGTTTCAAGTACATATTGATCATTTAACAAACAGGCTGCTGTCCCGCGGACTATCATTTAATAAAAAAAAGAAATATTTAAATAAGTTCATAATAAACGAAGATATTGTGTAACATATAACACTAATTAACACCGTAAAACTAGTTGAAGAAAATCAAAATAAGTCAAATAAAAAACATAAAAGACATATTTTTTGACTTGTTAGTAAAATTATTATCTTTTCGCTATCAATTAGACGGTAGACGAAGAAGCAGAAACGGAAGCAGTGACTGAAGAAACTGAACAGCTATCACCTGAACAACTCCTTAATAAATGTGCAGAAGAAATAGAGGAATTGAAACGGGCAGATATAGAAAAAGGCGTTCGTTTTACAGATGAACAATTCGCAGTTCTTAAATACGAAACCAATGACGTGAAAACACTTAAAAGTCTAACGGTAAGTTAAAATGATCATAAATTAAACGTAATTTGTATATGAGAGATTTATTGATGTATTTATTTTAAATATATTTTTTGAACTCGGTGTCTTAGACATTGAAGTGTTGCATATATGATTAATTTATGACATTGATAGTGATAACACTCACCGATTTTCTTCAAATGAGAACATGTAACATGGGCTCGTGACGATCTAGTACGAACTAGATATAGTATCAGTTAAATGTGACCCTTGGACAGTGATTCTTAACTTGTAAACAATTCGATGATCATCCAATGGTTACACTCGTGTAAGTGTATAGTTTACGATTAGATTTTTCAATTTTTCAAGTAGTTTTTTACTGTGATGTCTTGTGGGTGCAGCCGCTTTCGATTTCAACAGTGCAATAGTGCATTCAACAGTGCAATACACTAAAAATATTTGTAATACTTTTATTATTTTGGTTTGTCTAAAAATTACATATATGTATTACTGTATAATAGCTAGTACAAAAAATACATTACGAAGATAAGTAAAGTGATACCATATTCAATAATGCTTATTAAAAATAATGTAAAATTTCACTTCTAAAAAGACATTTTTCTCGATATGGTTAAGTTTGGATAATTTTTTTTTAATAATAATACTGACATTTAATGATTATATTTATTTTAATATTAGACTCATGACAGTAAACATTCAGGGGTCTAAAAATAATATGAGGAATATATCAAAAATATGATAACTGAAAATTTTGAAGAATTATAATTTGCTTAAAAAATGCCCATTGACTTTTTTTGTGATGTCCTAGTAAAGTTAAATTTTTCGGATCTAATTTAATAAAGTGATAAATAAAGATTACCTTAAGGCATTCATGAATCTTCGATTTATCATGAAGAAATGATTTTAAAATGAAAATGATAATTGCCAGTAATAACTTAGAAAGTACAAAAAAAATTTTTTTGTCAATTTGAGAATGGAAGGTAGCTCCTAGGACCTATTTTTTAGTTCAGGACTTTGTAGCTTTATGTGTTTGCAAACATAACATAACATAGGCTAAAGTTTTTGATGAAAATTACAAAAAATAAGAAATTTAGTTTCTCGATCTCTCAAAAAAGCTTCTTTTTGTAAGTTGACATTTATTTATACCAAAAAAGTAAAAAAAAACTTACATTAAAAATTTTGTCTTTTTGCTATAGATTTTTTAAGAGCTGATTTGATTGGAATGTATAATATGAAGGCATTAAAACATTTGTTTAAAACTCACTCTATAGAGTCTATACGTGATATGCGCTATTAACTGGTTTTTACTAGAACCAATATCTTCATTAATCTACATTACTGAGATGAATGTCCTGATCTTATTATAATGTTCTATGACATTTGACTCTTTAAAGAAACGTCCATAGATTAGTCACGTATGCTTCTCATATTTTTTACCCGACTGTACCAGAAGGAAGATAATATATCTCGAATATATGTGTACATATATGTGTAGATTATTTGGCACACTATATTTTTTTTTTATTGTCTTAAACGTTAGAGTAACACGGAGTAAATTATATTTTTGATTCGCCTGTTTAACATTTGTAAAATAGACAAATCAAAAAAAAATAATTACTTTTATGAAGTGCCACTCTTATTGTATTTAAAATAATATGTAATTTTTAGTAATTTGAATGCAGAAACGTCTAGCTGTTAACATGAGATACCTATATACTTATAAAAATTTCAACCATATAGCTACGAGTAAAATGGACGGGCAGACGGGCATGACCAAATTTTAAAAGTTTTGTTTTAACCTATTGACTACGGAACAATAAAAAGTAATTAATAGTTTACATCTGTATAATGCATATGTGTATGTATGGGAAAGGTGCCATGAATGGGGCAATTTTCTTTAGTGTAAGATTTTGAGCAATAAATGATGTATAATAAAAAATCTTTTGTATATAACGTAACTTTATCTATTCATCTTACAAAATATAAACCAAAAACAATATTTTTTCTAAACATTGTAGCATTAAAGTCAAATTTAAAAATTCTTGAGGTATGTCCCTTTCAAGACGGCCTGGTCTTGAACGGGACATTGATGATCATGAAAGGGACATATTATAAAAAAGTTCTTAGCACTTATTATAGAAGCTTTCATATTCTTTAATCGTTTATAAATACACCTCCAATAAATAATATACCTATAAGATACCATACTTAATCATAATCAGGCTGATGTGTATAAATGTTGGAAAATGCATTTACGCATACTACCTGTATACATACAGGTGGTTATGACTCATCATGATATGTGGACTCATCGGCTAGAGAAACCAGTACCTAAACCCAATAGAACCTCCCCGGTCTTAATGGGGCGTTTAAGTCCTGCCTCAACTACTACTCATTCGTCCCGTTCAAGGCATATTTAGTTGTCCCTTTCAAGACTTTTATACTATTTTAAAAATATCCTTACAGCAAATAGATTTTCGAATAACTTTGTATTATTGTACACTCACCTTTTAAGTAGTTAAACCAATGGTCAGTTAGCGATACAATAACTATCAAATATTATTTAAATAATCTAATAAATAAACTTCTCAAATAACGAATAAAATAATTAAACTACGCTTCGTCATTGTCTTTGTTTTGAGAAGCAAATTAAATTTCCGTCAATATTGTTACTGAGTAATTGTTGTAAGAATTTAAAAACAAAAATCTACTACTTGGTTTCTAGTGCCGTAAATTTAATTTGTCCCATTCTGAACTTGTCCCTTTCATAGCACTTTTCGCATAGTTCCATTGATATATGATGACGACACGTAAGTTATATAAAATAATTTTCAGATAAATTATTTGATCTGAAAAAGTACCGCTTGTATGTACCACTAATTATAAACCATTTTTATCTCACCTAAAATAATAAATAAATACATACTTATATGATCATAATAAATAATATGATATACAGTTATTTAATTTAATATAAATGACATTATCAATAAAAGTCTTTATTTATATTAGAGACAATGGCCGGTGTTGAATGATAAAAATAAAATATTATAGAAATTAAAAGTGGCAAGTTAAACAAATATATTTTATTCATTACTATTATTTGTCGTCCGTAGTAAATGTCTGTAAAGTAACGAAATTAAACCACCTATTATCGTCATACATATAATAAATTTGTAGATGATCGCCGTCTGTATATTAAAAATATTTTAGAATAAAAACTTAAAAAAAAATAGAAACCGACTTCCAGGCACTAAAATGTAAAAAATAACTAAACGTAGGTTTTCATTTAGAATATATACCTATTATTATTATTTTTAATTAATCTTAACTTTTTCAAATTACACATAGATCAATTGTGTGGCTTAAATAATTAATATATTATGATTTTTTCTTTATAATGTAAATATAATAATGGCAACACTAAAAATAAAAATGTAGATTACTAATTAATGTTTTTAAAATTGTAATAATTATAATAATAACAGCTCTAATTAAATAAATAATATTCCATATTCAATTATAAAGCTAATTAAAATTATATAAAAATGTTTAAAGTTAAAAGTTAAAAGATTGTAAGGTACTTTGGTGCCATTTTTCAATTTTTGAATTCATTTTGTTATTTGTGGGTAGGCTTTCTGTAATAACTATATAATACCTTAGAGACATCTAACACCTCAGTCTCTCCCGTGACCATGAATGCTGTAAAGCATTCGAAACGTCGGGAACCAAAAATCAAAATAAATTCGCGAAAAAATCCGAAAAGATAGTTTTATTTAAAATATATACCTAATCAGATATTTTCGAAGTCGGTACCAGCCGACCAATTAAAAACTATTAGTAGAGGTTAACGCAATAGAACCCAAAACAATGATTTTTAGAATTCATGTCTGTTTTTCTGTGCGTTTGTGCGTAATAATCGTAGAAACGGCCTAATCAATTTGGATGCGGTTTTCTCTAATATATTATGATAAGCTTCACTTAACATTTTGCGTTTGTTTTATTTCTATCGATTCATAAATAAAAATTAGTTAAACATTAATTTTGGTAATAAAATTTAATGTGTTTTCAGTTCTGTAACTTTTCCTGATGACTTGCTCACTACTAATTGCTACAACCTTTAAATTGCAGCTTTATACATAGTTCAAAGTTCAGGCATCCGTACTTTTTATATAACCGAGTTTTGCTCGGTCTGTTCCTATGATTTCCGCTCAAAAATCTGTCCTCTCTATTATCCCTTAATTCTGAGGTGAAGATAGCCGAGCCGATAAATGCGACCCTTGACTTGATAACCGGATGCCCTTAGGTCACCTTCCACTACGAGGTGGACAAGAATTGGATTGAAAGTTTTTACCTCACTTAGCGGCATAGTACACTCATGACTTTTTTGTGTATCTTATATACATATGTACGAACCAAATATTTTGAATAACGACTATACATTTTGTTCATATACCTATAGATTTCTAGCCATCTGCTCTGGCTTCACCCCGCTACATTTAATTCTTTAATTTCACCCTCGTTAAATGTTGTTTCCAAATAAAAATTATACACCCCCACACCCCCTTTACTCCAGAGGTTTAATTTCAAATTGCCATTATAGGGATAATCTGTCAATATTTCAACCTTGGAAGATAATAAATCCATTAAGACAAGTAACTTAATAAATATTATCTCTTATAAAATTTACTTTTTAAAAAAAAAACTTTGTTACTTATGTAATTTTACTTATATGCTCAGATAAAGTCCAAGCTCTTCCGCGACCAGCTTATAAATAAATCGCGCTATTATTATTCTTCTAAATAGGCTCCCATTCTTTAGTACTGCTGCTAATAAGTGTACCTACCATATATCACTTTAAAATAAAAATTTATTCGTTCCCAGGAATCTTGTAGGTATTTTTTTCTCTCTATTCGTTACTATTATTTTATAAAACATATTTTCTCTATATATGTGAAACCTCGAAATTTTTTTATATCTAAGAGTTGACACATAGTCTCAAAGTAGTAAGTAGACAATTGAAATTCAATTGCTTTCCCTAAAATATACATATATATATATATATATATATATATATATATATATATGTATATAAAAGGCCGACACCGAGTGAAGCGGGTTCAAATCCCGGGGACTCGCACCTCTGATATTTTCATGTGCGAATCTTTTCTAACATGATTACCGCTCGCGTTACGGTGAAGGAAAACATCGTGAGGAAACCTGCATGTCTGAGAAAACCTAGCAAGTTTTCGAAAGACATGTGAAGTCCGCCAACCCGCACTTGGCCAGCGTGGTGGACTATGGCCTGATCCCCCTCGTTTGAAGAGAGGCCCATGCCCAGCAGTGGGACGTTAAAAAAAAAGGGCTGAATACAATACATACGTACATATATATATATATATATATATATATATATATATAATTAACGATGCCATATATCTGATACTAAATAAACTTAACAAGGTCAGTTAAAACGCTTTGTCTGAGCCAGCGAAAGCTTGACCCTCATAAGATGAAAACCCTTAACATTCTAAATAAGTCGAGCCTGTTAAAAATATATATAGTATATTTTTAAAATTCCATTTAAATATTTGAATACTTAAACATATAATCTGTAACAAACAATTAAGTCTACAATTTAAATATTAAGATAATAACTGGTCGTTAGCTATAAACAATTATTTACAAATGAACTAGTTACTTAATTAGTTAACCCAGATAATGATATTTAGCAAGTGCTAGCTAATGGCCTACCTTATAATATTTAAATTAATAAGTGATTAATCAAAAGCCATTACGACCGTAATAACAATTGACATTATCTTTCAAAATCAATCTATAAATATATATTTTAGTAACAAAAGAATACGAATGCTAGATCTTTTTAGTCGTAACTCCGTAATCAGATGTGTGATTTTTGTTCTATTTCTCTTTCAGACGGTGGAGGAACTCTATGCACTTGCTGACAAAATTATTGGAACGAAACGTCTATAAATAAGCCGAGTTAAAAGAAAATATTTTTTGTTACTTTTTGAATACAGATTATGAATTGATGTTTATTGACATTTGTTTGTTATGTTTTGTAAACATGTAGTTATTACAGTTAAGATAAAAGAGAATTTTTTTATAATAGGTATTGTTAAGTAACACACTGTATATTTCTAAATAAAATTGTTTTAGAGTTTTCACTCCTTTTAATAAGCTGAAATACAAGTATCTTTGTTTAATATTGTTTAAAAAAGTAAAAGTTAATATGTACTCTTCGGCATCTCTTATTTTCTACAACGTATAAAATTGGTTAAGACTTAGGTGGAAATGAATGGACAAAATTTAATACTTAATTAATTTATTATACAACAAAGTAGTATCGTAGTTGTAATGGAAATTGTTCAGACCATATACCATTGACGTATTCTACTTTGTACTCGTAAGAGAAGCAATCCTCGGGATATTAATCTTGACTAGATATTTTGAATATTTCTGAGTGCTTTTTACAAACCAAAATATACAATTAAGAGCTTAAACTTTAGTTATATCTACATGTTATATTATAACCGTGACAGCGATATAATCTACATTATTACAGACTCTCGTGTAACAAGCTTTATATATAAGGTAATATTATTTACTCTATAATAAAAACTTTCAAAAGAAAACGTAAATTGACATTTTGCAAAAGATTACAGTAATTTTTTTCCGCGTAAATGCGTTTTATGTAACATAAATAATATGCGGCAGTCTAAAGCACTATGGTAGAGTAAGAAACTCTTGATTGAAAGTAAGATAGACGTTTATAGTCTGGAAAAGTTAAGGTTACAAGTGGCTTTTAGGCCGTCTGCGGAGTTGTGCGTAAATAAGACCCGCAGGCTTATCGATAGGCTGGTAGATGTAGTGACGAGGATCTCCTTTCGTCACGTTTGCGGGGAATTTTGATACATCAATGTTGAGGTAATGCTTGTTCGGCATCGACATCCGAATCCATGAAATCTGTGATAAAAGAAACGTAAAATATTAGGTACTATTTAATTTTAAGTTTTCATTTAATGCTGCACAAATCTTGTTATTTATTAATTTTGTATAAACATTATAAATTTAGTATTAATGGTCTTGCGATATAGTTTTTCGTAAAATAAATTGGACTTATTCGACTTATCAAGTTCAAACGTTTATATGTTTTTTTAAGTATTTCTTATCATCACCAGATGATACACAAAAATGAGTATGACGCTAGCTTGGTATATATTGTTGATAAACTTTGACCGCTCCGGGGACGTATTGCAGCTCCTCACGTGATTTGATAACTCGAAGGGTGTGACGCCTCGTATCGCACAAATTGATTTCTTAATTTAGAAATGATAAAAAATACATTTATTCACAACCGACTTTAATTGTGTGCCAGATACGATTGCTTGCAAAACCATTTAATTTCATTCTTTCAAAGAAATCTATGAAATTACTGTTATTGAATATAAAAAACTTTTAGGTTTTGTTCGATTTCCAAATGATCAGTCTAAATATATTTCGTAGAGTTATATAAGTTACGTATACTATACAGCTCATTCTATTAATATTCTCCTACGCGAAAAATGTAAAAATTTGTATCAACGCTCACGTTCATTACACTAATAAATAGCTTGCATTGATTTATTGCTTCTTTCAAACATCACACAATACTTACTGAGCACAATTATAGAGATAACCTTAGCGCGTGATTAAGTACATAAACATGTAACTCGGATAATATTGTAAGCTAGTAGGTATACTAAATATTGTCACCAAAATAGCTTGGAAGTTTGAAAAATTAAAACCTTCTTTTAATGACAATGATTAAACTAAAACTGGATGTTATTACCCCTACCATCAGCTTTATAAACTAGTAATTCAGAATTTCGGAAGTATCAAATAAATACTAAAGCGTTAATTCGTCATATTAAAAACATATTATTTCCCTATTGTTCAATCGATACATATTTAGTTAACATATCATAGTGTGTACATATACATTACATATAAAACGTAAATAATTATATATAAAAGTCTGTTGCTAATCGATAAAAAATATTAACACGACAATCTTATGCTATAATAAAAATTAGATACAAATCTTACCTCGGAAACTTTTTCTAAAACAGTTTTCTCAGCTTGATACAGCGTATGTTGCACTGAGGGCGAGTAGACGCCGGTTTCAGGGGGACCAGCGAATTTATCTAAAATAGCATCTTTAACAGTCAACCACGCGTTGTCAAAGTCTGCTGTCTTCATATTATCATACATCCACTCAGCTTCAACAATGGTACTGTAAAATGATAAATAAAAAATTAAGTTTTTATATATGTTTAAAATAAAAATAGAAGCTAATATATATTTTCTTAAATTATCGTTTTTTGAGTAATAATCTAAATAGCTAATCTTATAAATACCTAAATATTCTTTCAGGAGCATCTGCAAGTGTTGTGTATTCATCTTGTACAAAATCGACGAAAGAAGACTGAGTCGTTTTTAAGACTCTGAGACCACTTAAACCAGATTTTACAGTTACAGCTTCTGTAAAAAAATATGTTTCATTTAACTTTAACGTAACTCATAAAATTTAACTCTGAAATTATTAAATATTCGTCAAATTGTTATAATGTATTTTAATATATTACACTTAACTTACCGTGTCTTGCTTGAGATACTTCACACCATCTTGTCGCTGTCGGTGCAAAGACAAAAGCGTGATTGTGGGGAATTCCTGCTTGTAATCTCTCCCAGGGATATTCAATAATATGGCACTTTGCTTCGAAAACTTGTCTATATGTGTATAGAAAATGATTCACTACAACTGCACCGAACTCTTCGGGGGTCTTAATTCCATGTTTTTTAGCCAATAAATGGACTGTATTCTTTTGAGAATCAGTCGCTACAACTTCTTTGTTATCGCCGATCACATAAGCTGATTCAGAGGCAAGTTTTAGTTCAGTTGACACTTCAAATTCACGTATTACATGATATTCGCCATCACGATGAACATGTAAGAGTTTTACTGAACTCTTTCCATATCCATGATCACTCAGTTCAAACCGACCACCGGTGTCCGCGGCCGCGGTGGTCGCCGCCTTCGCACCAGCCATCACTACTGGAATATTTTCACCTGAACTTGTGTTCGAGGGTTTTGCATAGATTCTAAAAAAAATAAAATTATTTATTATTAATATAAGGCAGTGGTAACGCGCTCGCTTGGGAAACTGAGTGAAGCGAGTTCAAATCCCGGGTCTGGCACCTCTACTATTTTCATGTGTGAATGATTTCCACTTGTTTTAACGGTGAATGAAAACATTGTGAGAAAACCTGCATGTCTGAGAGAACCTAGCAAGTTTCCAAAAGACATGTGAAGTCGAGTCAAAAATCAATGTGGTGGACTATGGCCTAATCCCCCTCATACTAAAGGGAGGCCCGTGCCCAGCAGTGGGATGTTAAAAAGGGGTGAATACATACATACACATACAATATTAATATTAAGAAAATATTATTATTATTCAACGATATTCTAACTACAAAAAAATTATGTAGGTGAAAATTAATATAAAAAATTTTACCTGTTTGTGCTAGCCCACGGCATTTTTTAAATATTTTTTTACTTTATTTTAAGCGTGTGTAAGAAACGCCGTCGGAACATTTACTTACGAAGACTGTGATAAATATAACTCAGAACCTCATTTATAACAGTACCCTGTGACCCTCATTATCACTGACGAGCACGCGCCTAATGCGCAAACTGGACCTTATCGGTCTCTACATTAATTTTGTTTATATAATACGGAGCAATATACACTCTTTATCATAGGAAGTTGTAAATAAACAACATCTAGATTTTTTTGAATTCATTGTTAATTACAAATTCCTACTAAATCCAAGGAAATCGAATATGACGTTATTCCACTATTTACTGTATTTAATATAAACAAATAATAACCATTTACTGAGTGCATTTCAACAATAAATAATACGTCCGATTTTACCCTGACCACTTATGTAATTTATTATGAGTGCTCATTAACTTAATTACTTATAAGATTTTTTTAATATTATTTATGTTTTTAAGAAATAAAATAACCTCATATTATTTACATCGTATCTATTTATATATTTCAAGAAGATTTGAAATTCTATTCGGGTTGATTTACTTTAAAATATTGTATGTGCGTGTATTGTATTAGTACGCAGCGTTTCAGTTTCGACGGACAGCAGAATACGGCGCGATGAGTCACTGGTTCTCCGTCTATGTCTAGTATAATATTGTTTCTCAAAATACTTATAAGTGAGTAAATATTTAGCACTATTACATATTATTAATATTAATAATTTAACACCAATGGTGTTTATGGGTAAAAAGAGAGTTATATTATTAGGTAGTTTTAGCTTATATCGTTCGTTTGGCTTTTTTGGAACTTTCCTTATCCGCATCGCACATTATGTATATATGTGTATGTATAAAACCATGTCAATAAATAATTTATTATTATTCTTATACTAGACCCACTTGGCTAATGAGAGCTAGACGGAAAAAAGTGTACTATTTCTTTTTATTATTTACTAAGAGCACCTCATGTGATTTATATGAAGGAACTTCGTTCCTACCAGGCATCCCACGACACCTCATTTTTTAAGGTTTTTTTTATAATCAGCGAAAATCAAGCAAACAAGCTTTTTCCTCCCTAAAGCATACGCTGATTTTGATTTAGGTTTAGTTTTTTTAAAGCTAATGTAATCAATATGATGTTTGATGGAAATGGATAGAAATTTTATAAATAAAAATTGTTATACATACTTTTTCACAAATAATCAATCGACTTCAATTTTTGTAGAAGTTAAAAAAATATCTATGGTCCTGCAGTGTTGTCACAGCTTAAAGTACCGCTAACAAGATGTTGTACAAGGTACAAGCTTACTAACTCCTTGAAAATTAAGATTAGATATTATATGTATATCGTGTTTTGGCCTATTCAGTTGGCATTGACAAGTACTCGTAGTTGGCGTTGATAATGAAGTTCTTGTATTGAAACATAATTATAATATATTTATAATTATTTACATATATATATATATATATATATATATATATATATATATATATATATATAATGAATGTACTCTCTAGTACTAAAGATTTTTAGAGTGAGAAAAGGTTTTAAAAAAATATATTTTGATAGTTATAAATTGAAGAAATTTAAAATTAGTAATCAAATTTTTGTACGTACATACCTATGTATGTAGGCACGATGATCTGTAAATTCACGTGGAGTATTAAACAACAAAATATATATTTAATAATTCAGTTAATCATAAAACACAATTCCGAATTAAACAACTAAAAAACTTTCATTAAAATCTATCGAGTTGAAACTTAATTATAAATCATGTATAGAAAAAACCCGACGCGTAACTTATTAACTTATTTACTTATTCGAATACTTTGACGTTAATTCCGAAAAAAAAGTCGAAGATCAATAAATATATTCTTATCGTATCAAACATTTACGTAGAAACTCATTTTGCGAAGTTTGCGTCAATTGTACAATTAATTTTCATCACAATTTAGTTTACTTTTCACAATTATTCCAATGTATAATCTACTTAAATGGCTTCCATACTCCCAAACCCACCTGGTATTTTATTTACAAAAAATAGTATCCATATTTCCAATTAACCTAATATGAATGTATATCGATCGATATGAGCAGTGCTTCACCATATTGTCTATTAAATTATTTTATTTTGTGCTCTTTATTTTTACATATTTATTAATTGTATTTAATAAAAACTAAATCTACATCAATATTTTGTTAGATACAGAGTTTTATATTATGATAAGCATTATTCCATAAAACTACTATCGACCGGTAAAAATATATAAGCTGTATTTATGTGCACCGTAAAAAAGTTTTATCCAATAGAATTAAAGCCAATAGTAAATTAACGTTTTAAAACGCTCTTTTTGGTATTTTGATATCTAAACATAAATATTACGGCCGAAGCTCGAAGAATGTTCTAAAAACAAATTATATTCAAACGTAATATATCATAATTTTTTTTAATAAAATTATCGAAATATGCACATAACATTGTACCTATGTTTCAAAATCATACTTTATCATCGCACTTATTTATGTGATGATTGAAATTTACTCCAAGAATATTCAAAGTCACTTAAAACAAATTTTATTACATCTAAATTTACATTTTATCAAGTTTTTTATCGCAGAACAAAATATTTTGAGTGACAGATCGGGCAAAGGTGACTGAAATGCAATATGTCTACAACATTTCATATAGGAATTATGTTCGATTTAACGTCACGAAATCAACACGTTTGTTAAAATAGCATTTGATACGCGTTATTGCTGCCGAAGCTGATAACTGATGATTCTTCTTCTTCTTCCTGCCCATTTTCCAAATTACTTGGGGTCGGCGCAGTACGTCTACCATACTGCTGATCGGTTTTGGCAAAATTTTAAGTCCAGCCGCCTGCATGACATCAACCCTCTTTGATAACTGATGATTACCAGGGCTTAATTTATATCCCCCCCAACGTGCGTTCACCTTGTCGTGGGGGGGGGCTCAGTAGTGCCCGGCAACCCAACTGGGCACGAAGCCAAGAAACGCACAGGGAGGTGGCCCACTTCGGTGGGCGGTGGGAGGTGGTCCTCTTCGGAGGGCGGTGTACCATGCAGGTGGCTCCTGGTACTTCTCTGATAGCAGAGTGGACCTTGGAGCAACCCCGTGGTTGTTGTGGTCTGCTTCGGCAGAAGGGCTTAATCTATATAGGTATTAGGTACCTATAAGATAAGTCACTCTGTGACCATTGGTGTAAGCTATTAAAAAACATATACAGGGTAAATAGTAGATACATAAGGTCGGCAGTCAAATAAGCATAATATATAATGCTTCATATCTTTAACCAAAATATGTATATAAACTAAATATTTTTGTCTTATCTTGAGCCGATGACTATATTAATACTGAAAAACAAGTATGATGTTATATATATAAACTCGCTTTTGCCTGTGGCTTTGCGTGTGGAAAATCAGTTTCCACTGCTAAGATGTACCTCTGTGTCTGGTGAAGCTGTTGAAAACGCACTTATCCAAGCTTCATTCGTCCGATATGTTTATATAATGTGCAGCGCATTATGTAAAAACACATGCCAAATATTGCCTAAACATTTTTTTTTTTCAAATAATGTTTGTTTAAGTACAAATACATCCGTGATTTATATGATGATATACATTTCTAGTATATATGTTACTCTATGCTTTAATCTAAATTGCTTTAACCTCAAATTCTAAAATTGTCGATGAATAGCTATTTTTAATAATTGTATAGTTATTAATTATTATCTAATTAAAAGTCTAAAGTCTTACTTATAATTCGTATATACATATGGTAGGTACATGAGTTATATGAGTAGGTATATGAGTTAGCAACAATGATGTCACAACAATGATATTTATGAAACTTGTTATTTCATTTATTATTGTTGACAATAATTTTATTGTAAACCGTTTCATCTTAAATTCTTTATCACTTTTAATTAATAAATATTAATTTGAGTATATACTTGTTACGATAGCAATTAGCAATTATTAATTTATATAAAACTAGCGGCTCACCTTCGCTTCGCTCAGGTTCGCCTCTACAAAAACAAAAGCAAATCTATCCCTTGGGAACCGTATATTTTTTCGGCATAAAAAGTAACCTTTGTGTTACTCCAGACTATAATCTATCTCTGTGCCAAATTTCATCCAGATCCGTCCAGCCGTTCTGGCGTGAAAGAGTCAAACATCCATACATACTCACAAACTTTCTCATTTATAATATTTATATTATATTATATACACATGTATTTGTATATTTCTATAGATTTCTATAACCTCTTGTGCTTCTATAGTGAACTTATAACTCCTAAAAGACCGGTCAAAGTGAAATTCGTACAATATAACTATTTTATTGAGACGATACTCAGGTAGCTTATTTATAGCTTTCTAAATCTGTAATTGATAGGTCAAATAAAAATAATTATGACTCAACATAAATGATTAAGCTAGCTACATTCATAGAAATTATTCATATAAAATTAATATTATTAAATAAAACTATCTTTTCGGATTATTTCGCGGATTTATTTTGATTTTTGGTTCCCGACGTTTCCCGGGAGAGTCTCTCCCGTGACCATGGATGCTGTAAAGCATTCGAAACGTCGGGAACCAAAAATCAAAATAAATCCGCGAAATAATCCGAAAAGATAGTTTTATTTAATAATATCAAACATTCGCGTAAATCTAAGAAAGTATTATAAAATTAATACTTTTAAAATTAGGAGGCTATTTTAAAAAGTGGGGCATCTATCCCAGTTTTACCCTACACTTAAGTTTAATACATCAAAATCCATATCCTTCAAAATTATTAAATAATAACATCATCAATGTTCATGCATAAAAATAGATCTAGGTTAGAATAGCGAATAAAGATCACAACGTCCGGTAATATTTTATTTTAATCTTTAAATAAATAATTAAATATTGCTTTGCCAGATCCAACACTTATGTGTTGGTTTTTAATCGTAAATATGATGTATTAGTGTATTGTAAAATTATATTTTTATTACTAGATATATATTTTATAAATCATATAGTGATTTATTATATACATTATTGTTATATTTCACAGTCACACAGCGTAGACGTGTGTGATATGTACATATGTACAATGTATAAGAACCTAGAATAACCTGGTAAATATACCTACGTATAATGAAGTTAATTATATTTCCAAAATCAAATAAAGATTATTTTATCTTCTAATGCTGCATGGCATTAATAAATATTACAATTTCATATATTCGTACAGAGTGGCTAACAATTTTTACAGACGTATCATAATATTTTATGTGTTTCATATTTGCCGACCTTATAATATCAAAATAGTACGAATATATTTTATGACCAGCAGAAACTCTTACTGCGGACTTTTTATAGCCCACTGCATAGTTCTACAGATATTTTAAAGTACATATTTCTTTTTTATTTCTTATTTCTTATAAAAAGACGCATCATATATATGTGACACCGTTGATATTTATAACTGTCTGTAGATACTTGTTATCAATTTTTTACACATCTTAAGTGTTGACTTGTAACATTTAGAATTTTCTTGACAGGCTGACAGACTTTTGACAGACGTTTGACCTAGTTTCAGCTGTTTTTGAAGTAATGTAATGCAGAAGTAATATCAGAATTAAAATAAAAATAATAAGTAATACCCTTGCAATAACGTTTAACAATGCACAATTTATTTATTAGTATTATAAGCGAATATATGGTATTATCAAAATATTATTATCTTGTCAAAATTTCGTCATTCACACGTACGCGCTCACATCTTCGCTAAAGTGTATCAGACGAGGAAATCGTGTGGCATATAGTTGCGAAATTATATCGCGGTCGAGCGGCGCGCAGAGTTGGGCGGCTCTATCGATTTCAAAATATAGTAAACGGAAAATTCTTTTCCTGAAAATTTCAGATTCTTTATTTAAATAAGAACAAATATACACTAATAGACGATTCCGCAAGTAATTCTTACTTTAATTATCAATAACATTTTATATCATAACTTACGCAATAAATATTTACGGCGTGATAAAATTATTAACATATTACTACCAATATTTTTAAATACGATCTTACTCGTTACGTCTACGGATGTTTACAACTAAAGAATGGCGTAGGTATCTTAAAAGATTGTCATTTAAATTATAGGTATATACCATATATTAAGTACATATTATATTTTATATTACATAAAAGGATACATAGAGGAATAATAAATAATTTTATGATATGGTAGCGAGATTAAAGTATCGATAAAATGTACAATAAGCAGAGCGACTCTAGCGCTGGGCGGGCGTCGTGCGCAAGCGCGAGGGCGGGCGGCGTCGTGACGCGTCGCGCTCGCCAGCTGACGGCGCGGCCGCGTGACGTCTGAACGTCTGCGGATCATGCTACGGCTCTCTCCGTGAGTCTTCTTACGTTACGTTCTAACACCCCTGTGATACAAATGATGGTGCGACGTAGTGGACGTTACACAGTGAACTGGCGAGGATTTAGGGACTTCGTCAGCAATAAACCACCCGATGACGGTAAGTTGTTTTGCCAATCGGCGTGTGAACTTAACCTCAAATAAAACCGATGAATAAAATCATTACTCAAACATGCTATAAAGTGGTAACGACACACAATGTGTCTTCTTTCAATTGTAATACATTACAGCTTACAATTGTGAACATATCGTTTGTGAATAATAATTTAAAAAAAATGTGTAGTATATTACATCGCTATTGTTACTCAAATATAAACCATTTACAAAGTACTAGTAAGTTCTTAATCGGTTTCTCATAAGAATATATAAATAATTGTAATGAATTCTTAACCACTATTTTTAAGCTAATATTTTTAATTAAGCCCAAAACTGCATACCTGCGTAAACCCATATCTAAACAAAGAATTTTGTGTTTTTTTTTTCAAGTAAAAATTGTTTAATAGTGTGTCAATTAAGAATATTTTTTCGGAATAATAAAGCTGAAAATGATAAAAAAACACTTTAATACAAGACGTTTCTTAAATCGTACGCTTAAGGAATTTTTGCTTGCAAATAAGCAGTTTTGCCATCATAAATGTATTTTGAACATAAAGTATATTAAGCATAAAAAAGTTTCGATTTTATTAAATGGCAGTGATGTTTTTTTTCTACATATAAAATTACAATCACTCCTTTTCAAAGTTTGTAGAATAATATGTAATATTAAAATTAATATCATAATTATATTGATTACATACATCGTTTCTAATTTTTATTTACATTACTGTAAGAGACGAGTAAAAATTTTGTGCCTCCATTACATGCAATAAATATTCCTTAGGTATACATTTTCATTTATTTTATTCGGCTCCTAAGTTTTCCAAACAAAAAAACAATATTACAATAAACGATGTCAACTTTATAAATGGCCTTGTATATTTTTTTGTATGCCGTAACACATATTTAAGAAAAAAAAGCATTTAAGTTAGCTGCAATAGCTTGTCTACGTTTCATAATAGAATCTAAATAGTACCTTTGAATATTTTCAGTCCTTATAATCTCAACATTTATTATGTAATCAAGTCATATTGTGCCGTTTCGCTAGATTTCATTCTCTAGAAAATTTTGTCCTAATTCTAGTGAAATGTTCATGTTTCTGTTCAGTTACTCATACTCCGCTGCCGTATTACAGAGCCAACACTGCATAATAAGCAACGCAACATAAATATATAATTTATTACGCTTTATAATATGCACCTCCAGGTAAATTTCTAAGAAATTAAATAAATTTCTAAGAAATCTATTGTTAACTGACACGCCGGCGCGGCGGCGCGGCGTGTCCGCAGTCGTGGAGGGATTAAAATATTCTCATAATATACTCTCTATAAGGAATATAAAATTTTCATGTGTACTTTTAACTGTAATGGAGAAAAAGGGCATACGGTCATGGCTAGTACTTATAGCCGTAAAGTGGCCAAAAATTAATGACTATAATAACTTATATCTAATCTTAATACTTAAATCAATAATGAGATCGCCTTCATACAAACAGAACTAAAGGAGTGATCTTAAAAATGTTACTTGACAATTCTTAGTCTAATGATATTATGGGATATTGCAAATTGTATTTCTTTAGTAAAAATACGTTACACAATGTTATACCGAACTACAGTAAATCGCTTATAAACTAAACTTAGAGTAGGAATATAATTTTATTATGAATAAATCTTAGAACAGCTGCCTACTCCACTTTTAATACTTCCTTGTGATAAAATAGATTATCCTACGTCTACATTTAAAGCAAATTTATTTAATCGAGAACATTATTTGAAGCACAACTAAAAAAACTTAAAACTATGAAAGTAAATGTGCATTCTTATTATTTTTAATAAACGAAAAGTATGGCGAACAAGAAGAAGGAAAATAGTGACTTTGAATTATTTTCAAACTTTAAATACGTAATATTATTTAAACAATGTCTAAAACAACAGAAGTATCGCATCTAGCACATATTCAAAATATATTCAAATATTATTTATTATTTGTATATATTATGAACTTAACACAAAACACGTTACATCAGAGCCGAAGCATGTGTTATGTAAAATAATATATAGAAGAATTGTTAATAATCATAAACTTTTAAAAGATACTAGCATATTTAAAGATATTATACTAATCACATAATATGATTAATATCATTCAGATTAGGAAGGATTTTTTGTTTAAGACTCATAACGACTATGATACTATATTTGAAATCAACCTTAAAAGGCGTTCCTCATCGTACTCTACCGATTTAAATGAAACTTAAGTAATTGTTAGGTAAGCATACAATAAACAATTTGTATGCTTAACAAAAAAAGTTCAATCAGAATCTGCTCAGCCATGAGCCTCGAGTGATGGATAAGCTTTTAAGTGCTTTTACTTCTTTTAAATCAGAGGCTAACTACGCAAACAAATTTTCCAGGTCTTCAACATGTCATTAACATTAATATTACAAGTGCGCTTATTCAATTAAGAGTACGGGGAAAAATATTTCTGTAACTTCTCATTAAAACTCGATGACATACCCGACTGGGGAGAAAGAGAGGCTTAGCCTTCTCGTTAGGTTTATTGTAGCTACTCAGAAACCTAGGTATGTTAAATTCGGTAAAGACACAATTTTTAACAAAAATGGTTTGCAACTTTGTGTAGAATATGATTATTATTGTTTAAGAACATACAAGCAAAGGAGAGACTACCACTTTTCCAGAAAACATTTATTTATCATATTTTCTATGATCAACGTTTATTTATTTACAAAAACAACTACCTATATTAAAAAAAAGCTTCATTTTTTGTGCCTATAACACCTTTATGCCTTCAGCCATGTAAGGCATAATAATGAGATTCGTAAAGTTTACTAACTCATGAAGATACTACTTATGATGTAGCCCTAAGTAGATATTTCCGTATATCTAAATAAAAGACGAAAGACTTGTAGAACCATGTTCAATTATCTGTTCCCTTTGATATATAAAAATATAGATGCACAATTCCTAACAAATGTCTCTTCAAAAATTGCCATCGCAAGTGACATTTAGTCAAACCAAATAATAAAATCCAAAAATCGTCAGTTCTGTGTTAATACAAATTCGAACTTACGCGTAGTACGTTTTTAAATTTGTCTTTCGGGAGACTTCGGGAAATCGCTTTTGGGAGTCAGATAGTATAAAAGCTGCAGTAGAGTCGTTGTGATATTTAATTTATTTTCTAAAAAAAATTGCAATTTGATAATACTAACGTAAATATCTATTATATCATTAGGAATGTGTATTAAAGTTATTGTAATGGCTTTTACCATTAAATATTATAAAATTATTTTAAAATTAAAAAAAAACCTAATAGTGACTTTTTTTCCTTTAAAATAAAACATTAAGTAATGAATTATTCGTTAGGTATACATGAAAAAATAAAACATACTCGTAAATGAAAATACATACTTAGATAATAAAATAGCACTAAATAAAAAAATAATAATAAAGAAAGTGCATAACGATAGAGACCATACTTAATATTATAAATGTGAAAGTGTGTTTGTTTGTTTGTCCTTCTTTCACGTCAAAACGAAGTGACGGATTGGCCTGATTTTTCGTGTGCAGATAGTTGGGAGAGCTGGAGGGTGACATAGCCGATAGGCTATTTTTTACCGCGGGAGATTACCTAATTCCCACGGAAAAACACGTTCTAATACAATCCAAAAAAAATATTTATAATCAGAATTACTTAAAACTTTGTATTAATGCTTTTCAATAAAATTAAATAAATACGTGTTTAGCATTTTTCGAAATTCATCCTATCAGTGGGTAGTAGGTAATTTGTATGAAACTACGTTTAGAGATTTTTTGTAGTTTTAGCGCGAGCGAAGCCGCGGTTTCTGCTAGTTTCATATAAAGAAAAAGTCATGTTATTAAGCGACCAATTATAGATGGAGATTGTAATATACAGCTCATATAGCAAATAAGCAGCTATAAAAATTAGTCGTATAATAATATCGGCCATGTAAAGTAATAACCGAATTAAATTAAAATCAAATAATGCTCGTTATATTTTGTAATATATATCACAAAAACATATCAATTAATATTTTTACTTATCGAAAATACAATATTCCATACTAAATAAATAAATATGTTGGGACATTAACACACATCCCCATCTAGTTCCATGGTAAGCTACGAGGCTTTTGTTATGGATGTCAGATAGTTGATACACTACACATATATAACTTTAAATACATACATATTATAAATATAAACACCCATGACAGGAGTAGGTACAAACATTCATGCTCATCACACAAATGAATGGTAAGTAGGGTCACTACAAATTGAGCCAAACGTGTCGTTAAATACTTTTTTATGGTTTTAAATGCAATTATTTTACATTTTTGTATACGCAATTCGAGTCTCGAGAGTCGAGGCTATTTAAAAATAGCGTAAATGTGCATTAATATATTTAACCAAAAACACTTTTTGCTGAATAATAAAATATGAAGAATCTCCAATATAGTAACATAAAACGCAGCATTATCACAATCAAGCTTAAATGCTAATGCTATTTGCTAAATTAGTTCGTTAATCGTTTGCGACAAAAGCAACAACCATGTAAGCTTTTAGAAAACTTATATATTGTTTTTAATATTTTATTTATTATTTAAATTACCCAAATTTGACTAATTTAGACATATGGCAATTAAATGACTAACACAAAAATTTAGAGACTGACCAACGAAAGCGTGCCCTGGAGTTTTCTTAAAAGTTTTGAAATAGCAACATTATTAAGCTGTCAAAGGCCCGTTAAACTTCAAAGTCTCTGGAGTCTGGATGCTCTGGTTTTAAGCGTTGTTAGTGACTGTTTTATATATGTAGCAATATACTCTATGGTGACTGTATACATTTTTGTGCATAAACTAATGAGTACATACATATAACGTAAAACGTGTATACTAATATTAGATTCGAGTTGTTTACAATGAATTGATAAAAAATATATATCAAATTCAGCAACAACTTAACCATTACTTAATTTTGAAACACGGCTCGGACATTTTCTTTTGTAAAATATGATGTTGATATAAATTAGAAAACTTTCAGATTTTCTAAAGACGTGGTGTGTTCCTTAAATTAGAAATTAAGTTCGCTAAAAACTATTATACAAATTAATTGTCGTAAATACAAAAAATACTCAAGTATCAAAACATTTTACTGTTACTAAAGTTAGTATTACCCTATAAAGACTTTTTGAATTTGCCGCGTTTTCTCACGTCACGCTTTCGTTGGCCAGACTTTACCATTATTATCTTTTACAATATACAATAGCATCATTAAACTAAATTATGAAAATAGTAATATTACGTATGTAAAATTAATTAACAAATTATAATACGTTATTAAAATATTAGGTGTATATGTTAATGTATAACAGTCAGAACTCTTTCGTGGTCAAAACTACTTTTGAGTTTTGACTGACTAAAAGTCAAAAATAGTTTTGACTGCTGGCCTTGGTCAATAGCAGTTTTGACTGGCATAACTGTCAAAACTTTTAAAGTTAGGACACTTGCCAGCCGCTACCGCGGCACTGTCATATCCGCTGAATAAGATATGGTAAAAACCCGAAGTAAAAATATTTTCTAAATTAATGGCTACGGCCTTATAATAAAACACAGGCTATAGAAACCAGTTAAACAATACAGCTAAATTACGAGCTTAAAATTAAGTACATTATTTACCCTTAGCTATAAGGCGTAATGTGGAACGTAGTCACCACAGGTACCCCCTATAAGAAAAAAATGGTTCTTCCGAGTAACTTTTAACTTTTAAGAGTTTTGACCGACAAGCCAGTCAAAATTATTTTTGACCAACCTCTTTAGTGAAAAGTAGTTTTGACTAAAAAATAATTTTGACTGTGACATAAATTTATGTATATCCTTTTTTAGAAAAACAGGAAGAATTGCAACCGGAAGAAGACTTGTCAAATCATGAGGTGATTTTTTTAAGAAGCATCGTAGAAAGTCCTGATTTTGGCAGAAAATATGGGGTAAGTAGAAATTTTACAACTTTTATATGATTATTATTATTTATTATCGAAAGAAAACAATTTTTTCATTTTATCTTAACATAATAATCTAACGGTCCAATTTAGTTATAAATATAGATGAATAATAAAATAGTAGTAGTATAGTTTTATAAGTTACGATTATAAAAGTCGCATAAAATTTGACGATACAAAAGCCAATATCCGCACAGAATTCAAAAACTTCAAATGCCCTTATTAAAAAAGCTTTTTTTATCTGTTCCTCAATGCCAATCTTTTGACAGACACAAAACATTGTTTGATCGTTTCTATGTGATAAGTATAAATAAACTTTCAACTCTACTACATTTACATACAGTTTAAAATATGCTGTAGTAAATGAATTTTCTTAAACAAAAACAGGTATTAGGAAATGAAGTACGAACGAACATTCAATGAGAAATCTAGTAGGTGGGTGTGTACTTATTATTGAGAAATTTAGAATTTAGTATTACTTCTTTAATTAAATAAAACTATATTACGGCTATAATCTCTGTTAAAAGTAATTTAACGGAAAGAACTTAGTTATCTTTCAATAGTTATTAATTTTCATTCAAAATTTGAAATATCAAGTGCCACGCCTAAGCATAACTTTTTTGTTTCGTTGATTAAAAAACAAAGTAGTAAATAAACAAATATATTAAATTATAGTTATATGTGCTTGTATTGCAGTCAATCGATTCTGAGGAGGATCTTATCATAAAACCAGTCTCTTTGGATAATGTAAACATAATAAGATCGTTGAGTGAGTATCGAGGCAACAACATACGCACTATAGAACAAGCAGAACTAGCTATATTATTGTCCCGAGTACATTTTAAGGTATGAATTCCACTTTGAAATAGGTTTGCCAAAGAATGTATCTTATATTTAGTCTGTATTGCTTATTCAGTTCCTAGAACGTATGTTTATTGTAATAAAATTGAATGGTGAATGGATGTTCTGCTGAAATAATGAAATATATCAATGTGAATAATCTAAGTATAAATTCATTAAAATTGCCTTTTAAATGTTTAATGTTTTATAAACAAATGGATCTTTTATGTATTCTAATATATCTTACTTCAATAGGCATTAATTGATGCTCATGATCAAATTGGAAAAATCTGGTTGGAAAGAGGTTCAGGAATAGATGAGAAAACTGCAAAAGAAGACCAAAAAACTATTATAGAGTCAGATCTCAGTCCAGACCAAAACGGAGACATGCCAGTAGAAACAGTTAAAGTTGTAGGCCTTAGAAAAGTGCCAGGCCAACCATTAGGATTAACAGTAAGTCATGATAAAGTTTTATAGAATAACATTATATTTTATACAAAGGTAACATTGTATTACAAAAACTATTTATTAATTTAATTTTAAATAGTATATATTGAAATAAATACTTTATATTATTCTACCATATAAATAAATTGTATTATAATTAGTGAAAAAAAACCTACGCCATTGTGTTATTGTGTTGAGCATTTAATAATAATAAAAAATATTTATTCTGTATTTTATTGCTTGGTAGGTAACTACAGATGAACATGGTCAGTTGATAGTAGCTAGAATCTTAGCAGGCAGTGCCGCAGCCAAACAGGCATTGCTTAGTGTGGGAGATGTGCTATTAGAGGTTGATGGTATACAAATAGATACAGAAGAACAACTAAAAGAAGCTGTATCTAAACCTAATGATAGAGTTACTTTGAAAGTTGGCCCTAACCTTAAAGAAAAGAATGCTCAATTAACTAATAGGCTTAGCGTAAGTATTCAAACATCTATATTATAATTTGTCAATAAATATCATTATGTTAATGAATATCGAAGCACATGTTATACAAAATCAAATATTTTATTATTTTCAGTGTTATATGAGAGCTCTTTTTGATTATAATCCCGCTGAAGACACTTTATTGCCGTGTAAAGAAATAGGATTAGAATTTAAGAAAGGTGATATTTTACAAGTAAGTTGTTTTGTAAATTTTCAATATAGACTTGTTTTCAACTTCTTTATGCTTACAAAATAAAGATCAAAAGATATAAATTAAACCTATGTGATGACTAAAGCCTAAAACATATGGCAGGCAGAGTTGTGCATACTAAAAAATGGCTTTCATGTGAGAGTGATGTGTCTGACTTATGTATCTATGTATGTCAATATCTGAAAAACTTGTGAAGGACATTGAATATGTACATTGAATTTCTCTAAATAATGATTTTTTTGTTTTGATTATATATTTATGCTTCATAATATTAGGTATCAGACAGAAGAGACCCAAACTGGTGGCAGGCAAGCCATGTAGAAAAGCCTGAAGTCGTAGGCCTTGTTCCATCACCTGAACTAGAGGAGAGACGTAAAGCCTATGTACCACCTGAAGCAGATTTTGTTCATAAAATTAGTATATGTGGAGCCAGAGTAAGTAGCATTTAATTGTTCATAATAATTGGTTGGGAGTAAAAGAAAACTTTATTTGCAATAGTTTTTATCCATTCTCTTTAAATAGCTATGAGTGGGTTATTATTTATTTTACACAACATTTTTTTAACAACCAGAGAATTTTTTTTCTTTAAAATTTATATGCTCAGCTTAATCTCGCTTTATAAAGCAATTTAGCAAGCAATAAGTAAAATTAGCAAACCAATTTCCTCAATCCAAAAAACATATAAATTTGCTAACTTATATACTAGCGACCCACACTCGCTTCGCTCGGTTTTGTGCATAGGTATGTTTTAATTTTTTAAAGCTTCTTTTCTAAAATAAAAGTAGCCCAAGTTACTCCTTATAACGTCGGCTATCTGCCAGTAAACGTTCCGTCAAAATCATTTTGGAGATTAGCACAACAGACAAATTTTAAAGGTTGTGTTTTACTTATAAGTACCATATATAACTTCATATGCATTTAGTAAAATCTGTTATTTTAACATTACAAACAGACATTTCCATTTTATTTATCTGTATAAATGGTATGAAAGTGACCATCTCATTTAAGTGTATTCCCTAAACAAACAGATATCAAAGAAAAAAAAGAAGTTTGTGTATGAGTCCCGGTCCAGTGTGCAGCTAGAAGGTGCTGAGCTGGCACTGTACGAAGAAGTTGCGCGCACACCGCCCTTCCTGCGTCGAGTGCTAGCGCTTGTGGGCACGCGCGGCGTCGGGCGACGGACCCTCAAGAATAGGATGATACAAGAGCACCCTGACCGCTTCGGGACTGTTGTACCACGTCAGTATAACTTTTTTTGAAGCTTTAATATAATGCCTTTTAAGTTCGTTGGTCCTAGGTGGGGCTAAATAAAGTTATTGAGTTTTCTTTAGCAAAAACTTAGCAGTGCCTGGAGTTAGGAAGTTGACGTTGTTGCACCCCTGAGCCTTGTGAGAGCACAAACAGCATCCTGCGCTTGATCTCTAACTGCGAGTATCGAATTGAATTAAGAGTGAAAGGAATAGAGAGTGCACTTGTTTTAACGCGCATATTTTTGTAATATATGTGACATTTCCTGCGTGCAAACGACTAGCTTCAGTGATATTGTCATTATCATTATGCCATTCCTTATGTGCAATCGGTAATATTAAGAAATTATTTTCGATGCACAATAATTCCAAAACAAATAATTATTTATCAACTCCTTCTTTCCTTCTCTAAATCCTTACTCTTTTAGTAGCTTTCAACATTTGTAATTACATATTTATATATTTTTAACCGACTTCCAAAAAGGAGGAGGTTCTGAATCCGTCAGAATCTTCTTATTTCTTATGTATGGGACCATTCAAATATTACGTAACCACCAAAGGGGGCTTTTGCAAAAAACTTGTGGCACCGACTTCGAAAATATCTGATTAAGTATCTATTCTAAATGAAAACGCCCGTTTAGTTATTTTTTTACATTGTAGTGCCTGGAAGTCTTTTAAGTTTTTTTTATTTTTGTAACTCAGATACGTCTCGTCCGCCACGACCGCTGGAAGAAAACGGCACGTCGTACTGGTTCGTGACGCGCGAGGAGATGGAGCGCGACGCGCACGCGGGACGCTTCCTCGAGTACGGCGAGCACAATGGACACCTGTACGGCACGCACTTGGACTCTATTAGAGCTGTCATTAAAGAAGGTATAACAACTGTACATACAATATAAATTGTCTCGTTATTACTACATTTTTCTCTTCACGTACGTAAGAGTTATAAAAAGAGGTTTGTCTTTCTTTTCCATAGAATCATAACTATTTGTTGCATTTTTGCATTGAGATTCACTCGGGTACGTCCCTACGGAAAAATAAAAACAAATCTATCCCACGGGAACCGTACATTTTTCCGGGATAAAAGTACCCTAATGTGCTATTCCAGACTATAATCTATCTCTGTGCTAAATTTCATCCAGATTCGTTCAGCCGTTCTGGCGTGATTGAGTAAAAACAGCCATCCATCCAAACTTTCGTATTTATAATATTAATGGGATTTATAATATTTATTATGGGATTATAGGGAAAATGTGTATACTTGACTGCGCGCCGCAGTCTCTCAAGCTTTTGCACAACAGCAGTGAGTTTCTGCCGTACGTCGTGATGATCGCAGCGCCCGGCATCGAGCAGCTGCGGAACCTCACATACGCCTCCAACAGGAATCTTACGGTGATTATTTAAATATTGACGGTAGTTAAATCTCCCTAGTGGCCCTTTTCGGAACTAACGACAGCCGCTTACAGTACTTTATCGAATATTTTGGATATGATTCGCACATGAAAATATCAGCGGTGCGACATCCGGATTTGAACCCGCTTCACTAGGTTTCCCAAGCAAGCGCATGACCACTGGGCTACCACTGTCTATTTCCAACATGATTACGGAAAAGAAAAACATCGTGAAGAAACGTGCATGTCTGAGAGAACCTAATAAGACTCGCGCACTTTGCCAGCATGGTGGAAGGGAGGCCCGTGCCCAGCAGTGGGGCATTAAAAAGGGCTGACTACACTCACGGAATATTTGTGAATTTTGATCTATGACGCCGTAGTGACTATAGGTCGAAGTTAGTTCTGCGATTTGCCAGATGACATTGTGCTACCGCTAATATATAAATAGATAATATTATACTATAGTAAAAGTAGATTTTATTATTATTATATTGCATGGTGTAAGATTTTTAATGATTATTATTTTTGATTTGTTTTAATTTTTATTATATTTTTTAATGATTTGAATATATTTTGTGGCCTAGAATATTCTAGAAATAAGAAATAGAGGCAGAAGTTTATCTTATTATATTTTTTTTGTTTGAGCATGTGTGAAATATGTGCGTAATGTTGCATGTACGTAGTTCGACCGCCAGAGCTCCATCCGCTACAGCTCGCGGCGCGCGCGCACGCTGGAGTCGCTCGCGTCCTTGTACGAGGTAACTATTGTTTAGATATAGCTTTATAACTTATACTTTTACTTTTATAATTTAAAAAATTACTTATATAACGAACTTAACTTCCTTTCTGAACAGATAGTCGTTAAATCTTTATAGAATAAATCTCTTTTTAAAAGGAAGTTATTGTACTTGGAAGTAGATAGAAACATGTGGAAGTATTGTACATTTTCTGTAAAAAAAATTTTTTTTATTAAATAATTTAAATCGTAAAATTAAACTCAAAACTATTACCAATCAATGTAAATAACCATTTGTAAATAAAATTTTGTAATTACCTTTCAAGCTTTCGTCCACTGATAAGTTTTTGATTTCTTAAAATTCTTTAATTACTAAATCCTCACAATTGCTGTTTCATAATGTTATTAATGACTTACCCTTGCTTCTTTCGGATGAACCTAGATGCCTGTGTATTACTTCAAATAACACACATACAAACTTTAATATTTATATTAATAGTCCAATTTAACTCATTTCCTCAAAACAAAAAACTAATCCCAATATAAAACAACAGGAGGAGGACATGAAGCAAACGCTAGAAGAGAGCGCTCGCATCCAGCGTCAGTACGAGAAGTACATCGACCTGAGCATAACGAACAACAACTCGGACACCACGCACGCGCGCCTCATGGACGCGCTGCACGCGCTCTCCACCGACCACCAGTGGGTGCCCGTCACGTGGATATACTAAACATATACTAACACCTGCGCACGCAATCACGCACACACATACACAGAGAGAGAGAAAGAGAGACACATACAGCCATGCTCTCATATACACCTCATGCTCACATTATATGTATACATACATAATGCACATATGTACACAAATACCAAAATAATTACATACACATCCTTATACTGTTCTCTTATGGGCCTCTGCCTAAAAGGGACACTTGGTTATATTGTTGATTACACGCTGCAATAATGTGATCTAGTGTCAACTACAAGTTTTACCATTTTATGGTAGAGATATTAAATAATAGTTTGGCGGAACTTGATATGATAGAATAAATCGAAAATAGTATCACATGTAATTTACGTTTCAAGAGCATTGATTTTACTTTAAAATTTGATATGAATATGTTCAAGTAATAGACCATTATTTTTATTACTTCTGTTCACATACTGTTAATTATAATAATAACGATTTCACAAATATGTTATCTTAAGTGTTGCCTCATATTTGGGTAATTAGAGCAATATTTTATATTAATATAGCTAATGCTAGTCTAAGGATTGATTCAAGTAGCTAGCTTTGGTTATTTCACGGTCTGCCAATTTGAGCTATAAATTCTTTATTATATCGAAATTGATGACAAAAACTCCAACGAATTTTCATACATTAATACTAGCTTAAGTAATCAATTGAAATATGCATATTGTTTGAATATTTTATATTTGATAAGAAGCCATGGTTAAATAATAGTATATGTACAATAGATTTTATAATAAATAATATTGCACATTCTCTCTATTGGCCGTCATCAGATTCCCAAGTATTCACAGAACTAACTTCGGCCGATAAAAGATAAATTTAATGTGTATGTCTATAAAATATTTCTAACCTTTGTCCTGACGTATTTATTTAATTTTTCCGTGATACGGTAACAGACAGACAGACAAAAATTCTAAAAACAATAGATTCGGCCTGTGTATCGATAATGATGTCTATTTCAATAAGATTTTTCAAAAAATATTTAATGTACAGATTCAGCTTAGTTATAATTTTAGTACATGTACAGATAGTTCCCACACACAATAGTTATTAGAACAGTAGTGTTAGCAATGATGAAATAATACCATTTAGTATAGTGTTAAAGTATGTTTAGGCTACGACAAAAATTGGGACATAAATTTCAGACATTAATTTCTTTACTGTTCACACTTTTACGAAGTTTTAGTGTTTGAGTAGTGTCAGTACATAAATATACGGAAATTGTGTTTGAGCTGTCCACACTCCTTACTCCACATGAAACTCATTTTTAAGTAATATCTTCTATGTGGGGCGGTGTACTTAAAATGTCGAGCCCGTTCGAAAACTTCAACTATACCAGACACTTGGACACATTGGTAGTTTTCCAATTACAGCACTAAAGCGCATTATGCGGCAAAATGCTTAACTTCGAATTTTTCAACTACAACAACGCTCCGCACAATCGAGCACTTTGAAAAGTATTGTTTTGGCGTAGCAGAAACTACTCAGTAGCAGAAAATAAAAGAAATGGTTTTTCGCGTTGTTCGTGTTCGTGCGCCAAAGTGCGGCGTTATGCTCTGTAATTGGAAAACTGGGAATGTGTTCACACAGACGCTGATACAACACTATCGTATCGCAATAAATTTCACAATAATTAGAGACCCTCGGTATATACACTGAGTGTACCGTGTATAGTGTCTTAGTCTAAACTGGTCTTTAGGTAACAAATAACACTGTAAACCACGGTAATATTACATACAGTATTCCATCTTCATACAAACGGTCGAAAATCGAGTTATACCTACGCGCGTCGCGTTCGGTATACACTCGGTAGACAACCGTGCGCGGCTGCCACATCGTATAATTGGATACGAAAATTGTATAAGGTGGTTATGTTATGTAACTTTTATAATTTTGATACAAACATAAAAATTTTATTCCTCCCGTAACTTAGCTCATGTCAAACAAAATAGTATCGAGACATCGTGTTTTAAAAATAAAAATTAATTAATAAATTAAAAATTAAAGTATTTTTAATTAAACTTTTTATCCGAATGCGGATTGTTTATACTATTAAAATTAACAATAAACTTTTCGTACGTCTCACTCGAGACGAAAATATTTTTAAATCTCAAATTTATAAGGGTCACATACCACACTTATAAATTTGAGATTTTTTAATTAAATCTACTAATAATAGTTTTAAATAAAAAATATAATATTCGAAATCACAAAATTAGAAAGAAACTCAAGTAGGTAGATGAAATTAAACTACTGGCCGGCGGGCAGCCCTGTCGCGTGGGTACGTGCCGCTCGGCTGTATGTAATTATTTCAAGGACAGGCCTGAGTTGGAGTACTGTATGCATTACATTACCATGCTGTAAACTGCTGTTGTTAGTTCCAAAAATAGCCTCTAGGGAAATCTCATAACTGCCAATAAGATTACAATATGAAGACAGAACTGATAATGTATATTTAATGGTAAATATATATATATATATTTTTTTTAATCTCATTATCACTAACATGTGTCTGTCCCGATAGAATAGTTATTGTCGTCTTTACTTTTACTATATGTCACCTTAAATCTGCTTTAAAATACTTAACTACTGGAGTTTAAATTCAGCAATACTTAACAACTGAAGCACTTAATTAGGTTATTTTACTTATTATTAATAACAATGTCTACTTCAAATAATGTTTTAAATATAACGCTAATGTATTGTTGCTAAGCAAACCTTTTTAGAGCAGTGCTGTATAAAATTCGCAAAATCAATGTACGTGAATCATCTTCTACTTCAGATTCATAATATGTTATACTCGCATCGAATTTAAATCGCATAGGTCATTCGCAAAATATTTTTTGCAATATTTCATGTAGTTGATGTTGTGATAGTTCTTGAATGATAAGGTCTTATATTTTTACACAATAGCACATACATTTAATTCGAATATGATAATTTTTATATGTATCAATTGATATATTGATTTTATTCATTGATCTCACCTCATCACCGTCAAAGAAATAGTAATAATATGAATTCTAATGCATATATCACATGTGGCTATAAAAACAAACGTGTGTACTTATGTACGTACGTAAAAAGTTATACTTCTGTGGCGTAACAGAACAAAAATAGCTACAGATTTCTTCCCGTATACAACTCTCTGTTTGTGAAAGGAAATGCAGCTAACTTCATCATGTCGCTTTTTGGCTGTCGGTGTGCGCGCGTATCGTAATAATTATAGTCTCATAATTTTTTCCAAACGTCCCAAAAGATATATAACTTCAAAAATAACTGTTATTACATACATGAAATTAGACAAATTATCGATATGTAATGTACTATTCAATTAATCACATTATACCCAAATTGTTTTATTAATTATTTACAAATACTACTTATACACAGCTTTTTATTTTTACTCTGTTTACCAATTATACATAGCTATTTCTTTTATTTTATATTTATTTTATTATGAGGAATTATTTTTGGTGTGTTACAATATTTCCCTCTTGAAATATAAATATCTCATATTATAATTTATAAGCAAATTTCTGCTTTGATTTGATTGAAGGAAAAATATATTATCACAAAAAATATCTTTTGAATTAATTTTATTAGTTTTAATTGCAAACGATATTATATAAAAGTAATACTTACAATAAATATTATGTATAGAAATGGATTTGATATATATATATAGTTTCGTGACTTAAGTTTTAATGTATTGATTATAGTTGACATCACGTGGTTGTATGTAGGGTTAAATTTTGTAAGCGGCTTACGCACATGCAAGGCTTACTAACTCTATTTAAATTTGCGCGTTTATTAATTCAATTAATGCGCTTATTTCATATAAATATAATATTCTGCATGACGCATACGGTCTATTCGGAAATATTTTCCCACATATTCATACATTAAAAAAATTAGGTAGCCGCCGTGCATGTGTAGCCAGCCTTATAAAAGAAAATCTCGTAAGTCAAAGAGTGTCTCGAGCTAGTAAACTAACAACTGGTATAAATCATTCCAAATATTTCTAATCTCTATATTTCTCACAAATGTTACCAAGCAGTAGAGTTTTTGTTACAGATAATGTAACAAATTTTACAATACAATATATATTCATCACGATAGTGTTCAAAATTATATATCCCACCAAACTTTTGTTTGTTAGGTTACAATATAAATGTTACGAAGAAGGAGTATGTTTATTCAAAAGTTTTTTTTACAATTAATAATTTGATGATTTATCTCAAAATATTGTATAATTTTAAGATATTCAACTATAAGTAGAATTGTGCATTTAAATGTATAAAGAAACACTGACACAAATAGAATATTTTAATTGTGTAAGCCTCAAATATATTTTAATAAGCAATTTAAGGTAGTTAAGCTTAAAATAAGTTGCCACATAGTAACATAAGATTTTGTACTGCGGATGCATCACTTTATTCAAAATCACATTATTCTCATGATAGCTTAAAAATAATGTATTTTTTTAATTAATAAATATTCACATTTAATAAACCACTTTCAGGATAATTTAGTAAAGAAACTTATTATATTTTAAAACAATTTATTTTTATGTTTATAGTTCAACACAATAGGATTTTGTTATAATAGTAAACCGATAATTTGTAGTTAGCTTGTATTTCATTAAGATTTTTACATTCCGTCCATTTTGTTTTGTTAATTAGCTATAAAGTTTATATCGAGGATTTTCAATATACATTATGTAACTTTTGCTTTTTTTTATTTTCGCTATTATATCTGCTCCTTGCTTCATTTATGTTTGCGTAAATCAATAAAATATTGCAATTTTCAAGCTGAATTCTAAGTTTTTTTTTTTGAAGATATTCCACAATTATTTAAAATCTACTAGTTTGATGGTCTCGAAGTGTTTTTGTGATGACGCACAGAAGTTTTAAATATGTTGGGATCAATGTGGTTGAGGCCAGCCTCGCTGGTCACTGAGACCACGTTGTTTTCAGTGTCGGTTTTATCCAACAGATGTGGTGCAAGTAAAAGAAAAATTTGCTGAAAATAAAAAGTAAATATAATTAATTAGACGTGTAAGACCCAAATTCATTTACAACTAGTGCCAGCGGCTCTGAGCGTATTTTTCTGTCAAGACCACAACCACTATATTTAATCCCTACTTTATACCTTGCTCTGTACGAGAAATTCAAACAATATCTTTTACTCAATTGATCTATACGAACTGAGCAGACCAGAAAAAAAATTATTTCAAGAGTTTATTCAGTGATAAAATGCTTTCTTAAGTAATTTGACAGAAAAAAATTCAATACACTTTAAACTCTAATTTATAAAACTATACACTAAAAATAAATATTTTGAAGAAACTACTGTAGTCATGACCGATTTCGGCCACGGCGGTGAATCTCGCCGAGACTAGTCAACTGCGATAATATAATGCACAGGTATTCGCGTAGACACAAGTGCACTCTAATACTCTGGTGGGACGACAATTCGATACGACCATTGAGAGACCACGCCCAGGATTAACGGTGTTACGTGATCCCCGAGGCAATATCCCAAATCTAGGCTGTTACTGAGAATTTCTAAAATATAAACAGTAAGACTAACTAAACTTGGTAAGACCCGACACTCGAACCCAGGACCTCCGGATCTACAGCCGTACATGGTAGTCACTAGACCACCGAGGCAATCTTTAAAGTCTTCTTTATGGTACAACAGTTGTACTACGAGCCTTGACGATATTATATTTGTAGATATAGTATTTTTTACCTCTGCCCATGGTATGAGAGGAAGATTTGCAAATGCAGCTTGCCAGCCTGGTAGTCCGAGGTGTACGAGCGCCATTCTAAAATAATGAGTGAACGAATCCGCCAACCAGCCCCAAGCCCCTTCCCTTGTCGCGAGCCATACTGACCACGAACCACCGGTGTATATTAAGCATACCTTAAAAATATATGTATGTTGTATTGAATTAATGATTACAGAGCCGCAGTCTGTTAACGGCTGAGACAAACGTACACAAGATAAACATTAAATATTGCCTAAAAGCCAAATAACAAAGAATATAATTGAACATTAAATATATTCTTATAGACACTTTCTTGCATATACAATATCCATTTCTTTGTAAGAGCCCCACAGATGAATGCGTAAATGAATTTGTGCCTTGTGGATGTGATTTTTTTAATGAAATTACAACGCATTGTGAGTAAGCTGTATGGTGCTCTATTCGCACAATGATAAACAATTACATTTTAGTATTTTTTGTGATATAATTCTATTCCTAAAATTGAAAATAGATATTAGAGGACGTAAAATCTCAATCTTGTCAGGATTTTAAGATTTCAATAGTCATATTACCAAAAGTTGCTTGGTTTACTAAGTAACAAGTTAGGGGTTCGACTCCTAGGTTTGCTTAGTGTTAAGGTAGATTAAAATGTGATAAAAGCAGGGCTGTAAACTATTACGTACTCTGCATGCATCGTAGATAATCGTGAATAGTAGGTATAATATAAATCTCTACATCACAACGGACAGAGCGAACTTAATGTTTAAAAACTTACTTTTCCTATGTTCCGACAGTTGTCTAACTCAAAAACTTTACTTTTGGTATTTAATACTGGACGTGGGCCTGCATTTTGACGAGTCAGTGAAAAATCTAACAAGTCTTTAAGAGCGGGAGTTAAAACTAAATCGTTTAGAGAATTAACTCTTATTGATCCAACCGGTAGAATTTCATCAGCTGTAACATAGATTTACTATATAAACTACAGAACTATTATAAATATCATCTCATTTTGTTTATTAAGTTCTTTCCTGAATACTTGTAGTGCCATGTTAATTGAAAACCATCTGTAGATGCATAAAAATTACGCAAATCTTCTGGTAATATTGCAGAATGTCTCTGCTCCCAATTAGAGAGAGCTACACGATCACAAGGAGGACGACGTTCAACTTCTACGTTAGATATCCTTGGATCTGATTCTGAAATAGTAATAATGGTAAATCAGTAAATATTTTAAAGAACTGTTTGTATGGTAACAAAATGTTTATAAATTCTATTTGATGTTGCTTGGTGAGCGTAAAATGAAACTTTCTCTTATCATTTTATTATTCATCTGTTTCTTATCAATTATCAAACAAGTTACGTCAAAATTCAAAAATGACGTTGACACTAAAGTAAACTCATGTTTCTAATATATCGAGCATGGATTTTACTCTAATTAAGTGCAAAAGAACTTCTATAGACATTTTTAAATATTAAAAAAGAATTGCTCTTGAAAATTTCGAACGACTCATTTTTTTTATATAACATGTGAAGAAATAAAATTAGTGCTGTTAAATATAACCTACAAAAAATTCTTTAACTTTAGAAACAAAAATATTGTCTGATACTTTACCTAATTACTTATTACTTGACTATAATATTCAATGCTTATGAAATCCAAGCTTTACATTTATAATGACGAATCCTAACGCTGGAGTGTGTGACATCAAAAAAGAGTTTATTGTACAGAAGCAAGATAAAATTAATAAATCTGAGTCAGATGATGCATCAAATAAACGTAAAATAAATGACTCTATTGAAAATGATCCTAAAAAAGCTAAACATGATGATAATAATGATGTGTCTAATAGCAAAGCTAACATAAAACGGAGAGGCCAAAACAAAGCTAGGCCAAAGACCTACCATGATGATAAGCAAAATAAACCATGCCCTAGTATTGTAAATATAAGCTTAAAAGATGATAAACAACAATGTCAATATACAAATTGTAAATATATTCATGATCCAGTAGAGTACTTAAAATTTAAACCAAGCGACATTAGTAAAAATTGTCATTTATTCAATATTCGAGGTAGGTGTCCAAGGGGAATAGCGTGTCGATTTGGTTCTAGTCATATTACAGAAGATGGTCGTAATATTGTTGATGAAATTAAAGTTGCAGCTTGGAAAGATGACACTAAGAATACTTTACAACATTGCTTACAAATACAATTGCAAAAACGAAAGTATAATTTTTCCATTGCTGAAAAGCTAGTAAAATCTTTAGACTCAAGAAACAAACAGGACAAAAAGAATTTAGAGAAAGAATCAAATGATGATGATGTTACGAATAATGAAACAATAAACAAAATTGGAGCTGTTACTGATGAAGATTTAATCAAATTGTTACCCCAAGAAAAAAAGAGAATTAATTGGAAGGACAAATTATATCTTAGTCCTCTTACAACAGTTGGAAATTTACCTTTTAGAAGAATTTGTAAAGAGTATGGTGCAGATATAACTTGTGGTGAGATGGCTTTATGTGAATCATTACTTAAAGGTATGAAACAAGAATGGGCACTAGTAAAAAGGCATGAATCAGAAGATTTATTTGGGGCTCAAATATGTGGAAATAATGCATATGCAATAACAAAAGTTGCCCAACTTTTGCAAGAAAACACAGACTTAGATTTCATTGATTTAAATCTTGGATGTCCAATAGATTTAATCTATAAAAAAGGTGGTGGAAGTGGTATGATGCACAGGATGCCTGCTTTAGAAACATCAGTACGAAGTGCCTCTACAATATTAAATATACCTTTTACTGTTAAAATGAGGACTGGAATTTATCAAGATAAAAAGATTGCTCACACTATTGTTCCTAAGGTAGTTGATTGGGGTGCATCACTTATAACTTTGCATGGTAGATCTAGGGAAGCCAGATATACAAAATCAGCCGACTGGGAGTATATTGAATCCTGTGCACAAGCAGCTGGGTCATGCCCTGTTTTTGGTAATGGGGATATTTTATCTTATGAAGATTACATGTTTAAAAGGCAATTGGCTCCTACAGTGCAAGGAGTAATGATTGGCAGAGGAGCATTAATAAAACCGTGGATATTTACTGAAATAAAAGAGCAGAAATTATGGGATATTAGCAGTAACGAAAGATTTGATATAATAAAAAAGTTTACTAATTTTGGCTTGGAACACTGGGGATCAGACACACAAGGAGTAGAAAACACTAGGCGATTTTTACTAGAGTGGCTTTCATTTCTATATCGTTATATACCAGTTGGGTTGCTGGAAAGACCTCCACAAAAAATAAATGAAAGGCCTCCATTATATTTTGGTAGAAATGATTTAGAAACCTTGATGGCATCTGGGAACTGTGCCGACTGGATAAAAATAAGTGAAATGGTGCTAGGTCCAGTACCAGAAGAATTTAAATTTTTGCCTAAACACAAAGCTAATTCATACTAATATTTTTATATTCAAATTGGTTGTTTAATTTAATTTTTAATTACCTAAAACTTTGGTGACACCTAGTGTAATGTTTTCATAAAAGGAATCTTCAGAAACTAAGTCCACACAAAAACTCATTATAAAATTTTGGTATTCTGGAGGTTATCATATAGACCAAACGGTTGTCATGGAAACAATTGTAGCCAATTCATTATGATGTATATATTAGAATAAACCTTTAAAAATGTTGCTTGTTAATAAAACTATTTTTATCTTTAGATATTTTTATTTTTATGATTAGAATACATCACTACTTAGACAAAAATACACTTCAATTAAAGTCATATGGACAGTAGCAAAAACTGAAAACGATTATTTATTATAAAAAAATTAATAGTAACTATTGTAATTTCTGCATTACACAGGTACATATACAATATAAAAGTTATGGAAAATAATCATTTGGATTATCCACTACTAGTTTTTTAAACATACACTTAATAGGCAGATCTCTATGTTTCTTTCTGAAAAATGACACAAAATTCAAATGTTATGGATAAAGTGTAACTACTTTTTGAGTTTTTTTTAATAAAGTGGTAAAATAGAAAATGAATGAACAAATTTACTCAAAATATGTTCACATTTTATTTATGTAATATTATGAAAAACTTAAATACAAAACTGTATTTTAATACTAAGTAAATAATTGCATTAAAACTGTCTATTAATTATAATAGTGTACTTATTCTGTACATACAAAGTGAAAAATCATCAAATCAGTGCTGTCAGACACGTGGAATGAAAGATACAATTCCTTAATTTATTTTAATTGTTCTGTTATCTCGAGAGATTTTCTTAGTTTATCGCCTCCTACGTCGACGTGAGTCACCGTTGTAGCCGTTTTCTGTAAAAATAAGAAAATTTTATATAAATACGTGACAATTTCCTTAACGATAGTTAAAAAGAAATAATAATAGATATCATTGTGTTTGCGACACACCAACCATAAGTGCTTATTTTTAAAACAAAAAAAAAATGGCGTCATATTTAATATATACATATAATATATACCTTATAATGTACTATGGATGGCATCTCTAAACAGAAATTGTTAGGGAGATGAGCTTGCATTGGTTCGAATGTAACAAACCTCGAGTGTTATTCACCGTCGTTGGCGATTGCCCTGGCGGTCATTTCGGTACCCCATGGAACCATTAGCCGGCGCGCCATTAGACACTACTTGGTCCATACCAGCGAAAGGTCGACCAGGTCCCATATTTTGGTGTCCATAATACTCGACACCATTCATATTGTTATCATAGTTTCCACCATCATTAGACTGTTGACTTCTTTTATTTTTTGGCCCATAAGAACCGAACGCCGTGAAGTTGGCGTTTTGTGCGCCGAACTCGGTGACGCTCTGCGGAAGCATGCGCGGCATGGGGTTCCCATGGGGTACGGCGAGACCGCCAGAGGCCAAGCCGCCGGTAGATTGACCCAGGCCGCCCTCTAGGCCGCCCGAGCTATAAGAGCCGAGACCACCACCCGGGCTATCCGAGTTATAGTCGTCGAGCTCGCGTCCTCTTCCGCGCCGGCGCCGGTCGCGACCGCCGCGCGAGCGCGCGCCGCCATGGCTCTCGTCCGAGCCGAGGCCCCCGCCGGAGCCCAGGCCCCCGTAGTTGGAGCGATCGGTCGAACCCAACCCCCCGCCGCCAGATCCAAGGCCGCCGTCGAGACCAAAACCACCGCTGCTAACCGAGCTCGAGCCGAGCCCGCCAGAGCGACCTCCTCGCTTTCTGGAATCCGACTCCAGGCGATTTTGCTCAGAGCCACTTTGTCCATAAGTGTAATTGTTTTGTGCCCCACCGCTGGAATCGACAGGAGGAGGAGGAGGAGGTGGTGGAGGGGGAGCTCCCCAACCTGAATTGAGCATGGGGTTTGGAGCGAAGTTTGGCATCATCATCCCGTACTGATCGCTAGGGAAGAATGGAGGCATCATAAAGTTTGGTCCATTCATAGGAGGAGGAATGCACATATTCATTTGGGGGTTAATAGCCATCAAGGGTGGAATAGAGTTTGACTGCTGGTGCTGTTGCTGCTGTAAACTATTATCGTTGTTTATCTGATTATTAAAATTATTATTAGTACTATTGTTCTTTTGTGAGTAATCATTATCGTTGGATTGTACGTTATCGTGTCTGACGGGAGGAGTGGAGGATACTTTGCCATTGGGTTTGTCGAAATGAGTCTGGGGTAGTTGCGGACCGATGGGCGTGGGCAGTAGCGGCTTGGGCGTCGGCAGCAGGGCTTGCGGCGCCGGCTGAGGCGCAGGTGGGGGCGCAGGCTGGGGCGCCGGTGGGGGCGCAGCATGAGTAGTGTCCTTCAGTGGGCTGCACTTGCCTGAGCGAGAGCGGCTACGCGAGCGGGAGCGCGAGCGTGAGTGGCTTCTCGACGACCTGGAGGAGCGGCTGCGCGAGGAGCGCGACGAGCTGTGCCGGCGGCGTCTGCGCGAGCGCGAGCGGGACCGCGTGCGCGAGCGGCGGCGGCGGTCGCGCGAGCGTGAGCGCGACCGCGACCGCCGGCCTCGCCGGTATCTGCCTCCGCGACCGCGGTGTCCTACAAATAAACATAATATTAATATTGTAAATGCAAAAGTTTGTGAGCATACAGATAGATTTGTTTGTTGGTTAAATTTTCAATTAAAAAATACTAAATGGATTTTGATGAAACTTTACAGTAAAATACCTTATTATGTATCTGAATAAAAGTACGCAAGCGAAACCGCGAATAAATAAGTGTATTGTAATTGGGTTGTTCCCACTATTAACCAATAATTCTAAGACACAACTTATATAAAAAATACTTTTTTTAAACCTGGAAACTCAATTAACTTTAAAATTCGATTTTTAGTTGCTTTTATAACAATAATAGTTAGCCAACTGAATTTACAAATAAGTGATATCACAGGATGCCATAGAAAATCTATGAGGGATTTAAGCTTGACAGTTCATAAGCACTAAGCTAATTGTTCGGTGGTATCAAGTAACTCTATAATTTGTTTTAAATTTATTTCTTCTAAAGTATTTAATTGAATTGCTTATATTCTTTTATAATTATCTAATATACTTATATGTAAAATATTTTCATTTTAAAACTATATTATAGATCTCTTACTTCTGCCACCGCCTCCACCGCGTTCTGCTAACTCTTGTAACTTTGGATTAACAACTTGCTTGGCCTCTTTCAGTACCGCCACGAGGTCGGCAGCTTTGGCCGCATTTGACGGTGTGAAGAATGTGTATGCCGTCCCTGTTTTATTAGTTCTTCCAGTCCTACCAATCCGATGAACATAATCTTCTGAATTGCTAGGATAGTCAAAGTTTATCACAAACTTTACATCATCAACATCTGAAAAACAATTGAAATATTTTTTATCAAAATCATCTCTTTAGCATATAATAAAAAAAAAAAAGAATTTTCTATTACTTACCTAAACCTCTTGCAGCAACATCAGTTGCTACAAGAATAGGTGCTTTTCCACTTCGGAAATCTGAAATAGTTGATGATCTTTTTAATCAATGAATGAACAATTTTCATATTTGTGTCGAACCACCAAATAAAACTATTGTTTTTATATTTTACAGATATATAAAATAATCAACCGATTTTCACTGACTGACTACTACTATTTTAACTGTGTTTTTTGTTATATATATTTATTGAATGTTTCAATGAAATTATTTTTGTTATATTTATATGTAACAACAAAATGTAAACATTAACTACACAATAATCACTTGTGTTTAATATCCTGTTGATAAAACTTCACACCAATGTAAGTTTTTAATATATGAAATTATTTACGTTCAATATCTATTACAATTCATAATTATTATATTCTTGATGAAACATTATATAACAGTTATCTAAATTTATAGACATGTTCTTGAGATAATTTACTAAAAAAAATATTTAAATATTTTGTTACATGTATAATAATAAATATATGAAAATATAAAAGAATATACAATTTTATCCCATTCACAATGACCAAGAGGACCAACCGGCTAGCTAAAATGAGAACCCCAAACTTGAAATATTCGAGAACTTACTACTTCCCCATGAAAGTTACTGTTGTAAGGTATGTACGTTCAAATATTGAATCGACTAATAGGGTACGTCCGGGAGCGCGAGAGGCGCATAGTGAGCGAGCGGCGAGCGCACGGGGAGCCTCGAGCCGGAGCCCCCGGAGCCCCCGCCGCCGCCGCCGGCCGCCCGCGAGAAGCGGCGCAGACTAGCCGCGTGGCAACAGTGCCGCGTGGACCGAGCTTAGGGCTTTGCCCCGTAGGGCCGCCTCGCCGCACCGCCGGCCGCCGCCCGCCTCGCCTGCACATGCAGACATGCGTCAGACACGACAGCGTATACGCGACACGCGTACCATCGTACGCGCGCAAGTATGCCACACTCGACTCGCGTGCGACTTCAGTCGGACACCGCTTCTCGACGCGTTTGTATCACCTCATTATATCTGTCGCCACTTTTTAGGATTATATGTCTATTCTATTTGAAGGGATAAAAGGATATGTTTTAATATTTTGATATAAACTTTAATAGAATATCAAATAAAACAAAATATAACAAAGCATATTTCAAAGTAAATATTACCAGTTTTATCTTACCTTGTAATACCCAGTCACGCTCATTTTGTGACTTATCGCCATGGATGCAGACAGCAGGCCAACTAAAAATAAAAAACAATGAGAAAAATTAAAGATATGTAGAGAGAAAAACCAGTGTTCATTAGGTAATACAATTTGTATTTCATCAAAGCGCTAAACAACTGTAAATTCAAAATTAATTTGTTACTTCTTAATTATGAAATAGCTAGATTTGCGTAAAATTTAGTTTAAAGATATACTATACTCTACATTTTCATGTTCATCATGTTATAAATATTTCTTGATAAACATTTTTTTTTTAGATCCTATGCCTCTGTGTCTGTTAAAAAGATAAATTCTTAAAACTTATAATAGACTGTAATCATGGTGTTGTTGTTGTTGTGTCTGCCTATGTAGGGAAATTATAATATACCTAAAATTGTCCCATGATATTGTAAGAAAAAATTTGACAACGTCAATACAAAATTTATTGTGTAATCGAAATTTATTTTAAAATATACCCAAAAATAACATTAATAATTGAATTAATAGTATAAAAAATGTTTTAAAACACAACAAAATCGAAAGTGCATAATATTTAACACCATTCAGACAAAGAAAGACAATAGCATTCCCAAGGAGGGTTGACGTCAGGCAGGCGGCCGGTCGTAAAACTTTTGCCAAATCCTATCAGCAGTTCACTGAAGATGTACTGCGCCGACCCCAAGTGATTTGGGAAATGGGCAGGGAGAAGAAGAAGAAGATATTGTAAGAAAAGGAGAGACTATTAGAACACTTTGGGTAATTATAAATTCACTAGTGAAATTATAATTTCATGGTATGTACAATTTCACTGCAACATATATATCAACAGCTTTTAGAATTACTTGTTTAATAATAAATTCTCTTCATTTTCGTATTATCTAAAAAAAATCAAAATATTATGTAAAATATTTAAAAAAAAATTACTTACCCATCTCTCTTCATTTTCCTTGTGATATCATCTACTCTACGTTTTGTCTCAATAAAAATAATGGTTTTATTTTCTTTCTCTGCCATAATTTCTTTTAATAAAGTGCTCAATTTTGTTTCTTTTTCATATTCCATACAAACATCAATAATTTGTAAGATATTGTGATTAGCAGCCAATTGCAAAGATCCAACATTAATTTGTAGATAGTCTTTCAAAAATTCAGCAGCTAAGCTCTGTACTTCTCGAGGCCATGTAGCAGACCACATAAGAGTTTGTCGGTCTGGTCTAATTTGCTCTATAATTTTCCTGATTTGAGGTTCAAAACCCATATCTAACATCCTATCAGCTTCATCTAATACTAAGTAAGTGCATCTTTTAAGGTTAGTTCTTCCACTTTCCAAGAAATCTAACAGACGTCCTGGTGTCGCAATAACAATCTCCACCCCAGCATCTAAGTCCCTAGCTTGTGGACCCTTTGGAGCTCCACCAAACAAGCAAGTATTGTGAATTTTAGAAGTGTTTGCAAATTTATCACAAACTTCTTGAATTTGTTGTGCAAGTTCTCTGGTAGGTGCTAACACTAAAGCAATTGGTCCATCGCCTCTGCTTGATTTTGGCTGATTGTTAATATGAACTATAGCTGGTAATATATATGACAGAGTTTTGCCTGATCCAGTAGACGCAATGCCCACCATATCATAACCACTTAACGCAATTGGCCAACCTTGTGCTTGAATTGGTGTTGGCTTGGAGAAACCCATCTTATCAATTTCATCCATAACATAATCTGGAAACCCTGCCTCGTCAAAAGATAGTGTAGGCTTTGGTATATTGCGGCCTTTTAAGGTTATTTCATTTTCACTCCTCCAAGCTTCTACTTCTGATTCCACTCTACTTTCTACATCAGGATGTGGGACATAGAAATCTTTTTTAAATGGCTTTAATCTATTCAAATCCCATTTTGGTTTACGAAGATTGGCTCCGGGATTACTTCTGCGGCCCCCTCCACCATATCCTCCTCCTCCACCACCACCACCACCACCCGATCCTAGACCATAACGAGGGCTACGACTGCGACTTCTGCTTCTACTTCTAGTACGACTTCGTCGTCTATCACGACTACGATCCCTATGAATATAATATATACTTATTATTCCATTTTTAACCATTTTATTATTTATAAATTAATTTAAACAAATAACTTTATTTACCTTCCACGTCCCATACCGTCAATATAGCACTCTATAAATGTTTAAAACCTATTATGTTCACTTATTTTATGTAAAGTAACTTATTTGTAATTTAAAAATGCTCTTTACAATTATATTACAAGGGTACGCCACTTCTAAAAATTAACCACATGAAAAAGTCAAAATGGCGGCTCTCTTAGTTCGTGCCTAGCGGTGAAACAAGGGACCAAAGACAAGAATCATCGGTACAATCAACTATATTATCGTTGATCGAGCAATTTTTCGCGCCTCTTGCAATTTATTAACGTTTTTTAAGTGTTGTAAATAAGAATAGAATTCCAGTCAATCATCTATGCAATACAGTGTCATTTCATGAAGAAGTTAATTTAAGCACAATATATTTTCTTTTTTATTTTTTGTTTTAACGTTTTTAGTTACATTCTATGAGGTATCTTTTCAAGGAAGATATCTCGAAAGCAGGGCGCTACACGTATAGCCTATTTACAGTAAGTCCGAGATTAAGCACTTTATTGTGATATCTCTTTTATACCTGTTTTTTTTGTTTCTACTTTCTATTGTGTTCGCAACTTATCTGTGCAATGTATTGTACCTAGATGTTGGACAATCCTGCGGTGGTCCTGATTGACTAATGGATCAAAACACAGTCTAAGCCGCTGGCCGTAGAAACGTGAAATTTTGAGAACGTATTTGTTATATGATGTTGGTATCCAATAAGAAAGACTTTTTCAAAATTCATCTCTTAAGTGGCTAAAAGGCGGTAATAAAGTTTATATGGGCAAAGAATTACTTATGATCAGAATTACTTGAAACTAATAATGCTCTTCAATACAAATAAATAAATACATATTTTAGCATTATTCGAAATTCAATCGCATAAAGGGTAAATGGGGGGTGAAAGTTTATATAAAACTCTAAAATTAATATGTAAAAAAGTACAAAAAATAAAAAAAAATTCACCTGTAGATGATTTAAGAATTTTAAAATCACTTTCTGCAAGGTAATGTCCACATAGCCTTAAATATAAAAAAATAATTAAATTTTTAGTTATGGATACCAGATAGTTGATACACTACACATATATAACTTTTAAATACATACATATTGTAAACACCCATGACTGGAGAACAAGCATTCATGCTCATCACACAAATGAATGCCCCCAGCGGGACTAGAACCCGCGACCTTTGGCACAGCAATATTGGGTCACTACAAACTGAGCTAAACGTGTCGTCATTTTATGTCGTCACGATTATGATTTCGCCAATTTTTGTGGTCTTATTGCTTTAGCCCACAATTTCTTCAATTCTTGACTTTTACAAATGATATCTATTTTCTTTGGATAACTGCGAATTTGTCAGTTTATTAAATTTTATTTATAATTAATAAAAATCATCCACGCTATTACCTATACAATATACTGAGGCCCATAGTGGTCGTGACATCTGGCGGGAGAAAAAGGCAAAATTCTTCCCCATTTTGTTTTAGCAAACTTTTAGCTCACAAAAATCCACAGTTGTTTTATTCTCCTTCAGGACGACTTGATCACCGATTTGATGATGCCTTAATCAAGACCGCCATTTAGTTCTCGTCTGTAACTCCGCTATAAAAATAATATAAAATATAAATTCGTTAGCTTCAGAGCAAAAGTGTTATCTTCCACTGAAACCAACGAGTACTCAGCCGAGTTGACTGAAACCGATTGACACAATTCACATTAAAATTTTGCGTATACGATGAGAGAAATGAGTTAAGAGTTTAAGAGTTAATGGATAAAAATCATATGTTTATGGACTTAATGAACATAGGCTTCGACTATTTATAATAATGTATATATGCTGCATAATTCTATATTCCATCGTGAACTTAATTTAATCTTTATAGTTAGCTTTTATGCAGTCGGGTTTTTTATTTTTATAATAGGTATACTAGCAGAATCCGCGGCTTCGCTCGAGCTAAAACTACAAAAAAATCTTTAAAAAGGTAGTTTCATACAAACATTCATCCCCTATTTCACCACCTTATATGATGACTTTTGAAAAATGCTAAAACAGGTAAGTATTTAATAAATTTTATTGAAGATCATTAATACTAAGTTTCAAGTAATTCTGATCACAATTTTTTTTGGATTATAATATAACGTGTTTTCCCGTGGGAATAAGATAAACTCTCGCGGTAAAAAATTGCCTATGTAACTCTCCAGCTCTCCAACTATCTCCAAACAAAATAATAACGCCAATCCGTCACCCGGTTTCCATGTGAAAGAAAGACAAACAATCAATCAAACAAACAAACAAAAAAATACACTTTCACATTTATAATATTAGTATGGATTTATTTCAATATCCATAAACAAAAACAATATTGACGAAATCTAATGAGAATTTTTCAGAGAGAGTCTTGTATTTTCGTACCTATTAATTCGATATTATATAAAGACAATTCAGAATAAAGTTATAGTACGAGCTGAAGCGTTAAAGACTACGAAAAGAAGCGTAGATTCTTTAACTTCTTAGTTCTCGGATGATGGCGTGATGTAGGATACATCAGTATCAAAGCGTGGATTTAAAAAGGCACCCTTATTACTTTGTTACAACTAGATGAGATAAATTCATTATTTAACATACATCAAACTTTAGTAATTTAGTTATAAGTTTTTATTTATATATATTATTCGGGGTTTTTTTCGAATAATTTATAATATATGCTACTTGATTAAATAGGGTTCTATTTATTTTTAATTAACTATCCATTACAAAATAGTAATTGTTGAAGATAAATATTTTTATGTAAGTACATTAATTAATTAACTTTAGTCTAATATTTTAAATATTCCTTATGAATATAACCAAAACTCATATTTTAAAAACACATACTTGAAACGGAACGCATTGTAGCGGAATCCATTTTCTGCGTTGTTGTGACATTTTGATTTTCGCTCTGCTGTTGTGAAAAGGAATGAAAACTATGTTATTTAACCTTGAATAATTTGAAATAAGTGATGAATAAATAAATAATATTCATTTTCAATATATCACATATATACTAAACACATTCATAACATGCGATGTAATACATAATGGGTTGAAGAAGTGATTGGCTGCGGCATTACTTCTTCGTCATAAAATACTACTGGTGCGAAATTATTAGAAACTAAACACGTTGTTCTGAACAATGGAGTTGGATGTTTCACCAATGGAATCGCATAATAACGATATGGAATATTCAGACAACTCATCTGAAGGAAAATATTTGACATGTAATAACAACGATCAGTACACGGTAATTCGGATTCCGCAAGATGGTGAAAAATCAAATAAGCACTCCTCAAGAAAACAATCAAAACGTAGGAAAAAGAGTTCAAACCATTCTAGACCTCTGCCCAGAATAATAGTAAAACCTTTACCTCCTCCTCCACCACCTGAAAATCGAGAATGGACTGCAGCTACATCTTGTTCAGACATAAATTCCATGTCTAATAATAGACCATCTACTATGAGAGAAGTATTAGCTAGTATACCAGGGTTTTGTATTAAGCCTAGAAAGAGGAGTGGTAAAAAGCTATCGACTGCAGCTCAGTTACAGCAAACTAGAGAAGGCTGTATAGATTTAGAAACACCTGATTCCATATTAGTTAATACAAATATAAGGGCACTTTTAAATAAACACACATTTTCTTTACTTCCTCCATTATATCAGTATAAATTGGGGCAGCTTCTGCCAAATGTGGATAGACCGAGTACGTCAGGTCGCTTAAGTTCATCTAGTCTGAATAATGAATTTTTTGCTCGTGCCTGTTTGGAATGGCAGGAATCACTTTCAGGTGGAGAATTTACACCAGAAAATCAACAAAAAATGAAATCGGAAGCAGAAAAGGAAAAAAGTAAAATTGATCCATGGAAATTAAAACATTTTGAACCATTTTGGGGTGAAAAGTCACAAAGAGAAAAGTCATCTATGTCTTTAAATTCTGAAAGGCCCTCATTAAAAACTACTATAAAATTAAGACCAACAGCATCAATTACAAGTAGCAGTACTGTTCCTAAAATTAAGAAAAGTAAATCATCAAGTTCAAGTAAAAGATTGCGTTCTGTGGGAGCAGTTACTCGCTCTTCTGCAAAAGAAGCAGAAGAAGCTGAAGATGATTCTATTTCTGGTAGCAGTAAATCATCTGCTCCAGTTCCTGGATTGCTACCGCTTAAACATGTTAAGAGCCAAGGTTATGTGGAATGTCAGATGGATTTCAGTTTTTCTGATTCATCTTCAGTGACTAGAATAGAGGAATCTGTATCCACTACACCAGTTGATCCTTTATTATTACCAGATGCAGAATCTGCAGCTGAAATAAAACAAGATCTAGATATGAGTGTTGTAAAAATTGAAGAATCTAGTGCATCTAAAGACTGTGATGAAGATAAAACAACAGACTCGGAAAGTAATATACCTGAAACAACAAAGAGGTTAAGTAATGATGTTGATGAGTATAGATTTTCAAAAAGACTAAGGTATGAAGATGATTATGCTGTAGACAATACAAATTTTATTAACATGAAAAATAGTTCAGAAAGTAACAATGTGTCACGTGGAGATTCTGCTTACAATAATGAATCAATATGTCAAAATGCCGAACTTCATTTATATTCAGGTCAAGATCATGTTGATACGAATAGTGAAGATAGTAAAGCTACTGCCTCTGTTTATGAATATGATGAGCATAGTGTATCTTCAATTTCTAGCTTAAAAATAGAAAACCATTTAAATAATGTCTCCCTTGTGGCAGAAAGTGATAATGTTGTTAATGAATTTGAAGATACTGAATCCCAGAAGATGCCAATTACTCCTGCAATTAAGGAGGAAGAAGGTAAAGAATCTCCAGTTCATGATAATCAAGAGGACTCTGTTCCAGTATTACAAGATTCAACGGAATCTTATAGTGTCAGAGCTGATGAACATAGTGGAAAATCTCCATCACATGAAGAAAAGGAACTTACATATGAGAAAATGGAAGTATTAGAAGAATTAAACTACTCCACAAAACCACTTGCTGTACATACAGAGATCAAAAATGATATAACTATTGAAGAGAAACCTGACCCAAAAATTAAGGAGACTGACAGTATTGTTCCTAACTATTACGATGAACATTTCAAAGATGCTGAATCTTTTATTTTAGAGACAAGTGGATTGCCTATGTTGCCATCTCGTAAGTCTTACATATTATTAGCTAGGTATGAAGAAATATTATAGATTAACATTAAAACATACTGCAATCATATAGTGTACAATTTATATTTAGTTTATTTTTTTTTGTTTCATACATAGAAACTGAAGATGCCAAGTATGCTACATCCCAAACAAATTTGATGGAGCTTACTTCGTATATGAGTGAAACAAGTAAGTGAATGTCAAAATGTCAAAATAGAATATTTTTGTAAAAGTACCCACATTTTAAGTTGAAAAAATAATTAAAGGTAATTTTATAAAGTGTAAGTATAATTGAATTGAATCAAATTATTGCTATTTTACAGATGTAACTGCTGTTGTAACAATGCCAATGTCACAGAATACTTCTATCCCAATGATGGAAGTCACAAATACGTCTGTAAGTATGGATTTTCAAATCATATATTTTTATATTTGCAGTCAGTCAGTTGATTTCTGATTTGATGATTGATGACGACGATTTCTTATAATCCTGATTCCTGCCTGTGCACTAGGTGACCGCGACCGATCCAATACGCGACAAGCAACTATTTACATTGATATTTGTTATAGTATTAAATACCGCTCACTACACTACCCTTAAGTTAGTTATTTTTTTATTTTTTTCTTATAGGTTGTGTCATATCCTGATGATCACTTGCAAGAACCAGCAAAACCTAAAAATTCTGCAGTGTCATGGAAAAATGAAAATGATTGGGTACAGAATGACAATGTTATAACAATACAAAATTTTTCAAATATAAACACGACTGATAGTACAAAATATGTCAGTGAAGATTCTAAAACAAGCATGGAGGATGTTAATATTAATGATGAAAATTGCATGTACAAGGCAGATAGAGATACGAATTTTAATATGGAGTCATCGAATTCATCTGAAAGTTGTCAATCAATGAAGGACGTAATGGTTAAGCAAGAAATAGAACCTGCATCAAGTCTGGTTTCCAGCACCACAGCTGCAAATCCCCCAATAAACTCAACAACTATAACCCAGAGTATTAGAGCACCTAGTAAGAAATCTAAATCTGGGAAAGAATCTAACAGGTGTGTACAATTTCTTCTATACATCAATTATGTTTTAAAGTTATACTAGGGAAATTTTAAATATAGAAAAAGTTTTCCTTTAATGCAACAATCATTACAAGCATACAAGTGTTTTTATATATTGATTTATTATTTGAATTTAATATTAACTTTATCAAAAACCTGTAAAACCTTACTATATATTATATAATATTTGTTGTACATCTTAATATACAATATACCTATATTAAACTATATAATATTATAATTTTTTTTAGAAGCAGAAGTTCCAACAAAATACCCCCAGGCGCAGTGAATCTAGAACGCAGCTACCAAATATGTCAAGCAGTTATCCAAAACAGTCCTAACCGAGATGCTCTGCGCGGTCAGCTGCGGCCGCCGCCTGCGCTACTCACTCGCCCCACGAGGCCTCTGAGACCACCCCCACCTGTCCTTGTTAGGCAGATACCTGCTGTAATGCCACATGCCGAGGTATGAGCTGGAAAATCATATACTATACTACTTATAAATAAAATTATTTTGTTGTAGGTATTAGCATAATTTAATGCAGCATCTATTTGTCTGTCACTAATCTTTAAAATTTCTGAACCAATTTGGACTTATTTGGTAAGTAAAAATAAAATATTTTAATAAATACCATTAAACATTATTTTAAGTAAAATACAATTACTGCTGGTCTAATTTAACTTTATTTACATCTATATGTACAATGTATGTACATTGTATTTTTAGAAAAGATAAGCTATCTATTCTACAGGAACAGGAGGTAAAATAAATTTTTTATCAATAAATTTATTTTGGCTCAAAATAAAATTTCAGATTAATGAGAATCGGTCGAACAATATGGGACAGTATATTCTAGTACAAAGAACACCTAATGTAGCACCCAGAGCTTCAAGTGCACCTCCATCAAATCAAAACACTAATGTGGTTAGTACTATGCTTTATTAGTTACCAAAACAGCTTGCACACAATAATTTGAATTATATTTACATGTTAAAGTAAAAATATACATATATGTAGTAATGATTAATGATTATTGTTACATGTGACGGTCAACATGAAACATAATTATTATTGAATGAAGACAGACACAGTTGTTTACATAATACTTTCTTAGATTATATATGTGAATAATTTTCTGTGTGTATGCATGTTTGTTAGTCATATTGTATGGCTAGAGGAATATGAATTAAATTTAGTTTTGAGTACACAGATATTCTGTCCTGGAGTAGCACATAGGCTAGTGTTAGGCATCTACGCCGCTAAATTTAAACAAAATTTAAAACGGGCACAGTCGGCCAAAGAATACAAACCTCCGAAAGTATCTTGCTGTTATGAAATCATATTTTTAATGTTTTTTTATAATTTAAGAATGTCACTCGATGCCGGAGCGTGGGCGCAGATGACGCGTGCGTGTGCAACTTGCGCGCCATGATCCTGTGCAAGAAGTGTGGCGCGTTCTGTCACGACGACTGCATCGGCTCCGCAGAACTCTGCCTCACCTGTCTCATACGCTGACACCGACACTCTCATCTTGCCATACACAAGTTACAAGCTCTCATACTTGCTAAATAACCCTCGCTCATGTGATCAAGTGAACAGTGCAGTGCAATGTGGCTGTAGGAATGGTGGTGCTATCTGTTGGATGTGTTTCAACCCAATTTTTATTTCTATCTATGTGACTTTCTTTTACAATGTCTTAAAGGCAGTTGAACTCTTTGATCATAATTTTGTATATACTTCGAATAGGGATTGAAATTGAATGGTAAAAGTATTAAATGCATAAGTCTAATTATATATTTATACAGGATACATTTGTAACATTAGAAATTGTGTACCTCCAGTTTAGCAATACCGTAACTTGTTAAAGCTACTTATATCACAATTTATTAAATGGTTAATGTTATGTATTGAGCCTATATATAAATGCAAGCACAATTTTATTCTGTATTGAACTATTATATTTGATATAATAGGCTGGTAGTTACATGCAAATCTGAAGTTAATCTTTTAAGGCTGAAATCTATATTAGTAGTATACTTAAGTATATTCTCATAGGAATCATTCAACAATCATAGATTTTATTGTCACATTTTTGATTAATTTTTTATTTATGTATTGAATGACAATTTGTAACTTCCAGTTAAGTCGTAAATTTTCTTATATGGACATATTTTATGTCCAACTTAAAAAAATCTTATTCTTTATACTGTAAGTTTGGATAACAATGACAGCATATATGAGCATATCTCTTTTGCCATCATTACAATTATTTAAGGAATGCCATCACAATATTTTGTTATATTATAAGCTATACTGTGCTTTTGCTAAGCATACTTTTTCAGTACATCTAGTACTTGTCTTGTATAGGATTAGACTTAGTTTGGTACAACTGTGCCAGCAATCTATTAGTTTATTTAAGGTTATGTACAGATATTTATTGACTTGAAAGGCTGATGCAATCATCAGAAGTGGTAATTTAATAGGTATTTAAGATTAATAATTATACATGCAACCTCTGCATATATCATTTAAAAAGCACAAATGTAGCCTAACATAATAATTAAATTCAATTTGATAAATATTTTATTTTTGTAGGTTTTATAAAACTAGATGAAAATTGTAGTAACAGTCCTCAATGAAAATTGACATATTATAAAATTTTAAGTTAGGTTGGCTTGAATAAGTAAGTAAATTATTCATTTCATATAGCTTACATAAAGTATACAATTTTGATTTGGTAAATATTAAATTGTTTTATTTTTACATATATTTAGGTCACATTTGTGCTGATCTGTTTTTATTTTTGTCTTAAATTCCACATCGACAAAAAAATCGTTTTAAAAAAGGGCATTTATTATTTGCCTAATAACAAATCTTCTTAATATTCATATAATAATGTTTACTGTAGCAGTACTGTTACATTGGTTTACTCTTGTGGCATGCCTTAAGTTATGCTGTATATATTTACCTTTAAATATTTTTATATGAAACTTTTTTACAAATGACAATTTTTTGCCAACTTTTTGAAACTCACTATGCATTATTTTATAGTTTATTATCTTTTCATATGTCATAAATTAGGTACTATGTTTTTGATTTATGCGACAACATAATGTAATTATAGGATATTTATTAATTACAATTTATATACATAGATACAATATGTATGAAAAAATTGTATATAACTTTTTTTGAAGAAAGACAGACTATTGCAATTAAAAACATAAATTATTTAATTAAGAGGGAAGTCAAACTTTTATTTAAAATATGCATTTCACCATACTTTATTAGTAAACAAATCATTGAGGAGTCTCGTTACTGTCTATGGTGTAACATAATGATTTTATAAAATATACAGCTATAATTTGAAATAAAATCACAAAATATTAATTTACCTTGAAAGAATATTTGTAATAAATAATGTTTTTTACTTAATATTGTTTCCATTATCATTTCTATAAATATTGTCAGCCAAAAGAATTAAGGGGATTGCTTACTTATTGTTATGGAAATGGACTGTATTTATAGCATTTTAATGATTATTGAAAAAGTAATAATATACCTAGGTAAAAATGTTGCTCATTCTCAATCACAAATAATTATAGATAATATGTAATAGTATATATATTATATATACATAGATCACATTATTAAGGACTGTTAATAATTTAAGTATATAAAACAACACCTAATACCCAAATATGAAAATGTGTGCAAATGACAGCTTGTTAACATCTGTAAATTAAGATGTGCCTAATAGTCTGTTTAAAATCAATACAAGAGGCAAAGGAAAGGGGAGAATTAATTGAATTTGTAAAAATTATTTTGCAGTAACAGATGGAAGCAAGAAAAGCAATTTAACATGTTGCACAACTGAAAGATAGTTATAGCTATCTATTTTTATATTTGACTACAATCACTATCTTATCTTAAAGACTTCTCTGAGTTTGAATGAAAATTTATATTAAAATTGCAATTAGTTCATATTTTATTATGTATGCCATATAAACACATAAAAGTTAACAGAAGGATTTTTGTTTATTATCTCAACTGTCGTCTTTATTTACTGATCGAGTTATTTTTAATTGACTGAAGTAAGCTTATTGTGTGAGTTAAATTACAGAATATTCGCATTATTGTTATTTATTGGTAATTAGTTGTTTTTAAGTATATGAACATTTTCTCTAATAAAATTATGTTCTTATTTCCACAATGATGCTTTTATTTAAAAAAATATCCTTCAGTGATTCGTCGAGATATCTTAATTATTAAATCAAAATTTGTCTCAGTATCCTATTTCGTCTTTATTGGTGGTAATTAAAACATATAGTCCAATCGGAATCCGGTTTCGGAACAAAATATTGAAAACCTGAAGTTTTATGATTTTAAAATGTTAGCAGGTATTTAGGGAACAGAAATTCGTAAAATGCCCCCGATGCCCAACTACCCCCGAAAAATGAGGGCCGAGGGGACGCAAAGCGTTGAAAAATAGTTTTTTTCAATTTGCGGCTTGCTATGATCTTCGAATCGAAAAATGATTCTCAGAAAAGTTGTAGGTCTAGTAAAAATCAACAATTTTTTTAAATAACACTTTTTACAATAACTTCAAAGTTTTCGAAATATTTGCAAAAAATTCGGTTTTTAACTTTTTCTTGATTTTTTATTTTTAATTTCTAGAATAACCTTTTGATTTTCATAAAACTAAGGGAATGTAATCTTCAAAATACATAATATAATGAATAAAAAAAAATTGAAATGTTTAGCCATTTCCGAGAAAAGTATGTTTTATGGTCTCGAGAGGCTGAAAATCTTAAATCACCCCCAAATTCAAGTGGACGTTAACTTTTAAAAAAAAATCGTTCAATTTTCACCTATGGCTCATTCTTTTCGTCTTGAACTTTACTTTTTGAAAAATAAAGTCCTGTAAAAACACCCTTAAAAATTCAAAAAATTGGAGAAATCGATCATTTTTACTTTATAAACTAAATTTTTTTAGTATACATATACTCTGAGATCTGAGCTTATATATAGCGTAAAATAAAAGAAGTAGGCAAAACAGGAAGCTAAGTTATTCTCAATCCTTTTTTGATGTCCTGCTACTAGGCCTCCCTTTACTACAAGGCGGATCTGGTCATAGTCCACCACGCTACGCTGGTCAAGTGCGGGTTGATGGACTTTACATGTCTTTCGAGAACTTGATAGGTTCCCTTAGACATGCAGGTTTTCTCACGGTGTTTTCCTTCACCGTAAGATAAGTGGTAATCATGTTGGAAATGAGTCGCACATAAACATTTCAGAAGTTCGAGACCTAGAATTTAAACCGTCTTCGCTTGGTTTCCCGAGCGAGCTCGTTACTACTGGGTTACTATCATTTCTATATAGTTTCAAGTTTGTGGTTACTTTTACTGGCTCGTTACTACTACACTGCCTGCATGGGTGTAAGTAAATTTATATTATTTCTGAAATTTAAAATTTGAATTTGAGTATATAATATCATTTGCATGTTTATTTAAAAAAGACAGGCACATAATTTTTTTGTTTCATAATGGACTTACTTATTTCTTGAAAGGGACTATTTAAATATTGTATAAATGTGTTAGAATATGTCAAGTTTGACAAGTTAGCAGGCATAGAGAACTATTCATTTTTTATTTGTCAATTGTCATTCACGTATTAATTTAAGGAATTAGTAGGTCTCTGGTTGTTTCAGTGTGATTGTGAGTGTACTTGTGGCTCTGGATTTGTTACTGCGAGCCAAAAATTGAATAATTAGTTTCTTAAAATTTGCCGCTATTATGTAGATTTTCCTTTAGATCTTGACGGCGTTTAGTAGTAAATATATTGCCTTAAAATGTCTACGGTTCTTCTTGCTGTTATTGCTGTTATTCTCTGCGTTCTTTTCCGAATACTAAATGTGAATAGCCAACCTCATAAGCCTGTTATATACGGAAGAGATAGAAATTTCATTGAAAATATTTTATTCATTGCACCGTTTCTGAATGAACCGTGAGTATAAAAGATAATATACGTACATTCTAAAGTATCCAGTGAATGCAACAACGCCGCTTGTTTGATGATGTCATGGTAGCCAAAGTATTGATGTTATTAGATATAATATATGGCAAGGAACATGAATATTTTGTCTGACAATATTGCTTGAGTAATACCTTGATCTATATTTATTAAATTTTCTATGTCAATAAATTAATTGTATTACCTTTAAGGCTCTACTTTCAAGGCTATTTCTAATTTTTTATGATATGTGGTTTCTGACATGTATAAATAATAACATTAGTTAAATTATTTTCAATTAATACTTACTACTTTGATTGTTTATCATGATGTCTACTAACAACATCAAAGTAAGATTTTATTGCATATAAAAAAAAATGTGTTTGTTTATTAATTTTACTATATATGTTTACAAGAAAAATAATTAATTCTCTTATTTAGGTGTGTTTAAATAAATGTAATAAAGTTAAGACTACTTTAATAATTAGGAAAAATACTTCCCTATGTAGAAATAATATGTTTATTATATATTAATCGAAGTAGTGTAGATGTTGTGCATGAAATATGTATATTATTTTCTTGTTTCTACCAGAAATAAAGAAATACATTTCTAATTTCTTATAACAAATCTTATTTATATGCACAAGAGATATTGTTAATATTCCCTACCTTACTTATTTGTTATTGTACAATGCACATCAGTTAGGGTTCTTATGAAAGATTTTTGATCATACAAGCTTTGTAATCAAAAACCAAAGATGTTATACAACCCATAAAGACCATGTGCCTGCTTGTCTATCTCAACCTATTTTCTCTGTACATTACTATATATGTAAAATGTAAAAGTTTAACACTTTTATGGGGTATGCCATTTATGACCTGATTATAAATGAAATTATACTAATATTATAAAGAGGTAAAGTTTGTGAATTGTTACGTTGTAGGGGGTAATCTATGGATCTACTGAACCGATTTAGATGAACTTTGGTAAGAAAATAGTTTGAGACTCTGGGAAGGACATAGGATGGTATTTATCCTGGAAATCATCCCTTAATGGGGTGAAAATGGGGATGAAAGTTTGTATGGGGAATCATCCTAAGGACAAACCCGAGTGAAGCGAGGGTGAGCCGCTAGTTAATTCTATAAAAGAATAATTTTACGAAACTGTTAACATGTACATACATCATATATCAAATTAATTAGGTATCTTATTAAATAGTTCTGTTCATAAATTAAAGACTAAAATTGTGGTTTAAATTTTTGTATCCCAATATTATCCTATTTATAAATAAAGATGTTTTTTTTTTGTTTTAGTTACATTCCAACGCGATTATGGGGCTTTAGTGGACATGTTCAAACCATCCTTCATAGCCTTATAGGCAGGGTACGATGCCCTTGGCCCATTGGAGGTCGCATTTCTCTTACATTACCAGACAAATCCACACTCACCTATGATATTTATGAACCTTTAGGAGCTGAACATGAAGGTAATAATATACTAAATGTCTATACATATTTAAAAATTGAAAGGATAACTTTGTTGAATTCATTTTACAAAAAAGTATGAAACCATAACAGAAGTACTGAAACAATTTATCAATTGCCCCTTATTTAACAATCAATGTGTATTAAACAGATGACGTAACAGTGGCGATATGTCCCGGCATCGGCAACACTTCAGAGAGTGTGTACATACGTACCTATGTACACTACTCCCAACGCCACGGTTACAGATGCGCCGTATTGAACCATATCGGTGCCCTCAACAGCGTACCTGTCACCGGAACTCGAATATTCTCATATGGTATGTTCACGCAATTCCAATTATCTATATGTTTTAAACATTTGCACTGAAATATTAAAACGAAATGAAGAAAGGTATTGCCACTATAATGTAATAAAATTTAAAAAGAAGATTCAAAAATAAGATAAAAAATAAACTGTTCAGAAACAATTTTGAAATTTTTGCTGAATGCAATGCACTTTTAATATTATGATTTCGTGCAAATAAAATATTAGGGTCTATCCATATCACTGTTTAATAACACAGTTTATAAAAACAACGACGACGAACACTGATAAACTTACAAAATGCAGGTTACTTGCGTTCGCCCAATAACAGCGCAACAAGTGCGTGTCCACATTCGTCGGCATCTCGTTAAAAATACGTCAATATACATAGACATCTTAGGATTTTTCTGACATAGATCTGCATAGCCCATGACTTCGTCTATAGTCTACTATCTTATAATTTAATAGCAGAACCCGCGCTAAAACTACAAAAAAATCTCTTAAAAGATAGGTTTCATACTATCTTTCATCCCCTATTTTACCCACTTATGGATGAATTTCGAAAAATGCTGAAACAAGTATTTATTTATTAATTGTATTGAAGAACATTAATACCTACCGAGTTTCAAGTAATTCTGATTATAATTTTTTTTTTGGGTTGTATTAAATAACGTGTTTTCCCGTGCTCGCTTCCGTCACTCTCCAGCCCTCCAACTATGTCCACACAAAAAAATCAAGCAAATCCGTAGCTCTATTTCGACGCGAAAGACACAAACAAACAAACACACTTTCAAATTTATAAAATTAAGTATGGATGTTCACTCAAGCTAGTCGCTCCAGCCTATGTATTAGTTTCCGCAACGCATCTTACCTCTGTAATCAATAATAATAAATGTCATTATACTTAATTCAAAGTAATCCACCGATGTCGTACGTACTTAATATTTTTTAACGTTGGGGAATGCGTTTATCCGTATCACCTGCATACATACAGGTGGTTATGTGGAGACTTACCGGCTAGAAGAGCCAGTTCTACCCACTAAAAAGTTTTAAACCCAACGGAGCCTCCGTCTCCTTCTTAATGAACCTCGAGGATCCTAATAATAACTTAAGTTCAAACAATATAAAACCTACGAAATCTCATACAATTATATTACTTTAATTACATTATTTCATTAATAGAAATACCAACTTAACCTATTACACACAGGTTGTAATTATGAACAATGTAGGTAGATAATTTATTCGATCTCATTTTCATTATTTAAATCACTAGATTAAAATAGACAAACCTTTATTCAATGTTTAGAAACAGATAAATATTAAATATCTATCATCTTTGGTTGTTTCAGAAACAGTTTTGGTCTGAATAACATGCTAAAATTAATCTCAATTACATTGTAATTATTTACAAACTAGCGGGTACTTAACCAATAGACCTTTGTTATACATACAATTAGTAGTGAATTGAGATTGATATACCTATTGTCAGTACCCACTATAATTTTGCGTATACATTGGTATAATGTATACACACCTCAAATTCATTCACTGCCTTAGGTCATATTATAGCGAATTATATTAAAGTTTTACATAAATATTTAATTTTCTTTTTGGTTGCACGTTGTTTTCACAATGTCAAGGTCGACGACATTCAAAAATGGCGTGAATTAAAATTTTTAGGTCAAGGAATGGATTGTTTTTAACTTGTAGAATAGGTAATATTATAATCTGTGCGCATGGAAACGAAAAATAACATTATTCAATAGTTATTCTGGTTTATCTACACCTATGTATATTATTACAAAGGCGTTTAAAAATCGATATTCATTAACATCTTAATGCATTTTCTTAAAAAAACCAATAACCTTAAGTTACCTTCGATCTATATCTAATAATTAACAAATTTTTGTACGATTACAAAAAGATGACTATGATGTCAGAAATAAATAAAAAACGAATTGTTAAATTGAGCACATGATCTCATATACCGGTAACAGTCATAATATTAGGTACCTACAATCGATATGACTCAAGCCTGACACAAGTTTTATGTTATGGTATAGTAAGTCTTTAATAATAAATAAAGCAAACTTTAAATTGGCCTGATTTATGTATTTTATTAGTTACTCCCGTTGATTCTGATCGAAACTCGGCCATAATTTTTTTTTATTGATAACACTAAAGTTAACAAGTTTAGCTACTAAACAATAAAAAAGAAAACTGAACTTTTGTCTCTGTCTGTTATATTATATGTAAAGGTTATTACTACAAAGCATCGAATTCTAAGAAAAATCTATTGCGTAGTGAGGGTGCCATGCCACCATTACTTTATATGTAAACTAGCATTGCCCGCGGCTCTGCCCGCGATCAGATGACTAAAAACCAAATTCTTAATTTTTACATATTAGTATACTCTTACATTGCAGTTTTTGTATTTTTTCTCAGAAATGAGACGTTTTCCCGCGGTAAAAAGTATCCTATATGTTGACCCGGATAACCAGCTATCACCATACCAAATTTCATCAAAATCCCTCCAGTGGTTTTTCTGTGATCCGGAACAGACAGACAAACAAACATTCTAATAGATATAGATTCGGCCTGTATCGATAATAATGTCTATATAAATAAGTTTTTACAAAAAATATTTAATGTACAGATTCGGCTTAGTTACAATTTTATTATTATATGTATAGATTTGTTTTACGTATATTTCAGCGATTACCGATCGAAGAGTCTATAACGCTAATCTATTTCTCGCTAAATTGTTTACTTTTTTATATGTAGGTAAATTTGGCGTAATAACATATTTTCTCTGAATTATTTAACCGTCTACTTATTAGAAAGCTTAAAAGATACCTACGGCCTAAAAATAGGGACACGGATGAGGTCTGCATTTAATACCAGGGGTGTAAGGCGCGGGGTATAAAGTAGGGACTTTAAACAGCCGAAACTGAAAAGACCATATTTTATAAGGAATGGATCATATTAATCATTTATATTCCTTACGTTGGAAAAATATTTTACAAAATCCTCAATAAGATAATCATACTTACAACTTAAAAAAAAGGATTAAAAAAAAAACATTTTTAGTGTAGACATAGTAGTAGCAAAGTAAGAACCAAATATTTTAAAAATATATTAGGTAAAAAATCAATCATCCCTATTTTCTACATTAAGGGTGGTTTTTTTTTTTCAACTTTAAATGGGACCAACTTTGAGGTACACCTTATCCAATAAAAAAGAATAATCTAAATCGGGACCGTAAAAAGTTATGCGTGGTCAAACATAAAAAAATATATACGTGTCGAATTGAGAACCTCTTCCTTTTTTTCGTCGGTTAATAAATCAAACAATTAGTAGACTTTCGTCGAGCCTTGAGCCGCTCCTCGCAGCCTCGCAGTATGAATTCTATCACCACGGTAATGTTATACATTACCGTGCTATCACAGTAACACGGCGAAAAGCGTAGTTTTATCAGGGTGTGAGTGAAATCTGTACATTAAATATTTTTTGGAAAATCTTATTGAAAGAGTCATTATTATCAATACACAGGTCGAATCTATAGTTTTTAGAATTTTTGTTTGTCTGTCTGTGACCGCATCACGGAAAAAACACTGGAAGGATTTTGATGTATGATGATAGCTGGGCAACATATATGATACTTTTTACTACGGGAAAATATTTCATCTCTGAGAAATCTATACTAAACGTTAAAACGTAAGTAGGGACGAACCCGCGCATAGCGAGGGTGAGTCGCTAGTATTTAATATAGGACCCGGAGAGCTGTCACGCAAGTTTGACATGTTGAAAGTTATCTTCAAGCTTCAAGGCCAACGCCTTCGATTACAAACAAGTATATTCGCATTCAATTTATTTATCTTAAATACTTTTTTACAGGTCACACCGATGACTTCAACTACATGGTAGAGAATTTGCTAGAACGATACCCAAATACGAAATTGATTCTAGTTGGCTTCAGCCTCGGAGGAAATTTAATCACAAAATATTTAGGCGAAGACAGGAAAAAACCTAACAATATAATAGGCGGAATCTCAATATGTCAGGGCTACAATGCCATCGAGTAAGTATGAATAATACGATACTAACGTGACTTTAAAACATCATTATTATATTGTACTCTCGTACCTATGTACCAAAATTTATTTCTTTTTATACAAAATTATATTATAAACAAATTATACAATAAATAATAAAAAATATAGGTATCGACTTTCGCATTATGTTATGCACAGAACAGACATGTACTCGTATTAGCCTTGAAAAGATTTTTATAATTTGCAATGTCTGGTAGCCCTTATTTTACCCCAGACGCAAAAACGAAGGGGTGTTATAACTTTACAAGTTTGACGTGTCTGTGTGTGGCATCGTAGCTCCTGAACGGATGAACCGATTTTGTTTTTTTTTTTGTTTGAAAGGTGAATTATAGTCGGGAGTGTTCTTAGCTATGTTTGATGAAAATCGCTCCAAGATGGTCGGGGGTTTTTTAATTTTTAATTTAATTGAGTTATATTATAAGATTATTTCGTTTTTATCTCAAAACATATTTACCAATAATATATAAATTATAAATAAACACTATAATATTATTTAAACGCACTCTAATGATGTGACAAAAAGATTTATTTCTCAAAAAAATAATACAATAGGTACGGAGATTTGGCAAACGTTTTATCGATAAACGATGTATCATAATTACATAAAATACATTTTATGCGGCTCTTTTTATAAAAACTTGATAAAATACATGATGCCACACAATGCATCTGATAAAAAAAACGTCATAGTTACTTTAGACTTCTGACTCATTCCAATTTACGTCACGGCAGCCACTAGCACCTGTGGATTTCAATTTATATTCTCACGATATGAAACTATCCACAATAACTTGATGCTTTCTATTAACGTGACCTAAATGAGACCCGACGTAAATCAAAAAATTACGCCAGCCCGAAACTCAGCCACCAAATTATAATTGGGCTAACTCAATTTAAAAGTTGCCGTCGATACGAGAAGAAGAAGAAAGAATTTTGTATTATTTCTTATAAATGTAGCATTATTTTAACGATAAAAATTTGTTTATTGTATGTAAAAGATAATCTGTGGAATAAGTGAATCGATTCTAAATGTTCTTTTACAATTAGGAAAATTCACTGTTACTGAATATATTGTACCTACTCCTAACTCTATCACGCGAGCTAAGCGTACGAAATATATAATATATTATTGTAGTTCTATCTTAGCTCTACACGATTCTTACAGAAGTAATACCATTCTTCATTGATATAAAAATATGAATGGTTTTGATTCACCCTCGCTTCAGTCGGGTTCGCCTCTAGTTAAGCAAAAACAAACCAATCCCACGGGAATCGTACATTTTTCCGGGATAAAAGGAGCCTATGTGTTATTCCAGACTATAATCTATCTCTGTGCCAAATTTGATCCAGATCCGTTCAGCCGTTCTGGCGTGAAAGAGTAACAAACATCCATACTCACAAACTTTCACATAATATATAACATTAGTACAGATTTTCTAGTTTCTACAATGTTTCTTTATCAACGACGGAGCATGGTACATGTCAAGGGAACTATGGTAATCTGATTTCTTATCGGTTCGTCATTATGAATACTTATCTTATTACAAGAACTTGCGAATTTGTCGCATAACTTCTGCAAATATAATACTGTTTTTTTTTATACTTTATAGATTATACACAATGACTGTTACTGTGCTGCTTTAATTAATTAGTTGATTATATTCCTGCGAAATAACTATCGATGTTTAAATTTTAAAATTTAAAATGTCTAATTTAACATGTAATGTATGTTATGTTAGTTTAAAAAATTATATAGTGCTATTATTTTTCAACTATATTTGTTAAAGTTACATGAAAAAAATATTTTTTTAGCTCCATGGTGTACTTGTTACAATGGCAGAATTTCCGTCGATTCTATCTGTACATAATGACTGACAACTACCGCAACATCATCACGAGGCACAAGCGCATGCTCCTGAGCCCCGAACTGAAGAATAGGTACTCACTAGATGAAAAAATGATCGTCTCCGCTGGTACCCTGCCGGACCTCGACGAGGCTTATTCTCGGTAGGCTATTTATTTTATTAATTACTAGTTAGTACTAAAAACAAAAACAAATCCCTCCGTCGTGAACCGTATATTTTTCCGGGATAAAAATTGGCCTTTTTGTTATACCAGGCTATGATCTGTCTCTGTGCCTCATCCAGATCTGTTCAGCCGTTCTGGCGCGAAAGAGTAACAAACATCCATACATACTCACAAACTTTCACATTTATAATATTAATAATAAATAATACGGACTAATGAATTACTATAGCGGACTTTTCCGTTGTCCTTTTTGAAACCTACATACAATATTATGGTACCTACATTGTTTTTATGTATCTCTAAAGATTTGGCCAGCGTTACCATTGTAATCGTACAAAAACTGTTTTTTTTTGACACAACACTATCTAGGCTCAGTCCTTTTGTACGCAATATTTAAGTACAAGTTATATACGCAGACCTTCCTCGTTTATTATTCTTTTATTAGTGAAAACCCATATTAAAATCCGTTGCGTGGTTTAAAAGAAGTAAGCGGAGAAACAGACAGACACAAATAGTGAATTTGTTGTATACTATCTATACATTCTCGTATGCCAATGGATTGATTGGAGGAATTTTGATAAGAATCGGTAATATACGATTAGTTCGCGCATCAGCTAATGTCTAATGCGTAGGTACATGTAGGTTAGTCTAGTGAGTGGAACCTAATTTGGGCCCCACACACGATGAATCACAAACGTTAAAGGAAATATTAATTGACTAGTTCTTGCCTATAGTTCCAATACTTGGTAGGATTATTGAAAAAACCTGACCTGAGATGTGTTATTAGCCAGAAATCGGGATATAAGCTATAAGTTTTTGGAATATCATTTAAATTCGTAGAGCCGGTTCAGCACGAAGAAGTAATAAAGACACTTGCTTACAAACTTTTGCGTTTATAATATTACTAGCAGTACCCGCGGCTGTTCCCGCGCTTAAACTTCCGATATAAACATCAGTTTTACAATAATGTATGGAAGTCTGCTCGATTTGTTGACATTTATGATTACTGCTCCGCTTCCTTGGGTAGCATGATGATAAATATATAGCCTATAGCCTTCCTCAATAAACGAGCTATCTAATGTAAAAAGAATTTTTCAAATCGGATCATTAGTTCCTTTGATTAGCGCGTTCAATCAAACAAACTCTGTCTCTTTATAATATTAATATAGATTAATATTATAGTTCATTGTGTTAATAATATATTATACACAAGCAAATTACACTCGCATCGCTCGCGTGCGCCCCTGGGTATCTAGCAGTTGCCGATGTGTTACTCCAGGTCAATCTTACTCCAGTCTATCTCAATTTCATCCAAATCCCTTTAGCCGTTTCTTCACCATGAAGAAGTAAGAAATATAAACACACGCACACTAAAACACGTACTAACACATAGAGGCATGTATATATAGCCTAATTAAATAATTAAATATCGATTGTCCTTTTATTAATCGTCAACGGAATCGTTTATCTCAATCTAAATTATAAAAGTAATAACTGTCTCGTAACCAGTTGCATAAGACAACAATGAACCAGATGTCGAAAGATTGAGTGTACGATGAAAATTTGAGAAGCTAAATTAATTTAAATAAATAATTGATAGAATATAGAATCTCAAAATTTATGGAGAAGACCATTTTCATATATTTATAATCTAACTAGCGACTCACCCTCGCTCTGCTCGGCTTCGTCCCTATTGTATATTTTAAAGGTTAGTATAGATTTCTCAGAGATGAGATATTATCCTGCACTAAAAAGTATCCTATATATTGACCCGGATAACCAGCTATCATCGTACCAAATTTCATCAAAATCTGTCTAGTGGTTTTCTCATGATGCGGTCACAGACAGACATAAATTCTAAAAACTATTGATTCGGCCTCGGTATCGATAATAATGACTATTTCAGCAGAATCTCCCAAAAAAATATTTAATGTACAGATTTGACTCAGTTAGAATTTTATTATATGTATAGATTTTAAAATGGTGATGGTTGTGCAATCATAGTCATTTTACAGATTATTATCAAAGATCCTTGGAAAAGTTTAAGAATGTAATATGTGAACTTATATTGACATTTATTCTAAAATCGTCATATCGTCTAGTAATATCGTTTCATACGCTTGACGTTATCTTCAATGTACTGAAAAAAAAGATATATCTTACTCTGTTCTCTTTTTTTCCTTAGTGACAATAACAACGTGTATGAGGTAATAACCATTGCAATACAAATTATTAATGCTCGTCCCGCACGGAAATCGAACTTTTGACCTCTGGGGTTGTAAGTAGATCGTGCCAGTCGAACACTTCATATCTCGCTATCGAGAAAATTATATAATGCAATTAATTTTATATTTTACTGTTTTTTTTTTCAGTAAAGTGCACGGGTTCGATTCAGTGACAGAGTTATACAAATGGAGTTCATCAGCTTTCTATCTTAAAAATATTAAAACCCCAATGATATTTATAAATGCGCGAGACGATCCGATTGTGCCTGAACAACTGTTACCAACCATCAGAGAATTTGTCAGTAAGTATAAATGTTGTGCATTTTTTTATATTTATATAAATAAAAAAAAACTCGCAAATTATTATTTTGTTTGATATAATTTGTAAAACAATAAATGATATCTAAATGCAATTTAAAATAAAAATATTTTTTCAAACATTTTTATTAAGCATAAGGTACAAGATAATTAAAAATATGTAATTATATTAATCAAGTATTTTATATTATCTATACATATAATAAAACTGACTGAATGAAACTGAATAACTGTAGAGGTCGAATGTCTGTACATAAAGAAAATGCTAAAAACCGGGTCAGGACGATGTAAGAAGAGAAATAGAATACAGTTTTTTTTTCAATTTTTTTGTTTCTCTGTCTGTTTGTACGGGCTAATCTCCGAAACTGTTGAACCAATTTAAATGAAATTTTGCAAAGTGGTACCTTATATCCCCAGTCACCATTTTACTAATTAATTTGCATGTATACATTCTATGTATACGAGGACAAATGCGATTGATTGTGAAAACACATCTGTATCATAAAAAAATCAATTCCTCGCCTTAACGCTTAGTTCAAGGTACACTAGTTTTATATGGTAATATTAGTTCGATTTCGTATTGATTAATGCACCCTACTAACTATTGTTTTCTATGTAAATGATCCATTTCAAAAATTTGGTTTAGCATTTATTTCATGCAAATACGTTTTTTTAATTATTTGCGATATGATAAAACCCGTTTATTATATCAGACATGCAACATTTAAAATAACCAAAAAGACCAGTTTCTTTTATAGGAAACATATAAAATATACTTGCTTATAACAAAAAAAATTAAGATGATACATCTATCTATACAATATAATTGTATAGATAGATGTATACAATCGGTAAAAACTTTACTCTCATAATTTTTTTCAAACGTGTCAAAAGAAGTATATCTTCAAAAATCTCGACCAATAATTTTTTTATATGATGGGTGTAATATATATTAGCAATTTAGGTTTAGGAAGATTTTCACGCTATAATAATTATCCCCAATATGCAAGCTGTGATACAAAGTTTTACAACATATTCGTATATATATGTATAACTTTTAACACGCATGTTTTATAACTTATTCATATACATATGTATATTTTTTTCTGTATATTTTTAATCCGTTTTAAATATTAATAGAAAAATTAAGTACCGTAAAGTTATGTACCGCTCGTAAATTGTAGATAAGTAAATAGGTCGCAATTATATGCTTAAGTTCATCCAAATACATTTTTATAGTTAATTTGAATTTTAATTTAGTAAATTATTTGCTTGGAAACACAAGTTATTACAATCTTACTACGAATCTTCATCCTTGTCGTCAATTTTCTTTAATTCATCTTTATTAGGTTCAGTTCGATGTGAGTGTGCATATTCATTCTCATGAACGTGATGTGAGTGATTGCACGAGGTTCTTATGAATATAATAAACTAGCAAAACCCGCGGCTTCGCTCGCGCTAAAACTACAAAAAACGTCTTTGGCATTATGCTATTAATAAATGTATGGAAGTCTGCCCAAATTGTTGACATTTGCTATTGCTCCGCTCCCTTAGGTATTAGCATGATAATATATATATATATATATATATATATATAGCCTATGGCCTTCCTCAATAAACATGCTATTTAATGCAAAAAGATTTTTTCAAAAACAAAGAAACAAACTCTGCCTCTTTATAATATAGTAAATCGACTTTAAATACGATGTCACTGTTAGAAATATTAATTTAAAATATTCGTATAATTATGCGTATGGAAAGTTATCAGTTGTCTCATTTATATATACATTGTTATTTTAGATAATATACACTTGAAATTGTATAATATCTTATATCAGACAGTATTTTTTTACACTTTGATGTTATCACGAGGATAATACATTGTATAAATAAAATTGGTTTAAATTATATTATATTTTTCGTCCTCGTTATTGTCTCAGCGAAAAACTAAAGACGTTCTATGGACATAGGCCTCGCCCAAAGATTTCCACGATTGCTAGTTTTGTGACATATGTATACAGCAACTTTGACCGAGTCGTCGGTCCAACTTGTATACTATGTATTTCATTTGAAGTATTAAATGTGTAGGTTCACACGATAAGGCGATGTACCTGGAACTATCTCACGGCGGGCACCTCGGGTTCTACGAGGGCGGGCTGGTGTACGCCAACCCGGTGACGTGGCTGGACCGCGCGCTGGCGGCGCTGGTGGGCGGCCTGCTCATGGCGCACCACAAGTGCGACCCCAAGCTCCGCGAGCCCGTCGACCGGGACTACGACGAGCCGGATCTCATCAAATCAGCAACCATTATATATAGAGACCCTCTAGACAAACCGGCCAAAGTGTAAACTTGTTGTAATTTATCGTTCTCCTGTGTGGTTGTGTGTTCATGACGTCATTAGTTAAATGTAACGATTTTTTCGTTAGATATTGCATGATAATTTATATGAAGTATGTAGAATTATATTTGTTTTGAGAATGAAACACACGACCACTATAAGGCCTTGTTGGATTAAATAAGACATGTTAGTAGAATGAACTGTATTGCCATTTTAAATGGGGTTTTGTGTGTGGGAGTACTTACTTCAATGTCGCATTTTACTTATTTTGAGCTTTAAATATCTTAAAAGCTGTAGATGTTGAATAGTTAGACGAGTATGAATAATCTATGTTAATGTTGCATTGTAGTATAGACGGCCTAGGTGATATATGTATGTATACAGTTTATTAACTTCGTGTTCCTATTTATATGAACATATATGAAATCTATATGTGATGAATTCGTTTCGTTTTTTGAAATTCGTTTTTTTTTTAAATTTGACATTAAAAATATTTATTTGACCCATATAATAGAACTTGGATCATTGTAATAATTATAGCGTATGTGATACACTCTAGATTTTTTCTGCTGTTGTATATTTTTGTTTAACAAAAATATACTCATTAAATTAAAAAAATGTTACTAATCTCAGTAATACTTAGTTTAAAATAGAAGACTCGCTTTTTAATTATACCATATCTTAACCTTATTCATCTAGTACTGATTATTCTGGCTTCGCTGGCCTATTTTTCTACTTTAATTGTGCCACCCATTTTTGGGTTGCATTGCAAAAAATATTTAAGGGTTACCTTTGTCGTTTGCAAACCGACCGTTGAAAGAAGAAGCGGTTGTATATATAGAAAATAGAACAATAGACAAAATTGAAATAATATAAAAAAAGAAAAAAATCATTTATCTGGCAGTGGCCTGCCAACTGCCTGCCCTCTTGTTAATTTAATTTGAGTACACAAACTCAATATTTATGTATATCTTAAAATGTTTGAATTGTATAGGCTTGTGATGTTACTGAAAATATGTGGTTTTGTTTTTAGAATGTTTTGCTGTTAGATTAACGTTTAAAATTTAATTAACATAAACAAAGTGATAATTGTGTACGTTCCAGTCTTGCGTATATTTAAACGTGTACGCGATTATATATTAAAAAAAATAGTATTATTTGAATATCTGCATTTATTGGTAAATAAATATATTTTATAAAATTTGTCATATTATGTAAAATTATAGTATACTATATCATAATGTAATATGTATGTACTATATAGTATACTATAAAGTGTAAAGATTGAGTGGACTGTGAGTCATAATAGATTTTATGTGTTATGCCTTGACGATTTCTTGGACAAAAAATTATAATATAGGCAATATATAAGTGAACACTGCAAATGCATTTATGATTCATATGTGTACAATGTTATTATGTGTTTAATACTTTTTTTGTACACTTACATAGTTCCGTTATGTTTGTAACTGTGAAGAAAAAATTATTGAAGGAAAATTATATCAAGTTGTAGCAAACATATCTGTTGTGTGTGTTTTAAATGTGAAGGTGCCTTTGCAGTGCGATATGTCGATGTTTATAATATATTGATACATTAATATATAGAAAAATGTTCTCAACTTTCTGGCAATACCTTATGCCGGGTGTTAATGCCTAAACTAAACTGTTTTATAAGAAAACCGGGAAGATAAATATGAATTGATTCCATTGCCTCTAGTGCAAAAGGCTGTGCTAATGAAATATTTAGCTACAGAGTCACGGCGATTAAATAAAAATTGGTTATTAGGACGATTGTTAACTTATCGATGACTATAATCAGAGTGTAGATTGCTCCAAATAATTTAATTGATTGTTACAGTACAAATATACATTTTCAAAGCACAATATTTAAAAATTTATTTTTCTGTCTTACTATTATGTAAAAGTAAAGTTTTAAGTTTTGTTTATTTTTATTGTTTTTATTAATAATTAGTAAATACTAAATGTAAAGTTTATGCCACAGTAGACAGCACGGTGCACCGCATATGCACACTGTTCGATATATGTAGTCCTAATATTAATAATATAGTACTACAATGGTAATTTTATATTACATTTTACGACAATGTTTAAAAATTTGATAAAATAACTTAATAAACACTTTGTATTTTGGTTTTGAAGACTATTCAGATGATCACTCATTTATGTAATTGTTATTTAATTGTAAAACTTATATCTGAAGAACTTTATACATTTTTGAAATTGACTACCCTACCAAACTAACAGCAAATTTCAAATGACTGATCTCGAGAATTGTTAAATCCCACATGTTAACAAAGCTATTCCAACGAAGTCATCAATTAAAAATATGTACCTTGATAAAGGTTTTTTTTTGTTACTATTGAATCTTTAGCAAAGCAAAAATTTAGAAAATCTTGAAAATAAACTGATTTATGTATTTTTTATTAATAAAATTGCGATTTTAAATTACAGTGTAAGTATATGTAGTTCAAATTGGTATTTACAAAATTACTACTAGTAATCTGAGATTAAATATTTTTTTGTAATTGAAAGGTTCATGCCTAATAAATGTGATAGAAATAATACACAGTAGTTTTCGTTTTTCCCATTCATAATTAAATTAATCATTACAAAAAATTTGATAAATAAGTATATTTCTAAGTCAATTATATAAAATTTTTAAGAGACGGGTGAATTTACGCTGCCTTAAACACTAACAAGATAAAACTAATCTTAAATTACTTTGTAAATGGAATATTATAATGACATTCCTCACAAACATGACACTTGTACACGTAAACATTTATTTATACATATAGAAATATTTGTGTTCAAAAATTGATATTTTTAATTTATATTATTTTTGAGCAACCAAAAGAGATCAGTACACAATTATAAATTCAGAAAATTCTTATACACTTGGATCTTGTCAATATATGTAGGAAAAAAAAGTATAATAAGTAATGCCTATACAGTTCTCTTTATATTTCATACTAAACTATTATGAAAAATATAAAATGTTACTCATTATTAGAAATGTTATTGATTTTGTAAATATTTGAAAAAGTATTATTTCAATTAAAATGCGAATAATAAAAATAGAATTGAGATCATTTTGGAAAAAATACAGTTTAATATTCCATGAAAGTTATTACACAATAACATTTTTATAAATGAAAAATATAAAAAGGTTACATATAGGCAAATGTAATAAATATTCCAAATACAAATATCACAACATTTTTCTTATGCTATTTCTCTTTACACAGACATCTTAGAATAATACACATCAATATTAAGTATTTTAGCAGCATACATGAATAAATTTACAATCAATGTAGGTAATATCAGTGCCAGACCTAATGTTATACAAAATTATAAGACTAAAAATACATTTTTAGAGAGCCATAATACTTTAAATTCTTAGCTTTAATAAATTATATAAATGGCATTTACGTTGATATAATACATAACAAAATATGGCCACTGGGAGAAATTATTTTTTCATATTTTTATATATGTACTATTACAGTTAAGAAAATGGCAATGGTTTTCAAAAGATCACTTTGTAAATGTGCTATTAAATAATGTCTTATTCACTATAATATCAATTAAAAAAAAACTAGTTTCAAAACTGATAATTTACAGTCTTTATACAGATCGGTCTTCTGAGTATTTTTATATCAGAATAAATTAAAGCTCTTTGTACAAATTTTGTAGTGTATAAATAAATTATGTAAATGCAATCAAATTGTAACTTATATTATCATATAGTCAGCATACAGCTGCAGGATCGCCTTCCAATGTGCATGCTACATTATCTAGTTTATGAGCTAAGTGCATTTTGTTTTCTAGCCCTAATATAATTTGTTCTCTATATTTACTGACGTAAATGTACAACTCTTTCAAAGCTGATAAAGTGTCGAACTCGTTAAGCTGTTCGACTGAAAGCTGTTGCATAGAGGTACTTAGCTCTTGGTCGGATACTTGAGGTAATTGAGACACGGCCTGATAAAATTGTATAACCATTTCCCTATAGGTCGGTAAATCTTTTGCAAAAAGCAATTTGTTGGATGGTGAATCTTTACATAGTCGATGTTCACTTAAAGAACACGCGTCCATAAAAGTTTGAGCAATCACAGACAATGAGGAATCTACTGTTGAAGTTTTATTAATATCAAATATAAAATCTGGATTTTTTATGAGATTGACCCAAAATCTCAATGGCAAACTGTTCGATTTCCATGCGTGGACAACCTCAGGGTTAATGATCCCATGCGCTCTCGCAGCATCGTCAAAAAGATCGAATAACCATTTAACAGCTGGAGGCAATACTTCGTTTACAGTTAAAATCGTACTAAAGAAGTCATCGACAAACTTATGTACCGTACCTTTAGTAGAGAGCAGTCGAGTAAGAAATATTTCCGGTATAGCCTTATGGCTATGTTCGGAGGTTTTGTTCACAATGTGCTGATACTCAATAGGCTTAACTAAATGATAATAGTGGGCATTTTGATCGCTAATATCACTTTTGTATACTCTTATATGAGAATTTGAACAATAAATACCTGTACAATTTTTGCATGGTATTTTATATGGCGTATTAAAGCTGTCATTTTGCCGCGATATTAAAGACATAACAGCTGATTCTTTAACCCCATAATGTGCTAGAGTATTTAATTTTCGCCAACCGTTTAAGGTTTTCGTTGTGAGGTCTTCATCCTGAAGAGTAACATGGCCTCCTCTCCCATGTCTCCATTCTAAGTCAACTTCGTGGACGGAAGGTCGCATACTAAAAGGAGTATTTTTAAATAAAGCATCTAATATTTTAGCTTTCACTTGCGATATACTATCGCAATCTAAAACCTTACATTGAACTTTTTCATCAAAGTCATCTTGTACTATGTGTAAAGTAACAATTTGATAATCAATTTGCTCTTTTAATAATTTTTCTTCAGATAAAGAATATCTTGCTTCATGGGTTATCGAGTCTACAACACCCTTTTCTATTTGATGTTTTATAGCTTTAAACAGTAAAAACAGCGATGATCCCGCATAATCTTTTAGATAGTAGTACATGCATAAAGCCATCCAATTTGTAAGCATTTTTTCCACAACACTTTCTGTTCTTCTTAACATAAGTTGAGGATGCTTCGTGCAAACTGATTTATCAATGAGACGTAAAAGTAGGGATTTTAGTATATCTGTAGCGTATTCCATTTTGCCCATAAGTATAACCATTAATAACGATGCTACATTTACTTTGTCTCTAATGTTAAACGATTTTTGGGCTTCCAATGTGTCTATAAATGACAAAAGGAAACATTTATTATTTAATAGTTGTTCAAACTGAATCATTGCAGCATCGTAATTAGTTCGCGGTGTATTAATAAATTGGCGCTGGACGTTAAGGATAGGATGATCTGACACGCCTGGGAAAAATACTTTCATTACGTAATTCACATGATCCAATGTGGGAATTCCAGAATGTTCCAAATCTGCTGCCAGATCAGACATATCGGTTTGAAGCTCCGCGAAAGCTAATTTACACTCTAATCTCACATTACTTTCTAAAGTATCCATTTGTATTTGTATTCTTTTATATTCTCTCTCTGCCTTTGTACTACGTCTTCTGTACATAACTAAGACGATCATAAATATGAGAACTAAGAAAAATGTTCCTGCAGCAATACCAGCAATAGCTTCAGGAGGAAAATTATAATTTCTAAGAAGTTCATAATGTAAATACCCGATAGGAAACCTTAAATTTTTGCCAATCTTAACGACAACTAAAGGCAAATTAATATCTATAATCTGAAAACCGTTTTCATCTGTGTTAGGCGGTTGTATTTCAGGTGGAGTACATAGCAACTGTTGCATTGTTAGACTTGTAACATTGCATGGCTGTGTACCGATTGTTACAACAACATCTGATTCGTCGCTCGCTCTAATTAGATTCTCTCCTTCTATTACTAATGGATCGCCTTTGTACGACTTAATTCGATTTGGAAACTGATAAACGTGTGGATCCTCGACAAATAACATGTGAGTCCTTGGTGGATTAAAATATTTTTCTAAATCATGCATTGTTTCCACATTGTCCATCACAAAACCTACTTTCATAACTACTTGTGGTGTACTTGTTTGAGATTTAGTTGCTTGAATTATATCATAATATTTTTTGTTTACAGCTGGACTGGGACATTCCATCTGGTTTGAATTGAGCACAGCACAAGCTGTTGAATTAACAGGAATTTCTTCATTGGCATAATAAAGTTTCATAAGTGGTTTTTGTATAGTATGTAAATTAGTTCCATGAACTGTTATCATTCTTCCACCAGAAACAAAACTTTTCAAAGGTTTTATTTCCATTATAGTAGGATCTGCTGTATAATTAAATAAATCACCATGCAATGTCCTGTTTGCATTATCAATAGACACTGTCAAAGTATGAATAATATGAGGTGTGTTTGTTTTAGGAGTTACGCATATAAGTCTACTATTAGATGTTTGTGTTTTATTTACAGAACATGCAAGTTCATCTAAATATGCTGATATAGTTGATCCAATATTTAAATGTTGTCCACCAATAGCTAACTGTGTACCTCCTGAAACAGGTCCTAGGGCAGGGTACACACCTTGTAACTTAATATTCTTGTAACTGTATAGTACAGAGGATTCTGTATATCCTGCATCATTTTCTACTATTACAGGTGCAACAACTGAGCCATTAGACGGACCTGTTTTACAAGTTATACTTACTGAAACTTCAAAGTCCACAATTTCACAAAGAACATCGCCAATCCGAACTTTACCCGTTACTTCCTCCACTCTTAGGCCTAAATTACTACCTTCAATTGTTACTAGAGTGCCTCCTTCTATGGGTCCACTTAGTGGTTTTATCATGTCAATTCTAGGCTTAGGGCATTCGGTCACAGGGTTTTCTAAACAAGATTCACTATATGAACATGAATTACCACACCATGTACACTGATATATAGAATTGCGAGTAATGCACAGAGAGCAGTCAGCATGGTTCCTATGTGATCCAAGAATTTCACATTTGTATAATGTAATAGTTATAGTATCTATATAATGCTTATGGTTCCAATAAACCTTTACACTTATGTTGTACTCTCCCACATTTTCTTCATAAGAGTACATCGTTTTGTCACACACTATGAAATGGTTAGATTCTACTCGTGCAGGGAGAATCATATTAGCTAGTTCAATACTGACAATACATTGAAAGCCTGTATGATCAGGTTGTAAGTGTGGCAAATTTTCTACTTCAAGTTCCAGTTCTTTTGGTACATTGTTTGGTAATAGAATTGCTTCCTTGTATTGTCTTATTCTAGGACAGTGACCAATTCCATGATTAAGTAATTTTGTAGGATTTTTTTCTCCACTTATAATGGTTCGCTGACATACTGATACATCATGGGTACACTTATTGTCATAAATGCACCAATTACAAGCCCATTCGCTCATTATACATGTATGGCAAGTAATATGTTTTGAACAATCATAGAAAGCAAAGTTACGTGATACAAAATCCTTATTAGTTTCAGAAGAATGAACAGATAGAGGAACAAAAATATGATCTTGATTTTGTGGTATTTTTGGTCTGTGTTTAATATCTGGCGTTGGACATGCAAGACCACTTGATGTGACTGCGGCATCAATTGGAGGAGTGTTACCAAATACACATTTATACTTTGCACCAAATGGAAGTTCTGGTAAAGTTCTTATCACTAGTTGAACAGTTGTAACTTCAGACATAGATATACGGTCTGGTAAAATTTGTTCAAAATCAATACATTGCTGGCCAGTATACTGAGATAACCATCTTGGTGCACTTTGAGTACCTTTTTGGCACATATTTTGAACTGTACATCTTTTCTCTAAAGAACACCAGCCACAGTGAGGATCATTAGATTCTAAACATGATGAACAATTGCCATGTTCTGCACATTTTTCTGTTGGAATTTGAACAATTGTATTTTTTGCTAATATGTATAAGGTTTTTCCATATGGTGATAAAGTTGTATCTGGGAGAATTTTTTGTCCAGAAAGGAGCACTTCAGTAGCATATTCTATTGATTTTTCAGCATCTACCAACACTTTTCTTAATGAACCATCGTTAGTACCTAAAAATGCTACAGTATGCAATCCAGTGACTGATATGGTTACTGAAGTAATTAAAGTATCATTCCAATAAATAACTGATGTTGCTTTTATAGGATAAAGACCACTAATTTTAAGGCCTACCTCACAAAAATTTAGTATGTTTCCAGTAGACCCAACACTTGGACATTTACCATCTGAAATCATCCCTGATATATAACCCATATTACGTGCCTTAGTACTGCCATTAAAACACATGTGAACATTTTCATTAAACTTAATTTCTATTTCTTGTAATGAGAATACACAAATAGCAGACTTTGTTGTAGGTTCATTAGTTATTCCTTTTGATGGACTAAAAGATGCTACAAGGATATGATCACCAGTCTCAATACCTAACTGAGTCGCTAAATTTACACCAGCTTTAGAAATTTTTGCATCTTGTACTAAGTTATAATTGACAATTTCACTTTTACCACTGCTTGATTCTTCCTGAACATTACATTCTAATGTCACTTCTGTATAACTATTATAATTGTCATCATTAACACATGTACGAGCTAAACGTGAAACATATCCAAGTTCCTCATTACCAGCAAGGTGAGAATGTTTTTGTATAATAAGAAAGTAAGCATAGTCACTAGCATTGAATCCATACACATATTGCACTAAGAAGTTGTCTCTATATTTAACATCAATTTGTATTAAGCTTTGCTTTGAAAACGTAAATTGAGCCAGTTGTAATGTCATAAGATCACGACTGGATATTGCAGGAACATCATGCCTATATTCTCCATTATTTGTAAATGTTGTACCAACATAAAGTACATTAGAGCGGTCCCAAGAGTTATACCTTTCTGGTCCAATAAAAGCATAAGTTGAAGCTTCAGCATCATTTGCAGCTACACTCTCGGGAATAAATTCTGGTTCAGCTGAAAGATCTCCTAATTTATATTTGAAACACGAACCCTGAGCCACTGATCCACAAGCTATCACAATTCTGGATTCCTGTTCAATCACTAAAATTTTGTTCACATTATCAGTCCACACAGTTTGTATATCATCTGACGGGCAACCACTGGCATGACACATTGGGTTATCAAGTTTAGGTCCGGTTCGTACGACATGTAAAGGTTTCAGATCCGGACTAAGTTGATGTAGAGTATTTAATGACCCGGCGTAAACTTGCCCGCTGATTTTGTCGACAACGAGATGGTTAAAATGGAATGTTTCATTTTCGTTTTTGGGATATTGCGATATAAATTCGTATCCATACACTATTGTGCATCGAAGCCAAATTGTTGTAACTAATACTGACAGAAATGCAGCCATGATCACATTTTAATTTGTCTTCCTCATCAAAATTCTTCCCGTTTTTACAACCACTGTCTATTTTTTATTGATATTCAACCCATTTTATGAAAATATTAAAAACCATACATGATACATCGATGCGGATGACACGGAATAAACAAGTCTTAGTTTTTAATTTATGTTTTGCCTATAATGCTTGGTTTTTGGTCTATCTAATTTACAAAAAATGTTTGGCTTTGCCGTAGACAAGAATTAGAAAAAAATATTTAAATGACGGAAATACTATTTTTAAAAGAAATGAAATTCAAACGCTACGGAAAACCATTTTATATTTAAAATTTATTAAAAATAATTTGTAGCAAAATTATTATTTTTTTAAATATTCTTTTATTTGTAATATTTAACATTATTTTTAGTTTCTTTTTTAATATGGCACATTATTTAGATACGATTTCTCATTTCCAATCAGTAATCCAGTAAATTCCAATTACTGAGCATAATGCCGCACTTTGGCGCACAAACACGAACAAAGCGAAAAAAACACTTGTTAAATATTCTGCTACTAAGTTGATTGGTCACGGCAAAGCTGTACTTTTCTAAGTGCTCGATTGTGCGCAGCGTTGTTGTAGTTGAAAAATTCGAAGTTGAGCATTATACCGTATAATGCCCTTTAGTGCTGTAATTGGAAAACAGGCAATATAGAGTGATATAGTTATGTCGTTATATGGATAATTTTAATGTATCAATAATTTTTCGTAAAGAAACTTATGCTTATTATTATATATTAAGACTTTTGTCTCTATTCTTTCATTTGTATGATGATACGACTCAGAAATTATAATATGAAAAATGAAAATACATAATTATTCTTGTTAGAAATCCGTAATCAAAATAGTATAAGCGAAAACTAATCGATTGATTTGAATGTAAGCTGGCTAGATCATTGCATATGCAGCATATTTTGAAATTTTGTAAATAGCTTAATAAAGAGAATCGTGTTTGTTTTACAAATTGCCTTTTCTTTTATAAATAGAATTTTAAAAAATGTGTGTCGCGTTAATATATCCTATAATCTAACGAGGATTAGTAAATAATAACAAGCACATTCGCGATAGTTATTATCATTTGAAAAGTGACTAATTGTAAAAAATCAATTAAATAATTTAGCTAATATAATTAAGCTAGCAATATGTATTCTATCTCAAAAATAGCTAATGGAAATCGATTTCATTCAAATTCGTTATCGATTAATATGGATATCTCACAGCCCTAGTTAATAGAAATGTGAAATGTCTGACAGTCTAGCGTTTTACCATTTTGCGATTTGTGTTTGCTTCTTTTAAAAATATTAAATACCCACTTTGGGTTCAGATGTAAAAATATATAGTATTGCAGTTAACGAGTTTTTTATATTAAATGTTTTCGAAATAATTTTTAAACACTCGCAAAGACTCCTTCCTATACAATTGCTACAAATTACAAAATGTGATCTCGTGTTATATATTTATTATTACTATGATGCCGGGTATTTAACGAGAGTATATTATAATATATAGTAAGATGATGGCTACCATGGCTGCTGGTGGTCCGGGGGACCCACATACACAAATGAATACTTATCGTAGTTATGTGACAATGTTAGCGGATCCTGGAGCAAAAGACGAAATTAAATTAAAAGCAGCCCAGGAACTCAGCGAAAACTTTGAGGTAACCTAATTCATTCATAATATATTTTATAATTCGTTCATTTACATATAATTATGTATTCTCACATAGATGTACAATCCAATAAATGAAAATAAAATTGTATTTGTGTAAATAATATTTGCGAATTCCAGATTTATGAATTAATATAGATTTACTAAAAGTATCTTATTATTTTAGGTAATATTGAGTTCCCCTCAATATCCACAGTTCTTGGATCATTCTCTTAAAATATTTTTAAAGATATTACAAGAAGGTGAACCACATTTTATAGCAGAATATAATATACAGCAAGTAAGGAAACTTATACTAGAAATGATCCATCGTCTACCAATAAGTGAAACACTAAGACCCTACGTCAAAAGTATACTAATATTAATGTTGAAGCTAATGGAAATTGAAAATGAGGAAAATGTACTAGTTTGCTTAAAGATTTTTATGGAGCTTCACAAACAATATAGACCAGCCTACAGCACTGACGTTGATGTAAGTTCTGTTTAATAAATAATTTTTTTATAATGAACCTTTTATTCATATATTTTCTTCTCATGTAAGATTCACAAGTTCCTGCAATGGGTTAAAGGAATATATTCTGACTTGCCAAATCATTTGCCAAAAATATTTGAGCCAAAACCAACCATCCGAGTAAAAGACCTGTCAGAAGTTAATATTGACCAACTGCTCCAAGAAACATATACAACTACACCAATACATACTGAGAAAAAACTTTTAGATGGAAGTGTTGTAACTGTAAGTACTGTACATAATATAATCTATCCACATAAAATAGAGACCTGAATATGTAGACTAAGTGTTTATTATTTTTATTGTACTGGCTGTTTGATGAAACATAGTTTGTTAATTTTTTTGTTTGCTTGACAGTAAATTTTTACAGAATATGTATATAAAAATAGTGGTATGATGTAATGCCTGACTAAATGTGGTACAAAAGTACAGGAAGGATATATTCCTGTACTTTTTGTGTTACAGTGCTCTGTTTCATTTGTGATTCCTGTACTTTTTGTATTAGAGTGCTATACACAAATACCTAAAATCATAATAACAATCAAATTATTGTTTAGCATCACAACTAGTTTCAATTTATTGTTTTTATAGTTAAGTAATTCATTTTCAGTACAATCTTATTCCAAGATCTGTGTTATCTTTGAAAGTTATCCAAGAGCTACCAATCATAGTTGTATTAATGTATCAACTTTATAAACAAAATGTACATCAGGAAGTTAGTAACTTCATTCCACTTATAATGGAAACTATTACATTACAACCAGCAGCAACACATAGGTAAGTTTTATCCTTGTTTTATTGTTAGTATTTTAAATCTTATTGTTATTTCAAATAATGTCTAATATGGTCTAGCTTTAAAATATTTTTTGTGTTTATTTAATAAAATACTATTTGGTATTTCTTTCATATACTTTGTTTATTTAAAACTTTTTCTTCCATTTTGTAGGCAATCTGCATCGTTCAACAAAGAAGTGTTTGTTGATTTTATGGGTGCACAAATAAAAACGCTGGCATTTTTGGCCTACATTATTAGAATCTACCAAGATACTATTGCCAATCATGCTAATTTGATGGTTAAGGGTATAATAGGACTCCTCACGCTCTGCCCACCTGAAGTGGCGCATCTAAGAAAGGAATTGGTTATAGCCACGCGACACATTCTAGCTACTGATTTGAGGCTAAGTATGTACACGGTGTTAAATTATTAACATAGCAAATAACTCTTTTAAAGATATTTGGGAAATTTTTAGTCAATAGACCATGTACATCTGATAATCCCTATTGACTAGAAGTAGGTCATATGTTCTGTCCTTGGTGGTTAAAATTGAGCAAGATTGTAAAACTGTATGACATATAACTTTTCTAAATTAAAGAATATATATATATATCTTCTGCACCAATAAAGATGTTTATTATTTTATAGAATTTGTTCCCTACATGGAGCGTCTCTTCGATGAAGAAGTATTACTTGGTGGTGGTTGGACTGTGCACGAGTCGCTGCGTCCGCTCGCTTACTCTACCTTAGCCGACCTGGTCCATCATGTACGACAACACCTACCCTTGACGGATTTGGCCATTGCTGCTCATTTGTTTTCCAAAAATGTACATGACGAATCTTTACCAACCAGGTCCGTTTAATTTTAGGCCTATATATTTACTTTTGGAATAAGCAAATGTTTCAGCTCATTTATATTATATTTACAATATTATTTAAAATTATACATATCTACATTACCAAATGTATAATCCTGTTACTTCCTAATATCCCAAAACCTGGGGGTTGTTACAAAAACTTCTACGGCCGCATACGGTGATGGGTCGACTTCCAGGTGCCCTTCGTTATAAAATCTTAGCAAATCGCGGGATACGCAGTGAACGTTCTTAATTCTTACAAATAAACAATTAGCAAATCACCCAGTGTTGTATAAACCAACAGTAAAATAAAATCAACTAAATCTATGTACAAAAATAATAATAATAAAAAAAAATACATTATAAAAATTCTAAAATATTCTCCTAATCATCAATCTATCTCAACTAATAAAAAAATTAACAACTTTAAACAAACAACACACAAATATTTCTAAAATACTAAAATTTTTATTCAATTTTTAGAAATATTTATGTGTATATATATGAATTATGAATGTGTATTGAATAAAAAACCTAAATAACAATATATTTGTACAGTATCCAGACAATGTCATGCAAGTTGCTCCTGAACCTGGTGGACTGCATCCGCCAGCGATCCGAGAGCGAGGCGGGCGCGCCGCAGGGTCGCCACCTCCTCATGCGCATACTGGAAGTGTTTGTGCTCAAGTTCAAGACCATATCCAAGCTGCAGCTACCTGCCCTTATCGCTAAATGGTGATTTGTTTTCATTTTTATTTATTATATTGGTTATAATTGGCAAAATATCAATGAGTATTTTTTTTTTTATAAAAAGTTATGCAGATTACTATAAAGTACTTAATTATTGTACACTTGGGACAAAATAACATTAATTCAATTTACGTCAACATAATAAAATTAGTAATCTTGTATATTACAGCAAGCAAGCAACGCCAACTATACCAAATGGCGCGAACGGCGTTGCCGGCGCCATCACTGCGGGGACGCCATCATCTGAACCCGCCACCCCGAGCACACCCACAACACCAGCACCCAGTACTTCCACACCAGAAATCAAGGTTGAGGAAGAGAAAACGACTCCAGATTTCTTGGATAGTATAAATAAAGCCGAAGAGAAGTCGAAGATTGGTTTTCCTACGTCGCAAATGAATAATCTCAACGTAGGAGACTATAGGACACTTGTTAAAACCCTAGTTTGTGGTGTTAAGACTATAACATGGGGCTGTGCTTCTTGTAAAGTAAGTACAATATGCTTATGGATTATTAATTATAATTATTTATTATGTACGTTATTTTATAGATCAACATTAACTGTTTTTAGAAAGATCTTCCTCAGATCTTCAAAACTGCGTTTTATAGTCTATGATACACTATGAGTATATAATTGTTTTGGAGATATTTAAAGCGTATTATATTATAATTTGTTAACCTGAATAGGTCAACCACTCATTCGGCCAAAACATGGTTTTACATAAGAAATATGTTTTTGTTACAATGTAAAGGGTAATAATATAAAAATTACAATATTTATATCTAAAGTGTTCCTAATAACAAATTCATATTGTTTCTTTCCAGACGACCACAAACACTGAAGGAACATCAACAACAGCAATAACAAGTCAAAAGCAATTCAGTGCTCGAGAGACACTAGTTTTCATCAGGCTAGTTCGTTGGGGACTGCAGTCCCTGGACATATACACCCTCGCAGCGCCCCGGGCGTCGGCGCAGCCGCCCGCGCAGCCGCATGTACGCTCCAAGGAGGAGAAAGAAGTGCTTGAACATTTTAGTGGAGTGGTATGTATTGTTTTTTTTTCATATTTATATATTCTATGAAAGTAAATATAAGCTTAATATTATGATGTTTATAAAATAGGCATAATTTTTTTTTAATGTTGTTGTTGTTTACAGTTTTCAATGATGAATCCCCAAACTTTTCAAGAAATCTTCACTGCAACTATATCTCATATGGTTGAAAGGATAAATAAAAATCCCACATTGCAAATAATTGCCAACACATTTCTGTCTAACCCCGCAACTTCCCCAATATTCGCTACCGTACTCGTGGAATATCTGCTGAAACGTATGGAGGAAATGGGAACTAACTTGGAAAGGTCTAACTTATATCTCCGGCTTTTTAAATTAGTTTTTGGATCGGTTAGTTTGTTCCCTACTGAGAACGAGCAGATGCTTCGGCCACACTTACATAGCATCGTCAACAAGGCGATGGATTACGCAATGACTGCGAAAGAGCCCTACAACTACTTCTTATTGTTGCGAGCTCTATTCCGCTCTATCGGGGGCGGCAGTCACGACTTACTATATCAGGAATTTTTGCCTTTACTGCCCAACCTATTAGAAGGATTAAATCGGCTTCAGAGTGGTCTTCACAAACAGCACATGAAAGATCTTTTTGTTGAGTTGTGCCTAACCGTACCCGTGAGATTGAGCAGTCTATTGCCTTATTTACCGATGCTAATGGATCCTTTGGTGTCGGCACTTAACGGATCCCATACATTGATATCACAAGGGTTGCGTACTTTGGAGCTCTGCGTGGATAATTTGCAACCGGATTTCTTGTACGAGCACATCCAGCCGGTCAGAGCCGATCTTATGCAAGCTCTATGGCGGACATTGCAGAATAATGAGGTTGCAAGGATAGCATTCAGAGTCCTTGGGAAATTCGGTGGAGGGAATAGAAAAATGATGATAGAACCCCAAAGATTGGAATACCGTGAGACGGACGCTCCTCCGCCCGCAGTTCAGGCTTATTTCCAAGACCAACCTAAGCCTATAGATTTTGAAGTAGATAAAGTAATAGAAACCGCATTTGCAGCTCTGAAATCGAGCACAACTGATCCATTCTACCGACGTCAATGTTGGGAAGTTCTTCGGTGCTATTTAGCGGCATCACTTAATTTAGATGACGATAAAGCCACTCTACAAAAGTTATTCAATCATCCCAGTTTTCTGGAAGGAAAGATTCCAGCTCAAAGTGGTCCCTATTACAAATGTAGCAATAGCATAGTCAGGAACACTCATTGTACGGCGCTAACAGGGATGTTCGTGGCTGCAGCTATCAAAGAACTACGCCATCACGTTTTACAAACAATGGTATCACTGGTTCGTCATTATACTTTGGTGGCTATCGCTCAAGAGGCCGGGCCTTTCGCTGGTTCAGGAGGTCCGAAGGAAGGCCTTGATGCATTAGTGCTTGTTGATGCAATCGCTGTAGTGATGGGACACGAAGAGAAGGAATTATGCAAGCCGGGTCATTTGGCTCTAGTACTAATGATAGAAACTGCGGCAACCGTCCTGGGGAGTAAGGAACGCGCTTGCCGGCTTCCTCTGATGGAATACTTAGCAGAACGAATGTCCGCCTTGTGCTATGAAAGAGCCTGGTACGCTAAACTGGGAGGATGTATCGCTGTCAAATTTATGTTCGAAAAGATGGCACCCGAATGGGTTTATAAACACGTTTTCACATTTTTAAAGGCTGTCTTATTCGTAATGATGGATCTAACGGGTGAAGTGTCGTCAGGTGCTATTGATATGGCTACCATGAACTTGGAGCGCTTAGTGCGTGTGTGCGTCACCGGGCCCGGTGGGCAGGGCGTGGAACCCGAAGGAGATGTAGCGGCAGCTAAGGCTCGCGCCTTACATGACGTGTTGCAAGAACTCGTCTTGCAAGTGACAAGTCCACATCTTCTAGTTAGACAACAGGTATTTGTATATATGTGTTTGTATTTGTGAAATATGCGTCACAATGTTAGTATACTTCAATAACTCCAAAATGTATTTATTTTAGGCAATGAAATCATTGAAATTAATTGCGGAATTACAAAATAAATCTGTCACGGAGGTAATGGATCCTCATAGAGAGGTGTTAGCTGACATAATTCCTCCAAAAAAACATCTGCTTCGCCACCAACCAGCGAACGCGCAGATGGGCCTTATGGATGGAACCACCTTCTGTACTACACTGAATCCGAGATTATTCACAATAGGTACGTAGCAGCACAGCATATGCATACATATTGAATATTGCTTTTTATGCATTCTCTCATTAATGTACTTACTAAAGTAACAATAATAATTCAAAATTGTAAAAAAAAAGTTTTTTGTAAAAATAAAACGACGGGATTTCTAGTATATTGTTAACTACGCTACCTTAATTCAGGATAAGAAATTGCACGGGTTTTGAAATCAACTTAAACTTTCTTAGACATTCAGGAAACTCACGATGATTAGCCGTACTAGTACCATTTGCTTGCTACGTTGTGATTTGCATATCAAAATCTTAAAGATACTTTTATCAGAGAATTAGGTTTTGCTTCTCTTCAAAATATAATATAAGAAAGGTGATCTTTGATTTAATTCCTGCACATACTTCCCACACAGACCTAAATATAAACGAGCACAAGGTGTTCTTCCGTGAGCTGCTATCGCTGTGCGAGGCGGAGGACGCCATGCTGGGCAAGCTGCCGTGTTACAAGGGCGTGAACCTGGTGCCGCTGCGCGCGTCCGCCCTGCGCGCGCTCGCCGCCTGCCACTACATACAGGAGAAGCATTGCAGAGAGAAAATATTCCAAGTGCTATATAAGTCGTTAGAGAAGAACGATCAGGAATTGCAGCAGGTGCTTGTTTACGATTTTATTTTGATAAATTTGATTATATAAGCTCATATAAAATACTAGTGGCTTATACTGGATTTGGTGTTTCTTGTACTCATCTTTATATCCCTAGCAGCAAAAACATTGTACTTTCGTTATACTCCATTCAAGTTTTATCTTCGCGACAACAAATTCCCTATATCCTTCTCCAACGTCCCATCTATTTATAAACCAAAATTCTTCAAAAGTGGTTCAGTCGCTTAGGTGTGAAAACGTAACAGACAGACAGATAGAGTTACTATTACATTTACAATATTAAGTACGGATTATAACATTATTTTTTATTTCAGGCGGGATTCGAATGTATGCGTAAATTTATATTAGGATTTCAAATTGATATGGATATGGTTCACCCGGTGATGAGACCTTTGTTACTTACCCTCGGGGACCATCGTAACCTCAGCGTGAACGGAGCGAAGCGACTCTCATATTTGACTCAACTGTTCCCGTCTACTTTTAGCGAGAAGCTTTGTGAACAATTGTTACAGTTGTTAAAGAAACTTCTGGATTATTCTATTCAAACAAATAGAGGTAAGTTTTTGTTAATAAATTAAAAATTATATGTACATATTTATACAGAGTAAATTTGGGTTACACAATATAATGTATTATTTCTAGGAGGCAATTTTCTCCAAAGTGTATCAAAGAATATGGAAAATGAACAAAAAATTATCATACTCATTGGCATTTTCCACCAAATCCCTGCCGCTTCCCCGCGCTTTATCGACGTTCTCTGTCGTTTGATATTCCACACAGAAAAGTCGCTTATGATTGAAGCCGGATCTCCGTTTAGGGAACCTCTTGTGAAATTCCTCTTAAGGTATGTTTATGATATTTTTTTAATTATTTAATTGTGATTAAATTATCATATTACTATTATATAATATTTGACGATATATGTCGAATATTTGACGATGTGAATATAGCTATTTTTTCGGATCTTGGTGGGTTTATTTTTATTTTGAATTTTTGTTCCGATCGTTTTGAATTCTTTTCAGTTTAAATAATACTTTACGTTAAAATAGTTTTATTGAAATTGTTACAATGGATCACACAAAAATATTGTTTTCCAACTTTTAGGTACCCAAAAGAAACACTAGACCTGATAATGAGCGACAACAACATAAAGGATCAACAGTGGAGCCGTTTCCTGGTGTACCTGGTGAAGCACCCCGAGGCGGGGCCCGCGTTCAGGGAGGCTCTGCAGACGTCCAAGAAGCCCCGGCTAATGCAGTTGCTGGCGGCCGGCAGCAGCGCTACACTACCGGCGCCGGACAAGGCGGAGATGCAGTTCCAAGCTATACGAGTCATCTCCCTGCTCATAAAGTTTGACGACCAATGGCTGTCCACTCAGCACGATCTTATTGAACTGCTGAAGAGGATTTGGTGCAGTGATAAGTATCATGTAAGAGCTATTTTAAATTTATTTATTTTAAAAATAATGTCTTTTTTAAGGTTCCGTAGCCTAAATGGCTGAAATTGAATCTTTATAATTTAAAACCGAAACCGCAAAGTCAATATTGTTTCTCATAGTAATAATATTATGAAATACACTTAATTATGCTTTTAATGAAATTAATATTGTATCTACCCACCTATACAGGTGTGCAAGTCCAAATCGCAATCCAAGTGTTCAATATTTTTTAAAATAATCTACTAATAAAATGAAATATGTAGTTAAAAAACATATACATCTGTTTAATTTCCAGGAAGTTCACAAGAAAGTGGAGAATGTCGATTGTACACACTGGAAAGAGCCAAAGTTAATAGTTAAGATTCTATTGCGGTACTTCTGCCACCATCCTTCGAACATTGATTTATTGTTTCAATTGCTACGTGCATTATGTGATAGGTTTATACCTGACTTCCAAGTAAGTAATAAAATTTTAATTATACTTATAAATTATTATATAAATACTACATTTTGTAATAAGATATATTCTAAGCAATTGAAACAGATAGAGGTAAAATATTAAACATTGTCTTATTTTTTTAGTTTCTACGCGATTTTCTCGAGAATACAGTAGCACAAAATTACACGGTAGAATGGAAACGCTCAGCGTTCTTCCGCTTTGTGGAACATTTTGCAAGTGATGCGATGTCTCAAGAACTCAAAGCTAAAGTGCTACAAATGATACTTATACCGTGCTTCGCTGTCAGCTTTGAGAAGGGACAAAAGATTGTTGGAGGTCCTCCTGCACCCTATCAGGATAATCCGGACAATGTTGTCTCAGTCTTTATAAATAATGTAAGTTTCATATTTTCAAACATGATTAATAGCCTGACTTAAAGTACTAATAATTTGATAAATTTATGAATTATTCATTATCCTAAATAAATAAGTCTATGCCGTAACTATCTCCAAACTGTAAATTACTTTTTGTCGGCATTAAAAAATAAGCAGTAGATTATAATCATATTGCCACTGCCACTAAAAAAAATAATAGTAATTTATATGTAAATGTATGTTTATTTTAAATGTAAGATTTTTCTTGTAAATGTGGATGAAAAAAAAAATATTGCTACATTTTCCTTTACGAATGTATTAACATATTCATAATAATAATAATATATAACCACAGGTAATAGATCCAGAGAACCCGTTCGCGTGCTCGGACGCGGTGCGTATCTCGCTGCTGCAGTTCGCGTGCCTGCTGCTGGAGCAGGCGTCGGCGCACATACACGACGCCAACAACAAGAAGCAGGGCAACAAGCTCAGGCGCCTCATGACCTTCGCCTGGCCCTGTCTCTTGGGCAAGAACTACGTTGATCCCGCTACTAGGTAACAGTCGTGATTAACTAAGGGCCTATACACATCATGTGCTGTGTGTGTGTGTGTGTGCATACATTTGTTGACAAAGCGCGTTTCATGAACATACGTCGTAAGCGTATATTCTGCGTTAAAATGTCATAATTTGCATTGGTCCTTAGATGTTAGATATAATGCACATGACAACCGATTAACGCGCTGTTGACGCGCGCTTGTTACGATACACTTGTTTATAGTAATTTATTTAATTTAATTTTTTTAGTAATTTATATACAAACGCAAGTAATTTGTATTTTTTAAATTTATTAGCGCAGACGACTCTCATCGTCGAGCGTTTACTAAACCTTGTATGTGCAGGCCCTAAACAGTAACAAGTAGTAATGATTATTATTTTTAGTTTGACAATTAAAATCTATGGTAAAATTTTGGTTTCTTACAGATACCATGGACATCTGTTGCTCAGTCACATCATTGCCAAATTTGCTATTCACAAGCGCATCGTTCTTCAAGGTATGCAATAAAAAGAATAATTTTTAATGAAAAAAATGTTATTTCTTTCGTATTCGAAAAAACTGATTGTTTAGAACTTTATTAAAAGAATATTTATTAAATAAAAATTATAACAATATTAAATTACAAACACATAATATTAATTAATTGGTGTTGGTGTGTCCAGTGTTCCACAGCCTGCTGAAGGCGCACGCGGTGGAGGCGCGCGCGGTGGTGCGCGCCGCGCTGGAGATCCTCACGCCGGCCATGCCGCAGCGCATGGAGGACGGCAACACCATGCTCACGCACTGGACCAAGAAGATCATCGTGGAGGACGGACACTCGGTGCAGCAGCTCTTCCATATATTGCAGCTCGTTGTTAGGCATTACAAGGTGCGTAGTGTATTTTATATAACGGGACAGGAATAGTGTCTGTGCGTACCCTTACTACCACACCATAATATCTCATGTGCAGTTGGCTATTCTCAGTCAGATTAGCTGCCGTTGCTGAAATCGTTCAGAAGGACATATCTAATAATAATATAGTGGTTAACTCAATGATGCTATTTCTTCTGTTCTTATAACAAAATAAATTGTTTTTAATTTCTATGTTTTTTAGATATATACGTTATATGATTACTATACATATGTATATGTAAAAAATAATATGCCTGCTAGTTTCGTTACCATTGGAAAATTAGAATGAGTTTTTATTTTTTTCCACTGATTAGTATGGATTTAGGTATATAAATCTATAATAATATTATAAAGAGCCAGCGTTTGTTTGTTTGAACACACAATCTTCGTAACTACTAATCTGATTTGAAAAAGTCTTTTTGCATGATGTAGCCCGTTTATTGAGAAAGGCTATAAGCTATAAATCATCACGCTACTACCCAAGCGAGCGGAGCAGTAATATAATATATAGTCTGTCTATCCCATACTAACAGTTAAAACGTACTCAGGGACCAACCCGAGCGAAGTGAGCGTGAGCCGATAGTATAAAATAAACAATGTCCTCCCAGGTGTACTACCCGGTGCGGCACGCGCTGGTGGGGCACATGGTGGCGGCCATGCAGCGCCTGGGCTTCTCCGCCACGGCGTCGCTGGAGCACCGCCGCCTGGCCGTGGACCTGGCCGAGGTGGCGCTCAAGTGGGACCTGCAGCGCATACGCGACCACGCGCCCACTGATACTGTTGTGAGTTGATATTGGATTATTTTACATGTGTATTATATTGTATATTATAAAAGGGCCACGTCTGAGATTCTCACAAACAAACACAAAATTAACACATTTTTTTTTCAAAAGACATGTGAAATCCACCAATTCCCATTTGGCCAGTATGGTGGACTAATGATCATCTGATACATCTTTTATTGAAAGGAGGCCCATATTCTAAGACGTTAAAAAGGGTTGCATACAATAGGAAATTATAAAATACTAGCAGAACCCGCGGCTTTGTTGTCGCTATAACTACAAAAAATATCTAAAAAATAGTGTCATACAAACTTTCATTCCCTATTTTACCCCCTTATAGGAAGAATTTCAAAAAAATACTAAAAAACGTATTTATTTAATTTTATTCAAGAGTAATTAACACCAAGTTTAAAGTAATTTTGATGATAAATATTTTTTTGGATTGTATTATAGAATTTTCCTGCGGGAATTAGATATAATCCCGCGGTAAAAAGTAGCCTATGTCACTCTCCTGCCTTCCAACTATCTCCAGATAAAAATACCCCCTAATGCGTCACTCCGTTTCGACGTGAAAGAAGGACAAACAAACAAACACACTTTCACATTTATAATATGTATTAGTATGGATTATATTATTTTCCCCAAGGTGGCGACGTCTCCAAGCGGCGCTATGAAGCGTATATCGTCAGACGACAGCGGCAACGAGGCCCGCAAGGCTCTGAACACGGGCTGGGCGAGCCCGCAGGCCAGCGTGTCGCGCCTCGAGCCCGACGCCGCCAAGCCGCTGGACCGCCAGCACGTGGATGTTGTCGTCAACCTGCTGCTCCGACTCGCTTGTCAGGTATTGTGCTAATGGAATTGGTGTTTTTGATCACTAAATTATATATGTAATGTAAATGTATATAATATTTAAAACAATATTAATTATGTATATTGATGTTTTTAGAAAGCTCTCTGTAATGTTATAGATGCTTCCCAATACTGTTAGTATACTTTAGAAAACAAAATACAGTAATAGTTAAAATCTTTACTTTATAATATACTGGCGATTAGTGATTTACTCACTATTCGCTTGAGTGCGTCTTAGTCTACAAGTCGGTTAAGATTTAAGATACGTCGGACTCCGGAGTACCAGTTTGGCTATGCGCAACAACATATAGCTTCTATTGAAGCTTTGACAGTAATAGTAGTAATATAACTAACAATATATGTATGTATCAGATACTGCAAGTGAACGAGGGCGGCGTGGGCGGCGCGGCGGCGGGCGGCGCGACGGGCGCGGGCGCGGGCTCGCCGGGCGAGCAGCTGTCGCGCCGCTGCGTGCTGCTGCTGCGCGCCGCGCTCAAGCCCGACGTGTGGCCGCATCTGTGCGAGCCCAAGCTGGCATGGCTTGATAAGGTACACATATAACATTTGCTATCTACATATTTACATTATTTTAAAAATTGTAGCTTAGTCATAGAAAATAAACCCTAATAATATCCCACGAGAGCTACTTGATTAACTAGAATGTTAAGATTTTTTTAATATTAGTATTGGTGATCATTTGTTGAAAATGTTGTAGGTTAAGTTATTCTGCATATTTTCACATTTTATTTTACACTAGCGGCTCAACCTCGCTTCGCTCGGGTTCGTCTCTAGGTACTTTTTAACGGTTAATATGGAATAGATATACTATACACAATATGATATATAGAGTTCAAACAAACAAACTCTGCCTCTTTATAATATTACGTATGGATTACCATGATTAATATAAACATGAATAACTAATATAATAACAATCTGCAGGTATTTTCAACGGCGGACACGAACGCAGCCGCGTGCGCCAACGCGTGCACTGCGCTGGAGCTGCTGGTGTTCCTGCTGGGCGTGCTGCGGCGCGAGCAGATCCTGGCCGCGCTGAAGCCGCTGCAGCGCGGGCTGGCGGCCTGCGTCGCCTCCACCAACGCCAGGATCGTACGCTTGACTCACAACCTCCTTGCTAAGTTAACTGCACTATTCCCTACTGAGCCATCGGGAGCTGCCCAAGCATCTAAGGTGATTGTTGATTTTTTATTTTATGAATGACTTGTAATATTTTTAGTATTTATTTTGACTTTATAGTGATTTTATTTATCTATTTTGGCAACGGTGACTAACATTCTTAAAAGTCCAATGGGACGGTACTATCTTCAACATGACCAGTGTGAGTCAAGGTGCAAGCCCAACAGGTGTACTCGTAACACAACCAACTTCCTAACTCCCGGCTGCTATTGAGAGGTTCTTAACAGAAATATTCAGTAACTAAACCGGGACTGACACGCAGTCGTAATTTTTTCATTGGGTATTTTTAACAATACAAGGTATATGAAAAAGGAATAATATTTCTAAATATACATAACATATTATATTTGTTTTTAGTATATTAAGTTTAGAATAATTTTTCATTATTGAAATGTTGTTTAAAAATTCTTTCCAGTACGAAGAGCTAGAAACATTGTACGCGTCCGTCAGTAAATACGCGTTCGAAGGTCTAGCAGCGTACGAGAAGTCGGCAGGCGGCGGCGCGGCGGGCGGCGGCGCCGGCGCGCTGCTGGGCCCGCTGATGATGCTGAAGGCGTGCTGCGCGTCCAGCGCCGGCTACGTGGACCGCCTGCTGCTGCCGCTCATGCGCGTGCTGCAGCGCATGACGCGCGACCACGTGGCGCCTAACCCTGACGCCGCCACCTCCGATCTGTTGGTCAGTCTGTGCTTTCTTGTCTTTATGATCTTATGTTTTACTAGCTTTATCTCACGTACATTATTTATGCATTACTCTACCTTTAGAAATAATCCTATGTCACGTGTTAATCTACTGTATTCGCTATACTAGTGTTTCATCAAAATCCGTTCAGTAGTTTTTGTGTGAAAAGGTAACAAACATACATCCTCTCAAACTTCCCGTTTGTTATTCTTTCCGTATCCTTATATTACCAGAATATCATATAAAGTAAATGAGAATAACTTTTAGTCTAATTCTCCAATACAATTTGAGAGTGTACTTTTATAAAATATATGGAATTTTTATTTCAGATATTAGCATTGGATCTTCTTAAAGCAAGAGTGTCAGTAATGCCAGTGGAAACTAGGAAGACTTTCATAGGAACAATACTTGTAGGGCTCATTGAGAAAACGAATGACGCGAAGGTAATTAATATATAATTATGACAAAATATCTCAAATTTCAATTAAACAAGTTATTAATAAACATTCTCAAACTTTTAGGTTATGAAAGCGATCACACGTATGGTGGAAGAGTGGGTAAAATGGAAGGGTGCGGCGGCGGGAGCGGCGCCATCTTTACGCGAGAAATCTATTCTTTTGGTTAAACTCATGCAATATGTGGAAAAACGCTTCCCTGATGACCTGGAATTGAATGCACACTTCCTTGATCTTATTAATTTTGTGTACAGGTAAACTAAATTAATACTTATCTATTTATTTCATAAGATTATAATTCAATACTGCAAACGATAATTTTATTAATTTAAGTTAGTTAAATTTATGTTATATTTTATTTCGGAACAGAGATGAACATCTAAAAATGACGGAACTCTCGATGAAGTTAGAGCCCGCTTTCCTTGCGGGCCTGCGCTGTCCGCAGCCTCTGATTCGTGCCAAGTTCTTTGAAGTGTATGACGGCAGTGTGCGGCGTAGGATATTCGATAGATTGCTTTACATCATTTGCTCGCAAAATTGGGAACATATCGGACAGCATTTCTGGATTAAGCAGTGTTTGGAATTACTGCTTGTTACTTGTGTTTCTAGTAAGTGTAATTTTCGAAATATTTTCAAATAATCAATTATTTAATATATTACTTATTTAGCAAATCATTTTTAATTTATTTTAATTTTTAGGTACACAAATCCGATTGTCAAATTCGAAGTATTTACTTCCAAATATAGCGGCTGTTATTAATACTGCCGACGTAGAAGAGAAAAAATCGTTTATTATGTTCAGCAATGTGAAAGAAGAATCGGCGGATAGCGCTAGTGACTCTCTCGACCCCGATAAAGAAGATGTATTAGATATGGATTTGGACTCAAGCTCTAACACAAAAGATGATTTGACTAAAAATGTGCCAAACAGGTGAGACTTATTGATGTAAAAAATATAATGTTATCTAAAATAAGTGAATTATATTATAGTGTAAAATTTAGAAAAAGCCCTATAAGATGCGTTTTATAACACACTGGCGTTTTCTCGCGACTCCACCCGCTTCGTTTAGTTTTTAGAATTACTCCGCTCTCGTAGGTCGTAGCGTGTGTAAGTTAGCCAATAATCTTCCTTAATAAATAAGCTTTAAAAAATTAAAAAGAATATTCAAATTGATCTAGTAGATCTATAGCAAAAATAAACAAACAAACTCTTCAGCTTTATAAATTAGTATAGATAAAGTAAAGGTATTCGTTATGATTAAAAATATGTTCAATATTTTGAAAATACATAGTTTAAAGTTTATTTTTCAATGTTGTTGTCATATTAGAATGCACTGTAGTTAATAATTAGGGCGTCATTTAGTCTAGATCTTCTTTTGTTTATTTACATCTATAATTCTAAGAATGTATACTCTGTTAGCGACCTATATAATAAATAAATAAAAATAAATGAATGTAAGTTCATTAATATATATTTTATTGAATCCGATAGACAAAAAGCTCTCAGCCAGATCGTGGCCAAGCAGTCGGAGTTCTTGGAACTGGCGCGGCGCGTGCGCACCGAGCAGCTGGTGGCGGCGGCGGCGCAGCTCGCGCACATGGACGACGCGCTCGCGCACCACACCTGGCTGCGCCTCTTCCCAGCCATATGGAGCTCCTTCGATGAGAGGCAACTTGCGGTTAGTGTGCTTAGTGTGGTATACATTCTGTTGGGGAATTGGTGTATTGTAATTCATAGCGAGTCTGCGTGATAGATATATCGATGAAAAAGTCCATGTTAATCCAGGGTGTAAACTATCTTCAATAATAATTTCCCTTAAATTAGATGAGCTGTAACAGAAGGGTAGGATGTTGGCAGGTTGAAGAAAAAACAAAAAAAAAACATTTAAAATAATTCAGAAAATTCTATATTTATTATATTAGCGTAATTTTATGAATATAATAAGTTTAACTGTCACTTTGTGTAACTGTCAGTTTGTTTCACTATCAGTAAGATTAACTGTCAGTAAGGGTAACTGTCAGTTTTATGAACGGCTAGTAAGTTTAACTATCAGTAAGTTTAATTGTCAGTAAGGGTAACTGTCTGTAAGATTAACTGTCAGTTAGTTTAACTATTTTTTTAACTGTCAGTTAGTTTAACTATCAGCAAGATTAACTGTCAGTCTTATGGACGGCTAGTAAATTTAACTGTCAGTTAGCATGACCGTCAGTTAGTCTAACTGTCAGTAAGGGTAACTGTCAGTTAGTTTAACTGTCATTAAGGTTAACTGTCAGTAAGAGTAACTGTCTGTAAGATTAACGGGCAGTAAGATTAACTGTCAGTTTAATCAACGGCTAGTAAGTTTAACTGTCAGTAAGTTTAACTGTCAGTAAGTTTAACTATCAGTAAGTTTAACTGTCAGTAAGGGTAACTGTCTGTAAGATTAACTGTCAGTTTTATGAACGGCTAGTTAGTTTAACTGTCAGTTAATTAAACTGCCAGCAATTTAAACTGTCAGTTACCATGACTTTCAGTTAGTTTTACTGTCAGTTTGTTTAACTGTCAGTTTGTTTAACCGTCAGTTTGTTTTACTGTCAGTTTGTTTAACTATCAGTAAGGGTAACTGTCTGTAAAATTAACTGTCATCTATATATTACTAGCCGTTCATAAAAATGAACGGCTAGTAAGTTTAACCGTCAATTTCTTTATCTGTCAGTAAGGGTAACCCCTAGAAAGATTAACTGTCAGTTTTCATGAACGGCTAGTAAGTTTAACTGTCAGTTTGTGTAACTATCAGTTTGTTTCACTATCAGTAAGATTAACTGTCAGTAAGATTAACTGTCAGTTAGCATGACCGTCAGTTAGTTTAACTGTCAGTTTGTGTAACTATCAGTAAGTTTAACTGTCAGTAAGGGTAACTGTCAGTTTTATGAACGGCTAGTAAGTTAAACTGTCAGTAAGTTTAACTATCATTAAGTTTAACTGTCAGTAAGGGTAACTGTCTGTAAGATTAACTGTCAGTTTTATGAACGGCTAGTAAATTCAGTTAATAAAACTGCCAGCTAGTTAAACTGTCAGTTAGCATGACTTTCAATTCCCACTTTCAATTAGTTTAACTATAAATTTGTTTAACTGTCAGTTTGTTTAACCGTACTATAAAGGGATACCTTTACATAAGCTTATGCTGTTATTAATTATATCCACGAGCTTTTAACGAATTTGTGTTCTTATTAAAGATATCTAGAAATCTAAATAAACAGTACAAAAGTAAGGGAATATCAATAAATAAACGTATATTTTAGTTATTGTTTATTTGTATTTTTTTTTTCATTTTGAATTTCGACTTTCAGTTGTAATAATAAAATATATTTTTTCGTATTATTTACAGACAATCATGAACGAAATAGTACCATTCATAATATCAGGTGTACATGTAATTCAACGAGATCAACCCTTAAGTGCGCTTAATACATTCATTGAAGCACTCGCTCGATGCAACCCCCCTGTATCTATCAAACCGTAAGTTTTATTAATCATCAAATGTTTAATTTTATGAAACTATATTGCTTACTGACAGTAAAAATTTGTTCGAATAGACCTATGATGAAATATCTCGGCAAGACCCACAATTTGTGGCATCGTATGACACTTAATTTGGAGCAAATGGCCATAGATCAAGCGAGCAACCGAACCAATCGCGAAGCTCTAGAAATTTATGACTACGATGTTGATACGCCTACACCTACGGTAATGTATTAAATAATTAATATTTTACCATATACATACATATATAAAAACTCATGATACAAAATTAGCGTCTCAAAAGTGCCCTCAAAAAGAAGTGCACAATTCGAAATTGAAATCAGCTTTTTTCAATTTTTTTTATTCATTCCTTTTCGTATGACAAAATTAAAACGCATGTTGTTTCGTTTAAAAGTCTACTTTATGTGGTGTGCGTAAGTTTGAATTTTTGTTCGGACTAACTTTCGATTTTTGAATTTAATTCTTTGGTTCGACTGAACGTCACATGTCGACGCCCGCTTTTGAGGAGATTTTTGTCAGGAAATGTATATCTGTTTTTATATTTTAATGATTATATACTGTTTATACATACTATAAATGTTTTTATCAGGAAGTGCTAGATTCTCTGAGTGACATGTATGAATTACTACAAGAGGAGGACATGTGGTCTGGTCTGTGGCAGAAACACGCTCGATACCGCGAGACGAACGTCGCCATTGCTTATGAGCAGCAGGGCTTCTTCGAGCAGGCTCAGGTACTTATTCATATTTAAGCTTAATATAATAAAAAAAATATTATTACCTATTACTATAGATATGATAAAAATACTTTAAATGCTTTATTTGCAAACTTGAGCAACTCAGAATCAAACTCGAAGCATACTCGACAAATAATAATCGTGTAATTTAGGTGAAATAATTAGTTATTAAATTACATATTTTTTCTTTAACCAGGCCGCGTACGACGTCGCTATGGCTAAACTAAAACAAGAATATTCCGCAAACCCGTCGTCTTACACAATGCACAAGGAGTGCACTCTGTGGACTCAACACTGGATCAAGTGCGCCAAAGAGCTCAACCAGTGGGACTCCCTGCTAGAGCTGGGCTTGACCAGGAGTGTGAGGGACCCTTTCTTGATACTAGAGAGTTCGTGGAGAAATCCCAACTGGCCGACTATGAAGGATGCGCTCGCTGAAGTCGAGTACAATTGTCCAAAGGAGCTAGGTAACTTTTTAGTATACTATTGAAATTATTTTAGTTATACGTTGACTTGCATTTTATCTGTAATTTATCATGACCTTAGTTTAGTACAACTGAGTTCAAAATACTAACTAGGTATAATAAACTAGAAACTATCCAAAATATAAAGTTTTAAATTTTTCGATTTCTACTTGAGAACTTTGTAAGTCATCCCTCTTTATAACATTTTTTTTTGGGAATGATAATAGGGTTATAATAATACTTTGGCACTTCTGTCGATTGTTGTTTGTAAAAAAAGGGAAACGATGTAACACGCCTTGGTATTTATAATATTAAGCAACTGCCTAATGATAGTGTTTGTTTGTTGTTGCAGCATGGCTCGTGAACCTGTACCGCGGCTACCTGTGCATCTGCGCGGGCGGCGAGCAGCAGCTGAGCGGCGTGGAGCGGCACGCGGAGGCGGCGGCGGCGCAGTGCCTGCGCGAGTGGCGCCGCCTGCCGCGCCTCGTGTCGCACGCGCACCTGCCGCTGTTGCGCGCCGCGCAGCAGCTCATGGAGCTCAGTGAGGCTGCGCAGATACATACGGTTCGTCTCTTTATTATTATTATCTATTATTTTATATTATTATCTATTTGATAGTATATTTAAATATCATTACAAAATTATATATACACTAGAGAACTAACTAGTACTAGTACTAAATATCCAGGTCCATCCAGTCGTTTCAGTGTGAAAGAGTGAAAAATTTACACATGCCTGCAAACTTTCGCGTTGTTAATAATAGTATGTACGATTAAATTTTAAAGGCAAAAATCAGCCAAATATTGTATAGGATCTTTCTTGTTGTACAGGGTCTCCTGCACAGCCGGCCCACGTCGCTGCACGACATGAAGGCCATAGTGAAGACGTGGCGCAACCGGCTGCCCGTGGTGGCGGACCCGCTGTCGCACTGGGGCGCCATCTTCACGTGGCGCCAGCACCACTACCAGTTCATCGCCTCGCACTACGACTCGCAGACCGACCACGGCTCCAACCACAGCATGCTCGGCGTGCACGCCAGCGCGCAAGTGAGCCTTTGTTTTATTATTTATTCATTATTTTAAGTCTTTTTATGCACTAGTTCTATTACAGACTAAAGGGTATGATTATATACTATTTCATTAAATTTACAACTAGATAATTGCTATGTTTTGCCAATTGCGTAATAGAGCTCACTTTTCCAATATCAGATTTTCTTTTTAATATAGTAGATAAATAACATTTTAAAAGTGATTTAATAATCCTTGTTACAGGCAATCATACATTTTGCAAAGATAGCGAGGAAACACAATCTATCTGGAGTGTGTCTGGATTCCCTACACAGAATATACACAATCCCGAGTGTGCCCATAGTGGATTGTTTCCAAAAAATCCGCCAGCAAGTGAAATGTCACATTCAGATGTCCTGGACGGAAGGTAAAGACGAATTGCAGGAGGGTTTAGATATGATAGAGTCGACCAACTTTAAATACTTCACTAAGGAAATGACAGCAGAATTTTATGCGTTCAAAGGATTGTTATTAGCTCAATTGGGACGCTCCGAAGATGCTAATAAGGCTTTTGCTGCGGCAGTTCAGCTACACGATACTCTAGTCAAGGCCTGGGCCCTATGGGGTGACTACTTGGAGCAAATATTCATTAGGGAACCGAGGCAGACTCAAGTTGGAGTGTCAGCTATGACCTGCTTCTTACACGCTTGTAGACACCAGAATGAGTCGAAGTCTCGCAAGTATTGTGCTAAGGTAATTATTCCAATATGAATTATTTAATAACTACGTATAATTTAAAAATATAAATCAATGAATTCCTTTTTTGTATAGTAGTTTGTATTATTAAAAAAAATGTATGAAACGGACATTTTTAAAATTATAAATATCAGTTTGTTTATTGACAGTTAATGTGCTCCTGACTGATTTCTTGGATAGAAATGGTTAAAAGGTCAGAGTGACATATACCATATTAAATTACGGTATATTGAACGATTACTTCCAACCATTTAAGAAAACAGTCTGTTCAAATATTTATTTATTAGGTACTATGGATGCTAAGTTTCGACGACGAGAAGAACAGCCTAGCGGAGGCTCTGGACAAGTACTCCGTGGGCGTGCCGCCCGTGCAGTGGCTGCCGTGGATCCCGCAGCTGCTGGCCTGCCTCGTGCAGTACGACGGCAACGTCATACTCAACCTACTCAGCCATGTGAGTAGTGGAAATGTTGCCTTTAATTGTATATCATGTATTGCCGTCCCTATGAGTTTCTTTTGAATAAGACTTTGTTTTATGATGTGTAAATAATTATCAATTATAATTTAATACCACGTTTCACATAAACTATATTGTGCATTTCATAAATATGCCACAATTAGGAAAAATAATACTTCTAAATATAACCCTCTGAGAAAAAAATATTTGAATAGCATCACGTTAAATATTGAAAGTTTTAATTTAAGTCGCAAGCGGACATGAAAATATAACAAAATATTCATTTTTTTGGTGTTTAGTAAGTAACATTTGCTTGACAGGTGGGTCGCCTGTACCCGCAAGCGGTGTACTTCCCGATCCGCACGCTGTACCTGACGCTGAAGATTGAGCAACGCGAGCGGCACAAGAGCGCCGAGAGCCTCGCCGCGCACCTACCCGCCACCTCCACCGCGGGCACTGTGAGTTCTCTTTTGTTTAGTTACTATCTAATATTTATCTGCCTCGATGGTGAAGTGACTCGTAGACTCGGACCTGGGTTCGATTCTTGGGTCGGGTTAAATATAGTTATTGGATTTTTCTATCAAGAAATTCTCAGTAACAGCCAGGTTTTGGGAAGTTGGCGATGTGTCACTCTCGGAGAGTATGTGTCACCAGTTCTATCGAATTGTCATCCCACCGGAGTATGGATGATAGGAATGGAAAGTGCACGCTGTGTTTGCGCATACACTTGTGCAAACTAATATCACTTACGTAAATAGATGATCTTATTGAGATTGACCGCTGTGGCGAAAATCGATCAAAGGTATATTCTATTAGTCATTATATTTTAAAAATAAAAAAAATAAAATATATGCTTGTAAATGTAAACAATTTTATTTATTTTCAGTCTTATTAATGATGTAGGTATAAGATATATCTTTTTATACTCTTTAATCCTTCTTACTCATCTTTGTTAAGGCTATAAAAAGTAACTAATGTTGTAATAAAGTTAACATATTTAGAATTTATGTTTCGGTTTTTTCCGTTAGTATGTTGACATATGTTTTTTTGTATAATACCTAATCCCTTGTAAAAAATGGTTCTTTGCATAATCAATATGCGCTTAAAATTATAAGTGATTTACGTGAGTGAATATTTGACATTTTATAAATAAACAATCGTTTCGATTTGGTCGCGGATAAAAATATGATATAATATCGCGACAAAATCCGAAAAGTTACTTAATTTAGAAAAAAATCGGCTAAGTGCGAGTCGGACTTACGCATGAAGGGTTCCGTACAACCGATATAGCCTGCTGACAGACGGATAAACAGACAAACGGACGGACAGCGGAGTCTTAGTAATAGGGCCCCGTTTTACCCTTTGGGTACGGAACCCTGAAAAATAAAATCGTCCATGTTTGTGTGCAGTCCGGAGTGAAAGCAGGTGAAGGGTCGACGACCCCCGGCGGCGGCGCGGGCGGCGAGGCCGGCCCCATCAAGGCCACGCTGCCCATGTGGCGCTGCTCTAAGATCATGCAGCTGCAGCGCGAGATACACCCCACCGTGCTTTCCTCGCTCGAGGGGATTGTTGATCAGGTCGGCATCAGCTTTATATTTAGCCATTTTTAATGTTTTACTGCTGGGCACGGGCCTTCCATAAATGTAAGGGGTGCAGGCTATAGTTAAGTTGGCCAAGTGAGGGTTACCGGATTTTATATATCTTTAAAGAGCATGCTAGATCTTTTTCAACATGCAGGTGTCCTCACGATGTTTTCTTTCACGTAACTGAAGTAGTAATTATGTTGTAGATTATTCATAAATATCAGTGGTGTGACATTCGGAATTTGAACCCGCTTAACTTGTTTTCCGAAGCAAGTGTGTAAATCATAAATTTAAAGTTATAGATACATATGTTATTGTCCTTAATGTATACATTATACTTTACATAGACTTAGGTAGTGTATCACTTATTGGCTTATATCACTAATTATAATTAATATTAAACAAAATTAAGTAAGTATACTTACTGAGATATAGTAACGTTCTTTGTTGTACTTGCTGTTGATATTTCTCAAAATAAGAAACTATTTTAAGGATTATTATAATAATAATAAAATATAACTGTCATGTAGATGGTGTGGTTCCGCGAGAACTGGTACGAGGAGGTGCTGCGGCAGCTGCGCGCGGGGCTCGCCAAGTGCTACGTGGTGGCCTTCCACCACCGCTCGGCCGTGGCCGTCGCCACCGTCACGCCGCACACGCTCAACTTCATCAAGAAGGTCGTCTCCACCTTCGGCATCGGCATCGGGATAAGTGAGTATCCACTATCCAGCCATCAGAATATGTATCACTGCATTCTTAGTTTCTATGTCAATGTTTGTTGTTTGATATGTTAAAGATATTTGTTACTTAAATGAATAGTAAAAAAATCTAGCATACGTTATTGGTATATCCTTTTGTGTATATTTTTTTGATTGAATTAAAAGAATCTTGCCGTACATTCCTTATTTTATATAATACTCCTATATTGCTAGTCCTTGTTGTAAGTGGTAGTTGTTACAGGAAGTGAATCAGCTAACAGCTACTCCTCTACTACAAACAAACTACGCTAACTACGCTAAGCTACTACAAAGCTCCTTAGTACTGTAGCTGTTGTGCGCATGCGTCGCAACTCTAGTGGGAATAGACTAGTGTTCATTTTTGAAAGCTTTAATAATAATGCGTTCAATTTTGAATATTGACTTATCAAAAGAAGTAAAAAATAGCAAGGAGCATAAATAACTACACTGTAATTATTTCGCACGTTTCCAACGCACTAGCAATATTGTAGTATTAAAATATATGATACTTCCCCATTAAGAAGCTTTGCGAATGTGAATATTATATTTGCTGATTGATGCTCGTTCTATATTATTATCTTGCACGTCTTTTTTGTTGAACTTAGTTCATTTGTGTATATGTCGCAACCAACTAACATATTAGCCGTTCGACTAACAGCCTAGTCTCTTAACTAAACGGCGCCGTTCAACTAGCGGCCTGAATGATATAGAGTCGTAGGGTCCAATATAACATTTAATAAACGGGCTGGCAGATGCTTAGGCCATTCATAGAATAGGTTAACCGTGTAACGAAAATATATGAATTATTTAAATTATGAGAATTCTTTATTTATGTAAAGTAGTTAAATGAACAGTTTATCGCATGACTTACTCGGAAAAAAGGGTAGGTTAGGTCAGAACTGAGACTACCAAAAGCGACTAGGACTTTTAGAAAATAAATGCTTTAGAACAGTCCAAATATTAATAGAAAAAAATATAAATGAACTTAATTTAAATGACTAACTAGGCTAGGCAAGTAGTTAAACGTTATCGATCCAAGTTATTTGCCTAAATGTTTGAGTAATGGCCGAATATCAGGCCGCTAGTTGAACGGCGCCGTTTAGTTAAGTAAGCTGTTAAACGAACGGCTAATTAAACTAGTTGGCTGCGACATATGAATATACCACCACGTCGCGTTGTTTCAAAATGTAATTCTCTTCTGAATTATATTTTGAACTGACATCATGCTAGAAAGCCAACGGGCTAGCATTTTTATTTTAATTTTACTGTATTATAATAATATTACATAAAGGAACGAATTATATTATGCACGTTATTATTTGCTCATCTCTTATTTTGCAATTATACGTATAAAATACTTTGTTAGTAAATGAATTGCATGCATTGATTTTTGGTAATAATTTGAAATATTATAGCACATTCAAGTAATATGTTATCTGACAAAACATAGTTTTTCTGTGGAACCGAAAAACGAGTATATTAAAAACACTTCCGCGGAATATAAACACTGATAAAAATTTGGATAACAGCTCTAATATTTACTATTCAATGCAGCCTCCGAACCAGTAGGTTCGTTCACATGTATTTTTTCGTGGACCCTACAGCCAATAGCATTTTACACTTTGTAATATAAGTGCGTGCAATATTATATATATTACGCACTTTTATTTCAGATCACAAACAATACACAGCTCGAGCTTTACTTACCAGCTTTAGTGATGGAAAATTTAATGATAATAATTCAGACGTTCACTTAAAGTCTATCACTTATACAGTAATAACTAAAGTATAATTTAACTGCAGTTGTTCTTAAATCTTATGCAATTAAAAAAGCACACAATAGTGGGCACAAAAGCACACAATATCATAATATTTTTTTAAGTTCATCGGATTTGTATAAATATACTCTTTCTACTGTCTCTTATTTGTTATTCGCGCCCCTTCTATCTTAGTATTATTTCCTACACCTAAAGGTTGTCTGGAAGAAATCGTTCTTTTAGCGATAAGGCACTGCCTCTTGTACCTTCTATATTTGGTATATTTTCTTTTCTCTTTTGAGTGTTACACAATAAAGAGTTATTCATTCATTCATTCATTCATTCATCGGGGAAACGCACTTAGTATTTTGATGTGCGATCCTTGGTGACGCGTCATATTAGAAAATATTTTTTTTAGTGAAATACATGTGTCTATGGACTCCATTTCGTGGACACTATATTGAACACATATTTTTTCGTTAAAAATACTTTTTTGTCTTTCTATTACACAAATTATTTACATCGTATATTTATTTTACATAGTTTCGCTGGAATCGTTTTATGCATGAATGATGCATAAAATATGTACTATATATCAAAAATATTATAATCATAACATATCTCATTATAAGTATTAATTAATACAATTTTAAAGCTTATAATGTTTTGCCCTTCAACTTTACAGATATCCCAACATACATTAAGCCTATATGTGATAATTTTTAATTTTGGAATCGGAAGCGATTTATCTTATTTAAATGACAAAATAGATGTCGCAATTTTTATATAAAAATTATACATTTATGTATGTAGGCTTAATTACAAAACATCTAAATGAGTAATAGAATGTTTTATTGCCACGAAATGTATCAATATATTTATATAAACACTAGCGACCCACCCTCGCTCCGCTCGGGTTCGTCCCTACTTACGCTTTGAGGTTTAGTATAGATTTCTTAGAAATGAGGTATTTTCCCGTAGTAAAAAGTATCCTATATGTTGACCCGGATACCCAGCTATCATCATACCAAATTTCATCAAAATCTCTCCAGTGGCTTTTCCGTGATGCGGTAAGAGACAGACGTACAAAAATTCTAAAAACTATAGATTCGGCCTCTTTATTGATAATAATGTTTATTTCAATAAGATTTTCCAAAAAATATTTTATGTACAGATTCTGCTTAGTTACAATTTTATTATATGTATAGATTAAACATAATATTAACCGCTTTTGACTTTTTCTCATTCAATATAAATAATTTTAACAATTGCTTGGATGTCCATTGTACGATATCTTGTGATTGACGTAAACTTTTGTAAAAAAATAATTTATATCAAATATCTCATCCTGATGTAATTATTTAAGGTAAAATATTGTTTATTATCTTAGTTTGTCACATATGTACACTCTTGTAACTGGTTGGCGGGAAGGGAACTACTTATATAAATAACCATTTTATTTCTTGTAGGACATTAGTCATAACATTGTTTTTATTGACATAAATAATACTAACCTCTTATCCTTTATTATTGTTGTTAAACTAAAATTAATCATATGTCATCATAGTAATACATTAGAACTTACCATCTACCTTAGCACTTATGTATGTAGTATATAGCGCCATGCGATTTTACTTTGTAATTTGTGGTTTCAGAGGCACGTTTTGTGTGTAGTGCAGTTGTCGTGATCGCTAGCACGTATTAATGAGTGTATTATTGGGCCATGCGAGCGTTTTATACACGTACTCCATTTTGTATGTCTACAGAAAGTGTTTCAAGTACTGTAAGTGGTGCATTCTCTTCAGCTGCATCGGAGAGCCTCGCGCGGCGCGCTCAGGCCACGGTGCAGGACCCCGTCTTCCAGAAGATGAAAACTCAATTCACCGCCGACTTTGACTTCACGCAACCCAACGCTATGAAATTACAGAATCTTATACAGAAACTTAGGAAATGGGTCAAGATACTCGAGGCCAAAACTAAGGTTCTACCCAAGTAAGTACACTCCGGCACTGAGACTCACGAACGAGGTAAATACTGTCGATATTTCTATACAATCGTGCCGTTCATCTCACATTATGCTGTAGTGGTGCTTACGTTACAACCGTAGCTAGGTCGGTCCCATCGGGACGATTCACTACACAGGCTTTCGGGTATATTAGTTAGTTGATTTAACATGCTTGAGGACTAACACCTACTAACTAGAATATTAGATTACAACGCTTAACACGGTATTGAGACTTTACAATTTTTTCAGGCAAAAGTATAATACATCTGTCGTATCTCCCAGGTCGTTCCTGATCGAGGAGAAGTGCAGATTCCTGTCGAACTTCAGCCTGAAGACGGCGGAGGTGGAGCTGCCGGGCGAGTTCCTGCTGCCGAAGCACACGCACTACCACGTGCGCATCGCGCGCTTCATGCCGCGCGTGGAGATCGTGCAGAAGCACAACACGTCGGCGCGGCGGCTGTACGTGCGCGGCCACAACGGCAAAGTGTACCCGTACCTGGTGGTGAACGACTCGGGGCTGGGCGACGCGCGGCGCGAGGAGCGCGTGCTGCAGCTGCTGCGCATGCTCAACCACTACCTCGCCAAGCAGAAGGAGACGTCGCGCCGCTTCCTGCACTTCACCGTGCCGCGCGTCGTCTCCGTCTCGCCGCAGATGCGCCTCGTCGAGGACAACCCCAGCTCCATATCTCTGCTGGATATATATCGCACTGAATGCGCCAATAGGTAACCTCTACTCTAATGTTACATATGAATATAATTATATAAGCACATACGGTAAGCTCGCTCATTGATTTTAACGGAAGTGTTGTCAGATACAAGGATGATCAAAAAATGACATTTTTTATGGTGAACGAACTCGAAGTAGCTGTAGCGCCATCTCGTGGCAAATTACGGTTATATATACTCTTACACTTTAAAGCCGTTTCACCTCGCACGTCTTGTCTATAAGCCGTCGTTATACGATTGTATGGATTCGTCGACTGTGATATAACTAACTTGGATGGATTCTAATGATATTTTCATTTTATAGAGGAGTTGAATACGACGCGCCCGTGGCTCGCTACTACGAGAGACTCGCAGCGGTTCAAGCTCGAGGCTCACAAGCTACACACCAAGTGTTACGTGATATTTTGCGAGAGGTAAACTTAATGTACTAATCTATACATATAATAAAATTGTAACTAAGCTGAATCTGTACATTAAATATTTGCTGGTAAATCTTATTGAAATAAACATTATTATCGAAACAGAGGCCGAATACATAGTTTTTAAAATTTTTGTCTGTCTGTCTCTGTTACCATATCACAGAAAAACCATTGGAAGGATTTTGATGAAATTTGATATGGTGATAGCTGGTTATCTGGTGCAACATAAAGGATACTTTTTACCGCGGAAAAATATCTCATTTCTGAGAAAAAATACAAAAACTGCAATGTAAAACTTTAGTTGTATGTAAAACCTAAGTATTTGGTTTTTGGTCATCTGAACGGGAGCGGAGCCGCGGGCAAGGCTAGGTGATGTAAGCGGTGAAACAAACAGACGCAGACAGCGGCTTTGTTTTGTATCATGTATAGATTTAATATGAAATAGTTGTTGTTAACGTCCGTACGCAATGGCGCTCACGCACACAGGTGCAGGCGACGATGGTGCCGCGCGGGCTGGTGCGCGAGTGGGCGGCGCGCACGTTCGCCGCGCCCACCGACTACTGGACCTTCCGCAAGATGCTCACGCTGCAGCTGGCGCTGGCCGCCTTCGCCGAGTACGTGCTGCACCTCACGCGCCTCAGCCCCGACATGCTCTACGTGCACCACGACTCCGGCATGCTCAACGTGGCATACTTCAAGTTCGACGTCGACGACGCCACAGGTACACAACCTATATATTGCTTAAATAAAACTACCTTTTCGGATTTCTTCGCGGATTTATTTTGATTTTTGGTTCCCGACGTTTGACAAAAAAAAGTAATTTTTGAAATCATCTTTGTAAAATAGTGGGTAGACACTGTCTGTAACAAGTGTATAACAACTTTGAGACGTCGACCTTAGTCTCTCCCGTGATTATATTTGCTGTAAAGTATTCGAAACGTCGGGAACCAAAAATCAAAATAAATCCGCGAAATAATCCGAAAAGATCGTTTTATTTATAATGTCAAATATTCGCGTAAATCTAAAAAAGTAGTATATATTGCTTTTCTTTTTAATATCGGTAAATTCGTTAACACATACCACCTATAAATAAGTAATTATGTGGTAGGTAGCTTACCGGCTTGGAAAAGTACCAACCAAAACTCTGTGTAACACAAATTGTGCTAGTCGGTGAATACAAACTAATAACTATTGTGGTCTGTCACGTTAATCGATTAGACTCTCGTGTCTCATGTCAATTGACTACTGTGTACCTTGGTATTTATCTTCTAAAGTGTAGATTGCTTCCACACGTTATATTGCTATTCCTATAGGATTTGTTACTTTGTAAGCTCATAAGCTTAGCTTTTACTAGATCTAATATACTAAGTTTTATAGTCATCGTTTTCTCATGAACAATTAAATTATATACGCCTCACAACGCGAGCGCTTATGTTAAATATATATACATATATTTTGATATGTAAATTTTAAATATATTGATTATTAATTAACAGTTGACATTTAGAAAGGTTGACAATACATTTATAAATATTTATTGCATTTAAACGATCTATTGAGGTGCACCTAAAAAGAAAAGAAACGATCGACGATATCGATTAATCGATTAAAAATATAATTTTTATTACCAGATACACATACTCTAGGAAATATGATAATTACATTGTTCATATAAGAACATACGCATAATAACATAACAAAAATAATAACATACTAGAAAGGCATTCTACTACGTATCTATAGAATTTACGTATATTTTCCTCATAACAAACATAATTTATGAAACTTATAAATAACATCAATAAATGTGTCCAGATGCAGAATCTTATTAATTAATATTATTGAATTGAATCGTTAAGTCACCATTGTAATTTTTTTAATGTTTTCAAATTCCTATAATTTTCCACTTGTACCCGATCTTAGTATAAAGTAACAACAATAATAAGATATTTACCCAATTAAAGTAAAAATTAACTTATGAATTCCATATATATATATATATATATATATATATATATATATATATATATATATATATTGCTTGTTTGCAAGTATAACTGAGCACTGTGAGCAAAACAACAAATAAAAAACAACCATATCTAGTCCCATTTATGTTCTAACGAACTATTGCTATCCTTAGGATGGACAAAATAAAAGATTAGTCATTAAAATTTTATGATTGTAAAGTTCTTAAAAGCCTTCAAGCTTTAATGGCATCGAGACTACCTCGCTAACCCTGAGCGTGTTTTTTTATTTTATTTATATTTTACAATACTGCAGTTTTGCTTCGTTAAAAATAATAACTTTTCGAGTTCCTCATTTTATACTTGAAAACTTGTTTTATGTTGAATCGAGACATAAAAATGCATTGCAATATAATTAACAGCAATATAAACGCTTCAATCTGCATTCTGTCTCGCTCAGGCGGATGCGAAGCAGGATTTGCACGCGATACCTTTATGTGTAGTCTATTAAATAGAGCTTTTACTGCAAAAAAAATAAAAATCCTTGTGACATTGAAGTGAATGAAATAACTATATAAGGTTAAATATAGCCTAAATGACACCATTTTAAGGTGCGTCTTAAATATTACGGCGAGTCTGATAATTTTATTATTTTAAATACGAGTACATTAGCAATTATTTTTTTTTATATATTTCACTAGCTGACCCGACAGATATCATTCTGTCAAATCAAATTTGTAGCAGGCTCGATTAGGAAAATGGTGTTTTATGTTTTTCCGGGTATTTTTTACTTCCCCGAACTTTAGCGAATATTTAAATTAAAAAATAGCTTAGCAAGTTCTGCGCTTAGCAACACATTTTTATAGATTAAATGAATTATTATTCGTAGGCGAATTGGATGGCAATAGACCAGTGCCGTTCAGACTTACGCCCAACATAGCGGAGCTGCTCACCAATATCGGCATCACGGGACCCCTCACGGCCTCCGCTATCGCAGTCGCCCGCTGCCTCGTCACTCCCAACTTCAAGGTGATTATATTTTTGTTTATATAATTTTATTGCGAAATGTTATCCCGCTTATATTGTAAATGCAAAAATTTTGAATGAATAAGTTCGGCTTCACGGATTTGGAAGTATTTGGAATAGAGTACTTCATAATATTATCCTTATTTCGTGCTTAGCACGCGTATGGAACCGCGGACAAAATTAAATCATGTATTTTTAATACAACTTTATATACACACATGATTGATATACATGATAATGAAATTATAATTATGTCTAAAATAACAAATATTTTTTTATAAGCATATTTAATTCCTAACTTTATTATCCTTTCCATAAACTTGATCCTTATTCTGATAATGAAATATCGATAATACAATAAGTGACTAAAAGAAGGAAAAACGATTCAAAACTATTTTTCATCTGTTTATATTTTACGCCATAAATGTAAACTATGTGATCTGAGAAAGTACTAAATTCTATTTTCACAAGAAGTCATTTGAATTTTATCTATTTAAATAAACATTAACTCGGTGTAACCGCATCATCGTAACTACTAGCTTACGCAATTACCCATGAATTTAATATACTATCAGATGCCATATATGATACCACATATCCGTTCCCCGCATGTACCGCATACACCACTTTAGCTGTAAACAGCTATTACTAGACACAGTAGCCAATTTATGATAAAACACTTTGTGCATTTGTAATAATAAAATACCATCTTGTTCAGATTCAATCCATCCTACGGACTATACTGCGTGATGAAATGGTGACCGGGTATAGGAAACGATTGGAGGACAAGTCGGGGCTGCCCACCGCCGGCACGTCGGCCGAGAGCAAGCCCATGGAGATGGACAACGACACCATCATCAGCATGGTGACCAAGGCGGTGACGGTCATCATGAACCGTCTGAACGCGCTCGCTCTGTTCGACGGGCCCGACAGCAAGGTGGCCACGCTGGTGGCCGCCGCCAACAGCCACGACAACCTCTGCCGCATGGACCCCGCCTGGCACCCCTGGCTGTAGACATTCACATCTATACTATCTATACTAAAATGTAAGAGAAAAGATTTGTTTCGTTGTTTCTACTGAATAAGATCCGAAACTACTGAACCGATTTAGATGAAATTTGGTATGAAGATAGTTTGAGACCCTGGGAAGGACATAGGATACTTTTTGTCCCGGAAATAATCCTTTAAGGGGGTGAAAATAGGGATGGAAGTTTGTGTGGGGAGGCAACCTAGGGACGAACCCGAGCGAAGCAAGGCTGAATCGTTAGTGATAAAATATAACTGTAAAACTGTTCGCATTTCTACGTCAGATCGTGACTTTCAATTAAAATTGTGTGTCATTTCATATTAATTCATCAAGCTTAGTATGCCTTTTTAGGAAAATTATGGGTTATTAAAACTCTTCGACATTTCGGTTTTCATGATAATTTTGATGATTCGACACAGGAAAATGTGCTGCAGAATGGCACCGCTGATTGTAGACAACATATAATATACTATTGTAGAACTGTTTATTCGTAACACAGATCACGACTTTGAAAGTTTGAATTGCTCCATAATATATACTTCATATATATATATATATATATATATATATATATATATATATATATATATATATATATATTAATTGATTAACATCCCTATTTTAATAAAAAAATAGCATCATAGAATCTCTTCGATATTTCTGTTTTCATGATAACTTTTATGACCTGGTTGTTACAGGAAAAGTTGCTGTGAATCAAAATTTGAGTTTCTATACTCAAATTTTGCAGCTGTGCCTAATATTTGTGAAATGTTTCAGAATGGGAATCTTCTTAATTTAGTATAAATAAAATATAGTTGTATTATGTGAGCATTATACATGTATTGTAAAAATGATTAGATTTTAAGACTGTACAACATTGAAATTGCATGATCAAGTTTGATTGTTCGCGATAAAGTACGATGATTTTATAAATTTTAATGTCCCTTCTTGGGGCTTTAACGTTCTAGGCAAATGATTATATTCTCTATAGCTGTTATTAAGATACTATTTTGTAATATAGACATAAAATTACCTATTTGGAGATGCGAAATGCTTGATAAAATGGATGATGAGTTTCTGAATGAATGCAGTTATTAGTGCATTGTTGATTGATTGTCAAATAAAGACTGATTGGGTTTCTCAAGTAGGTTAGGTATAAAAATATTGTTCATTGGACAATCGCATTTTCGATTTTATATTGAACATTGGTTTGATTGCAAAACGTTGTAATTAAAACATAACAAGATTATACATGTAAGTTACAGTTTACTAAGTGTAAGATATTGAAAGTTGTGCTAAAGCTTATTGTGCGCTTTGTGAATAATTAAAATACATTGTAATCAATTTTTTTTATTTTTTATTTTAGCACCATTTAAAATACTTGAAAACGATATACAGCAAATAATTATTAAGTTAGTTTAGAAAATTACCTTAAAAGTAATATATTTCTTGTTTATATCATAACATATTTCATTACAAATAATTTGGATCCTTTGGACCTTTTTTAAAGTCGATCAAAAAGCAAAAAACTAAATTAATTATGTAATTAATTTTATTACCTAATTATTGGTATTACTTAATTGTTTTCTAAAAAAACTAGCAATATCCGCGTGTCCGCATCTCCCGCTGGTCTCTAATCTGAAGATTGCCTGGAAATTTCATCAAAATTGCTCCAGCCGTTTTGGAGTCCATAGAGAATACACACACACACACATCGATTTTTATATACATACTATACGGCTAAGGTTATCTAAAATTAGTTAAAAATAATGTAAAATAATGCCCGTTCACGCAACCGGCAGCATTACAGACATGATTCTGCTGCTCCCACTTCTAAATTTTATTTAAAAAAAATCTTATATCTGTTCAAAAATACATACATACAAATTTTATATAATTACCTACTACATATAGATATCAGAATAATGCAATATACCACTTCTTAATTAGTTTTTACACTCTGTACTTATAAATAAAAATTAAAGTTCTATAACTTAATGCGTTAAGTTCATTATGATGGCTAGTTGCTATATAACAAGCCGAAACCAGTTTGTTTATATCGTTTGGAAGCTCTAATCTCCAGAACGGCTGGAATTATTTTAACAGCAGTCTAGCATATAGATATTGGTTTCGTTAATAAATGGTTACTTTGTATCTTGAGAAAACCACCTATTTAGAGTATAGGAAATACATAAAATAAAAAGAAAAGAAAGTTTTAGGATTTTTTTGGCCGAGTATACCGAACACGAACGAAAATTAGTGTTACCACTATTTTTAATAGTAATTTGAATATTTAAATATTCATGGTTTATAACATGATAATATTTTATTAACATTTAAATACAGTTAAATCAAAACAAAAAGTTGATACGACGAGTTACGAAGGAGATGTTACGTTTGGATCGATCGCTAAGTAAGGTATATAAATAACTGGTTGTTGCATGCGCGACTCGTGACAGGTAGTCAGGTACCGAGTGAAAGTACTGGGGCAGCATCAAGTGCAGCTAACGAGTCGCCCGACAATCTCGCTTCATCACTAGATAGTAAAACTGATTTCATCACGCTAACAATGGGAAAGAAAGTGCAATAATTGTAGGATAATGCAGGAACTGGCTGCGACTGCGTGCACGTCCACACTGTCTTCTGCCTTTCCAGTTTCAACTAAAATATTCGTGTACTCTAGTAGTAATTCCCTTCACTTTGGAATTTGAAAATATATTTCAATAATTATCTTGGCGTGATACGGCCGTTAAGATTTTATAAATATTGTATGTATGTACAATGTATATATTACAGATTATAATGAAATAAAACAAAATTTAATACTTTAAAAAGCTAACACATTTTATTACTTTTAAGGAATCGAATTTATGAATAAATTTAAATCGCTGAAACAAGATTTTTAACTATGCCATTAAAGGAATACACTGTAAAAATTTCAGCTCTTCCCCTAGCTCCAACGGTTTGGCCTATGCAATGAATCAATCAGGATAAACCACTTCATAAAAACACATACAAACGAGTATATGTATTTACAGATAGTTTGTAAGCTTGGATTGTCAACATATTTTCTTACATATTACTTTTATTTAGAAAACAATTCCGCCGAAATCTAAAAATAAATCAATCGACTCAATAACCCATCGATTGACATTTGTAGACTAAATACCTAAAACATAATATGTACGTACATACATGCGGGTGAAGCCGCAAGTAGAAGCTAGTTTATTAACACAACGAATCGACGAGATATTAATGATGAATATTATATCAATAAATATAGGTACTTACCTAAGTGTGTTAATGCCGACCTGTTAAACTAACTCGTTTTGTTACATTATAACTAATGTGAATCAATGATGGTCAAAAGTAGAAAACATGGTCATCATTGGTCATCATTCATTGATTAATACAAAAAAAATCTTTTACACCATTATCAAATCACTATTGTATACTAGCATTGCCTGCGGCTCCGCCCGCGTTCAGATGACCAAAAACCAAATTCTTAGGTTTTACAAATTAGTATACTCTTACATTGCAGTTTTTGCATTTTTTCTCAGAAATGAGATATTTTTCCGCGGTAAAAAGTATCTTATTATATGTTGACCCGGATAACCAGCTATCACCATACCAAATTTCATTAAATTCCCTTAAGTGATTTTTCAGTGATGTGGTAACAGTCAGACAGACAGACAAAAATTCTAAAAACTATAGATTCGGCCTCTATAACGATAATAAAGTCTATTTCAATAAGATTTGGCTCACAAATCTTATTATTTCCATTTAATCTACACTTAATTATTCATACAAAAAATTAACTCTAAATTTATATAATGTTTTAGAGTTTTAATGTTGACAGCGTCTAATATACATATTTTATGTTAATTACTGAGTGTGTGCATGTATATACAACTCTTTATTTATAATAATTGATACCAGGAATATTACGCTTACTGATTTTTTAATAAGGAAGTAATATTCATAATATAATAATGCAAAATAGGATGCAAATATTTTTAATTCCATTATAATATATTCCTTAACAAATCTCTCAAGTTAAGATAATTACTTAGATGTTATAGAGTGATTTATAAATAATTAATTTATTGATGTTAAAATGTATGGTGTCACGATTCTTGACCCGTCTCGTTGCGGCCGGTGTGGGAGTGCGCGGCGACAGCGACGGCGGCGGCCGCGGAGCGTTGCTAAGCGGCGTGGTGGCGGCGCGGCCAGGGCGGCGTGCGCCACGTCTGCCCCCCCGAGCCCGTCCCGCCCCGCGCCGCTCGCACCCGGCGGGGGGCGGGCGGCGGAGGGAGCGACGAGCGAGCCCGACACTCGGCTCGCTCAGCGGCCAGCGCTCAGTAGTTCAGTACTCTCCGCGGCTTCGTTCTCGGTGCAAGTTATTGCCGGCCTCTCGCACTCCGCCGCCAGTGACCGACCTCTGGAACCCGACCGCTTATGACATTCGACAACCCCGCCCAGTGCATTTTCCCGGTTGCATTTGAATCAGTGCGAGGAGTCCGTCGGCGGCGCCCGATCGACGGCCTAATCCTAATCGGAAACTCCTCCCGCGTTTATTTATTTATGTTGTCGTTTTGGTGTGGTGAATATTGGTGCCGTACGGACGATAACCGGATTATCTGTGCGCACGAGCTAGTGGATATTTTTACCGATCGACGACTTTTCCTTGAAGGTAAGTTAAAGCTAAATCTTAATAATATATTGGTGAATGTTGATCGTGTACATAGATAGGGACGTGGGGTCGCTGCGACGTGGCGCACATCTCTTCGATACGCTCGTATAATCGAAATGTCGATTCTCGCCAGTGTTATCCCATTATTATAAGTACCTAGATTGAAAAGCAACATCATTCGATTAGTCTATACCGTACCTATAATAGACAGGAATATAGAAAATTATCTGTAATACGTATGACGTCATCCAGAAACAGGACGTGGTTCTCGGAAAGCTAAAAGATATGCATTGTTTTGCAACGTATCGAGCTATTTAGATTCTTGTTAGAATCCGTCCTATCCCACTGTTCCATATGGTAGTCGGATACGAATGGATAAGAAAACATGGAGGAGACCGGGCGTCGGCGCGGGGAGGTGCGCGCGGCCGGTCAAGCGACCGCATTCCATATGGGATGCCGGACTATACGCAATGTCAGTGTGACTCCGAGTTCGCCGCCGCTTCTGTACCGTCTATTGCATATTTGCAACATTGTTCTCTCAGTGCATTTTATATTTACTGAACAACGTTTGTCTCATAGTTCATTGTGGGCGTTGATTGACATGACGGCGCAAGTCTCGTGTCTCTTGCCACCTACGCTGCAATATATTTAGCCATCATCAATTAACTAATAAACTCGTTTCCATAAAACCTTAATTAAGAAAAAAAATATATGTTTATTCAACTCTTGATATTTATTTCTTTTAGAGTTATATTAATTATTCAAACCGTCAACAGGACATTGCATATTAATAGGTATAGCGATCTAGCTAATGTGGGAACAAAATATTATGTTTATCATTAATTTTTAAAGAATATCATTTGATATCTATCTATTTTTTTCGTATTAAGATAACTTATTCTCCTTTGTCCAAAGCATACTTGTAGGTTGTTCTCGAATTTTCATGGCTTTTAGAAAAAAAATCTTACATAGGTATTTATAGGATCTTACTTTCCTGAAAATATAAACTAAATGCTAATAATAATACATATTATTTTAATAAAAATTAAAACGGTACATTTATTTTATTGTTTTAGTTCTGAACAGTGGGTACTAATATTTATTTATACTTAGTTGTAACTGACGATTTACCCTCGTTTCGCTCGGGTGTGTTCCTACTTCCTAGGTACCTACGTTTTAATATTATTTGAGCGAAACCCTATTTCATTTTCTAAAATAAAAGTAGCCTAAGTTACTCCGTATAACTATAACATCAGCTAAGTGCCAGTGAAAGTCCCGTCAAAATCAGTCCAGCCGTTTTGGAGATTAGCCGTAACAAACAGACAGACAAAAGTTTTAAAAATTGTGTTTTTCTTATAAGTATTAAGTACCGTATATAATTTTATATGCATTTAGTAAAAAGCTGTTATTTGACATTACAAATAGATACATTTACTTCGTATAGATAAAATTTTTATTCTGTAATTTATGGCTACATATATGATTTCTGCAATAGACGAATCACGGTAGTGAGGAAGACGTTTCGTGTTAATAATAATAATGTCGTTCTAACCATTGGAGTCACGGCGGCCAACCGCCAATCTCACTGAGATTAGCCATTAGGAGATACAAGACAAATGTGTACGCAGACACAAATGCACTCTCGATAGAACCGGTGAGAATTAAGACGCAGGCTATATGCCTCTGAGCAACTGTGTACTACCATAAACAACTGTGTACGACCATAAACTTTTCAACTCATGACACAAAATCCAATAACTATATATACTTGGCGTGACCTGGTCTTCTAACATAGGACCACCGTTCATGCTAGCAACTAGACAACGAGGCAGTTCGATGTAGGTAACCTCTAAGAAAAGTTTTTTTTTTAAATCCATTCCCTAAAGTAAAGGCAAATGTGTGAATGGAAAGAATGGCTTATGAACGGACTGATGATAAATTAAAAAAAGCACTCTAATGAAGCCAGGGCATGTGGCTAATCTAACTACTTATTTATTATAGATAGCAATCTTTACTGTAATATGCTTAATTTTCAATAAAACAGCTATATAATACGATGTTTGAGATCTCTTAACACAGCACTAGCGGGAAGAACACCAGTGTGTTTGATAGATAATGTGTGCCATATTTCGAAACTTGTCCCTTGCGTCTTCCGCTCTATGCCCTACTACTACTATCTATTACCTTCAAAGTAATTTTTAGAAACTACTTGCTATGATGAAAGTATTTTTTTTTTTAAATTAATAATTACTTACGTAAATATTACGGCGTAACTTTCATAAGAATATTAATGTGCAAGTACAGATTTTAATTTCTTAATAGAATATTAATTTTATATGTTAAGAGTGGCGAAGAGAAATATTATTATTCTGATGTATATTATTCTGATGTAAAAATATCCACATTTTTTTCATTCGTATATTCAAAATTTGGCACATAAAAATAAAATGGTTTTTTAAGGTTATGTGTAGTTTACTTTTTAAGGGAGTACGCGAGTCGCATATATCAGGATCTTTCAAATTTTCGTGCTTCTTACTTTATATAGAATCGCACTATAAGGAATGTTCAGTTTTACCCAAATTATTGATCATACGACGTTCAGCGAGATGCAAAGAGATCGTTTTGCATTTACAAAGGAAAATTCTAAAACCGTTCAATTTGCTAGGTTTATTATATACCTAGTTTCTTTCCTAATGTTTTCATGACATAAAAGCAAATAAAAATATTGTTAAACAATTTTACTGAAACAAACTTTAAGAAGCTTACCAACGAGCCAATTGTTTGGTGAAATCTGTTGACTGTTTTCGATTTATAAAGAGAAACCTATGTGTTCCATCCATCCACGATAAAAGCTATATCCATTTCCAATTTCACTCAAATACGTTGAGACGTTATAGAGTGACCGCGTGTTATAATATTAGAATGATGTATGTAGGTAGACACTATTCTCCTTGAGAGTTTAGAAATCAAATTGTAACAGATACTAATCAAATATACTTATGTCCGTTTGGAAATAGTTCGTCGAGATCCTATATCTTTTACCAGAATACAAGCAATATTACCAAATTCTATTGACTCGCTTATTCGATGACGTTATGTTATGTTTTTTTTAATGAATGATTACTCGTATATTCACAAAATGATTTAGAATTTCACAATGCAGAATAATTTTACAATTTGAGTTGGCAATTTCCTTATAGGTCGACGCGCCCGCACCCTGTCGATGGCCGATACTTTTACAAAACAATATTGAGATACTGATAAACTGAAAACAGTTACCGTAAATTGAGTTGATATCTATTTTACACATTTGCTTACCAAATTACAGTATTAAGCTACTAACGTAGCATTAAAATGCTACTATTATATATGTACATTGTACATATATTTTTAAAGCAGCCATTGTAAATCATTTGTGTTCATTGTAACTATGGTTTATTTAAATTTTATCACATTGAATCCGGGCGTAGCGTCGGGTCAAATTTACACAATCTCGTCGACCTTTAATCTTGTTTCAGATAGCTAAAACGAGTTTTGTTAATTCTCGGAACTACTATTATTGTTGTTACATCTTGTTGTTTTATTTAAGGCTATCAATTAAAATGGAGCTCTGTTGATAACCATATATATGATCACTCACCAATGTATAAATATAATACTATAATATATTTATATATTTTACAAATTATAAGCGATCTTTAAAAAAATGGAATGAATTAGTTTATAAAAGAAGGTGTACTTTAGGGTTCATACGATCAAGAATATAAAAGAACCACAAATAGGTTCTAATATAATATTCTATGAGTATTGACAAAAAAAATGATCTATCAAGTTCATCTTATGACGTATCATTATTGAAACAAATGCATAATAAATAACATACATTTTTATAATTATTAAATAACATTATTAGGCAGGTTTCTGTGAAATAATATAAAGTTTATACAAATCCACGCACTAAAAGTAAAAAAATACTGAATTGGGGTTTTCATTTAACAACTATAGAGATATCAGATATTTTCGAAGTCTGAGCCAGTCAATGCAAAGCAAAGCAAATCTATTTCGATTAGGGGTTCCGTATAGCAAAATATTGTGTTGTTTTTACTTACTTACGTATTTTGTTAGGTTAACACTAAAATAAATACGAATAATATTTACGTTTCCACAATATCAACTCATTTTATCAACCGTAAAAATAAGTTCGTTTCATATTATTTTTTAACATTTTATCGAAAACAAGTTTATGGTAGTTAAACTGACACAAAGGGTAACTAAAACTTGTGTACTTCTGAAACTCATCTTTCCCAAACATTTTCTTTCGAAAATCGTTTCGTAAAAATATTAATAAATATCACTAACTCCTCCATCACTGTTTCGCGACAAATTAACATTAAGAAAAAATATTATTATGTAATTTGAATAATCCGTTAAATATAAATTAATCAATAGTTGTCTATAAGTCTTATAGTAAATAAATGGTTAAAATTAATTCATTACTTTGAGAGTAATCGCCCAAAACTAAACAAACAAAAAAAAACAAAAGTCTAGACATACTATTTAAATATTATGTTTAAACAAAAAGTACCTACAATATTACTAACTCAAATATGAGATTAATGGAGGAACGCTTGTGGCATTGTCAATCACTCCCATTAGGTATTTCCCAATCATGCGGCGCGCAATGAAATTGGCATAATATGTAAGAATATACTAATATGTAAAACCTAAGAATTTGGTTTTTGGTCGTTCAAAGGCGGGCCGGAGTCGCGGGCATTTCTAGTTGATGTAACTACCTATAATATTAGAGTTCATACCTTGTCATATTTTGCAGTTCCAATAATATTAAATACAAACATGTCGAATTGATAACCTTTTTTAAAGTCGGTTAAAAATTGACATCTGTCAAACTGACATCTGATACACCGGTACCTAAAACTTAAATGAATCCAGAATAATAGTGATAACGAACTAGGTGAAACGAATATATGTATATTGTGTATATAGTGTACATACATGGGCAGGGATGTGGCTTGAGATGTGTTACGTATATAGATGTACTGTTTTTACTAAATAAATATAAAAATGCTTATTTGTTTCTATGATGAAATTTATACTATAATCGCATTCCGCGGTGAGTCTCCTCTCACCGTCTGCAGCGCAGCGTAATTTTCTTTATATTGCATTCCAGCAGCGCCACCGCTCGACTTTAAAGTAGGTTGCATTGCATGTAACTATCGCTACTGTTTAACTTAGAAGTGATAAAAAATTGACACATATGCATAGTTTATGGTACTTGCGCGCCACAGATATGTATATAACGATAAAAGTTTCGTAATAATTTTATTATCCGTGATCCATTTTATAATAAAACTAATAACTAAACTGGGTAAGTTTATTTTTCATTTAACCGGTTTAATACACAGGAAAATTTTGGGAGAAAACTCGATCAAGTACATTTTGTGGCAGTAAATAAGGTATTTGGACCTAGAGAGTTAACGGTTTCATCGTGTTTGCAGATGCGAGTATATGCGTGTGTGCGTGCGCGACTCTCACATACACGCACACACAGCCAATCTTCGTACTCGCGACGCGGCCATTGAACCGAATACTCGAGGAATTTCTCTACTGTCGCTAAGTTAGACAAAAAAAAATCACCTTGAAGGGTTGAAACTCGTTGACCTTTTTACTTTTTGGGCAATGTTTATATTTTTTTATTCACCTGTTCATGTTTACTTTTGCTCGAATTATGTAACTAATTGGTGGGTACCCTACCTAACGGTTTACTTCAAAAAATATTGCTTTAAATAATCCAAGCAATAGAGGATATTTCTCAATCCTAAGCATACGGTAGCATACCAGACTAGGGTGCGGTTATTTTACGACACGAATCGCACAGTATTACATCAATCGTTAATCGACAATGTTACAATATGCACGTCCTTAATACCTACTATAAAGTCCTGTGAATCATCTCTTTGTTAGCTTAATTAAGGAAAACATTTCAATTTTACAAACATATTAATTAATCAATGCCTTATTAGGTTAGGTCATGTTATATTAGTTTTATTAAATGAATTTATAAATCTAAGATACATTCTTTTATCGTCTACATTGTGCTAATATTCTTGTTCATTCCCTCGTTGATATTTTACTAATAAAAGATTGCATCACTCTGCGTTCACTTCTAGAATTTCGACATTTGAATGAGTTGCAAAATAAATAAACATCCGGCTGCAATTTATGTTATACATATATGTCATTCAGCGCGTTCGGAGAAAAAAATATTAGCACAAGCAATATTTACAGCGGACGAGTCTAATCCATTGTAGATAGAATATTACCATACTATTTGTGATATTGATAACATATTAAATTTTATTCTATTAAATTTTAATATGTTAAATATGTAACGGTACAATTGAAAATAAGAAAGTGTACGTAAGATACGAATGATTGCGCGTCACTGCACGCTGCAGTTTGCAGTGGGGCCACGGCGGCAGCGGTGGCGGCGGCGGCGGCGTGTATACAATAGGCGACTGAGAGCGGCGCGGCGAACGGCGACCTTGAGTCCGTGCCGGTCCGCGGACGTTCGTTGAACGCAGGCCGTCCCTCGCACTCCTTCGCCCAGCCGCCATCGCAACTCGTTCTAACCACAATTATGCGTAATTTTACTAAATTATATTTAGAATTAGCAGTTCTTAATTATAGAAAACCACTACATCGTGCGTCTCGATGACTCATAATTTTAATTTCAGCACCAGTGATAAGAATAATGTCTCACTATAATTATGAAGAGAAAATGTATATTTAAGGTTCTAAATGTGAAGGTTTCTTTTGTGTTGTCTTTATAATGTTATTGTACATTTTTTGTTTGATTTTATTCTGCTAATGCTAAGTATAGCTAAATGTGAGTGAGCGTGTGTGTGTTTATTGCTGCGTCTGTTGTAACGGCTTAACGGACTTAATGAAATTCGTATTGGTTACAACCAATCTGAATCACGTTGATACTAAAAGACACACACAAGGCTAAGGTAAATATGACAAAGTATGAACTTTAATAATTAGAGTTAAAATATTCTACATCTATTTGTGATGTATGTAAAATTACATATCGAAAATAGATTTGCTTTGCTTTGCGTCAGCAAGTAAATGTTGAAAAAAAATATCGAAATTAAATATGTATTTTAACTACATAATAATATATATATATAGAAATAATATAGAAGAAAAAAGTTATAAAAACAGTGTAATACAGAAAAAACTTAAAGGAAAACGATTTCCCCAGGCACTAAAATGTATAAAATAACTAAACAGGGGTTTTCATTTAGAATAGAGATTCGCTTGGAAGTCGGTTTTTTTTAAGTTTTTATTTTTCCATTTTGAGTGTAGACGTAATAAGCAGGTAATTTGTAAGAAGAAAGTTTAAAAAAAGTTTTATTAAAATAACATATTCAACTTGTAATTTATTTAAAATAAAAATTTAATTTCTTAAAAAACCGCTCTACCGATTTCGATAAAATTTAAATGGGACCACCTGGGAAATATACAGATATTCGAAACAAAAAAAAAATTCAAATCGGTTAATAAATTACGGAGTTCTGAGGTAACAAACAAAAAAAACTGCAGAATTGAAAACCTCCTCCTTTTTGAAGTCGGTTGAAAAACAAATGATCTCATGGGACCCGTAAATTTTTTTTTCGGAATAAAAAGTTACCTAATGTGCTATTCCAGACTATAATGTATCTCTGCCTTTTATCCAGATCTGTTCAGCCGTTCTGGCGTTATAGAGTAACAAACGTCCATCCATCCAAACTTTCGTAATTATTTTTAATTCGTACTTACAATATTAGGTAATGGGATTATTTTTAAAACACACATTACATTTATTCCTCTGGAACATGGTCTTATTTGACACTATGACAATTAAAGTTTATTTAAACTTTCTATTTCATACATATTATGTCTTTTGTTTAATAAATGAATTAAACAACAAAATATATTATCGAGATTAAAACACAAATTTAGATATGTCATACATTTTTTGTCGATCTCGCAGTTCATTGACCACTGAGATGTCGGGGCTTGTCCTCGAAGACGGTGTTATTTAAGAAACAAAGGATTAAAAGCGACCGTTTACTTTACATTTAAGGTTAAATAAAAAATATTGTCAAAACAAGCGTAACGAGAGAAGTTGCTGCATTATTTTCGCACTAGTGGATGCGTGGGGCCCGCAGGGCGGCGCGTGCGTTGACCGCGCAGGCGCACCTCGCACAAACAGATATTACAATAACAAACTAACAATAAATGTATATTTCATATTCATATTTAGGAAAAAAATTGTTGACAGGTTGAATATAATTACGACTTATCATGATAAATCTCTGATAAAAATTCTAACTAAAAGCGTAAGATTTCTTTAACGCAGTAAAACAATCGGGGCAGTAAACAGGATGCCGAGGGATTTTCCTCATTGAATTAGTGACTGGTTAAAACGACTGCGAAGCACGTTTGCATCTGCTACGAGTAGGTAGGTAATTCTTTTACAAATTATACGCCACATAGGTACTCTATTTCTACTTCACGAGTATATATATTGTCAACTCACTACAGTGAAACTAGAAGATGCGTGTACTAAATCATTTTTATTGCTAGCTCGCTGCATAGATACTGGCCTTCGTTTCAATCTTACACACGCAGTCATATTCAATAAATCTTATACAATTACACGATATGACCGTTTTAACAGCCCAAATAAGTTGGCATGTGCAATAAAGTAATAAACATATTTACGATAGCATGGGTATGTATCGTCTGTATACAGAATGTTACGTAGTAAGACAATAATGAACTCAAATAGTGTTGATAGCTCTCAGTTAGAACTGATTTAGACATTTTATAACTTTCATGGATGTCCATTTTCTTTGTACCATAATAATATTGTATCTATAATCGCGAAACGAATATCGCTAATACTTATAGCCAGTACTGAGTAGCTTCTATAAAATAAAAATATTTTTTTCTTTTTTATACGTTATTCTTAAGATGGAAAATTTAAGTTTAAACCTACACTTATTTTTCTCTACGAATAAAATTAATGTAACATTTTTCGTAGTAATCTCAACAATTAGCACAGGTTTGTTAAAAAATACTCATTGCCTAACAATTAGTATATCCTGAAGTATAGTGCACCTGTTCTATGAATTCAAAAGTAGAACACCTACTCGTAGGTCATTAAACTTGTCCTAGTTAGTCGATACACCCACGTATAAGTAATAGATTACTGAACTTATGAAAGTACCCTGATAAATGCTTACAGAAATATTTACGTAAAAATAAGTCTGGCGACACGTTTGGCTCAGTTTGTAGTGACCCTACTTGCTGTACCAGCGGTCGCCGGTTCGAGTCCCACTGGAGGGACATTCATTTGTGTGATGAGCACGAATGTTTGTACTCAAGTCATGGGTGTCTATATTTATAATATGTATGTATTTAAAGTTATACAAATGTAGTGTATCAACAATCTGGTGTCCATAATACAAGCCGTAGCTTACCATGAACTAGATGGTGCTGTGTGTTAATGTCCCAACATATTTATTTAAGTAGTAGTACTTAATATAATGTAGTAAAGCGTCGAGGCTGTTTTAAGTAGCTATTTTCTTCGCCGATTTCTTACTTTTCCACTTTAATGTATTATTTAAGCCTCTATTGTGTCTCGAAAGAGTAAAATTTTGAAATCACCAGAACACAGTGTAACAATTATAACTTTGCCAATTCTTTTCATCCCTTTTGAGTTTATTTAAACAAAATGTTTCCTTATTGTTTTTCCATGTAGATATAAAAATATGCTCTTGGTTCTCTGGATTGGTTTGGGCGATGATGAGCGGTCCGTAAGGACATGTAGTGCATTCTACTATAGTAACGTCTGCATCATAGATTATTACTAATTACTATTAATTTCCCAGTTCCCTACTAAATATATACCACATCTAAGCTACCATAATAATATGCTCAAAATACCAGGTATTAAGGCGCCTTCGGTTCGGGCGTTTGAACTTAGCGTTGACGAAAAGTCAAGACATGTCAAGATAGCTTTATAAATTTGTTACAGTGCTATGTGCCATTAGTCAATTCCTATATTGATCAAAATAGATAACCGGTATAAGTGAATCAAAGTAGGCGGCACCCTTTATAGGTGCACCTACTTGAAATTCTCATAAAACTATTTAAAGATTTCAATACATGCGTAATTGATCTGGCGTTTAACAGGATGGCTTGATCTCATCGATCACTGATTTTCAGTTAAATAACCTCATTTCTATATACTAAACTTTATTTATATAACTAAACGATAAATCATATAAATATAATTTTAATATCTATAGATCATGAACGAATAGATATTTTGACTTGAGTGTTGAGACCTATTTATTAAAAATATGTGTAGGTACCATCATTTCGGACTACGTCCTTTTTTTGAAAAACTAAAAAAAAAAAAACGGAAATTGTAACGCCAAAATTTTCGGACTTACTCAATATTTTAATACTAGCGACTCACCCTCTCTTCGCTAGGGTTCGTCCCTATAGGTACGTTTTAACGGTTAGTATAGATTTCTCTGAAATGAGATATTTTCCGGCAGTAAAATGTATCCTATATGTTAACCCTGATAACCAGCTATCATCATACCAAATTTCATCAAAATCTGTCCAGTGGTTTTCTCGTGATGCGTTTACAGACAGACATACAGACAAAAAAATTAAAAACTATAGACTCTGTATAACACACGACTCTGTACAACGACAATAAAGAAAGATAAAAACATTATTAAAAAGATTTTCCAAAAAATATTTATACGAGTAGACTTCTGTATCGACAATAATTACTATTTCAAAAAGATATACCAAAAAATATTTAATGTACAATTTCGACTCAGTTATAATTTTATTACATGTATAGGTCACATTTGTTGGATGTGTGAAAGTGTTTTTAGCGTTTGATAATAATAATCAGATCGATAGCACTACCCACAAAAGTATATCATGTGTTAACCCTGAATCGTGATATTGTGCATACAAAACTAACTTAATGCACTGATTTATAATTAATTGTACGCTAAATGATGGTCTTATCTTTATAATCGCAATTCTTACCTTAATAATGGCAATATGTATATAACACGAAGATCTTGTGAAATTCATTAGCCACGTAACCACAACACAATATATTCTTCATCCATGCGAATTAAGTATTTAAGGTCAGTTTTATCAAGTCCTATAAAATTATAATTGCTAAGTAAACAGTACATTTAGTGTATTATATTTAAAAATACATGGTCACTAGACAAATATGATCAAGCGATTGAAGTTCTAGTAGATTATTGTGATATCGGGCGATGTAACAAGTGGTGCATCTCGATGCGAGGGGCGATCGATAAGAGGTTTGTAGGCGGCATGCCCCCCGGGCAGTACCCCGCGCCGCTCCTGTTCGCCTGTGGAGGATGCGAGCCGGCATACGGCGCCCACCCGCTTACAACCCTATTCCCAGACACCCCTAATATCATTAATGTCCTGCTCTCTCACCTGAAATATGCAGTAAACATCATATTTATTACTAATTCTAATTCAAATGTCATCGTGCTAATAAACATCTATAAAATACTTTCTTATGGTATGATCAACTATTATTATTTCCGGTTATTGACCCTGTAGCTTGCTTATTATTAATTATTGTGGGAGAATGGTAGTATAGGCGCTGCAAAAATGAATAGTTGATGACATAATATTATACGTTATGTAATAAGTTCAAATATGTACTGTTCCTACAGTGTTCTTTAAGAAACTACTGTAGAATAATGAGATTTACTGGAATATAAAAGCAGCGCTTATTGGTTAAACGAATTATTAAATAAAACTATCTTTTCGGATTATTTCGCGGATTTATTTTGATTTTTTGGTTCCCGACGTTTCGAATGCTTTACAGCATCCATGGTCACGGGAGAGACTGAGGTGTTACATGTCTTAAAGATATAGTTGTTACAGACAGCCTACCCACAATTAACAAAAACAAATGTTTTCGTCGGGAACCAAAAAATCAAAATAAATCCGCGAAATAATCCGAAAAGATAGTTTTATTTAATAATGTCAAACATTCGCGTAAATCTAAGAAAGTATTATGGTTAAACGAAGTCACTATACAGCAAAATATCGGATTTAATATAAAAATATTTGTTTATAAACAACTTTTTCAGTACCAATAGAAGGCATAAAAAGCAGCCCTTTCTTTTTTTAAATTATTTATTAAAAAAATATAGTGCTTGAGGATAAATACAATAATAATATAATTATTCATTGAAGTATGTTTATGATAATCGCTACATACTACTGGTCAGTGCTCGGTTACAAATGAATAAGTGTGACAGGAATTTTCCGTTAATCCACAGTACCTAAACCTACTTCTCTATCCCATTTATGTTTTATTATGCCACAATAATAAAAAAGTCATTTTAACAAAGTATTATATAAAATACATCAATTTTTATGATAAACATTTTGTTACTATGTCCACTTAATTTGCAACTTGAAAACAAAAGCAAATTAGATCGAATGCATTCTCTTATAGATGTAAAACAGTGACAATTCATTTGGCGGCAGTTGGCTTGATGGTTGCTCTTAATCTGTGTAGGCATAACAATTCTGAGAACGACTGTTACATGAATGCAAACAACACAATGGCGTCGTTTTATTAAAGAACAGCGGGTTCGTACTCTGTGCATTACTTCACTTCAGAGATGGAGCGCGGTTCATCATTAGTCACTCGAAATGATTCTAGTTACGTCACGATTACTGGGAAATGAGATAAATCACGTCGACTTTCACCAAGTCGTTAACCTGAAATATAGCCGAATGCATTATTACGTGAAATAACATCATTTATGTAAATGGTAATTAATTACATAAGTGGAGAACAATTAGCATTTTTTTACATTTTTGGACAGCCTTTCATTTTACACATAAATGTTTAGCTTAATTTACCTTTTTTAACTTTCCTTTTGTTTTGTTTTGGATATGTTGTTGGGACATGTTGGAACATTGACATAACTTTTTTATTTATAAACCGATCAAAATAAAACAATTGTTTAATGTTAAGTAAAACTTATAATACATACAACTAAGTAATTCGTGAAAACCGCACCTAAATCGGTTAAGCTGTTTCTCAGATTAGCGCGCACAAACGCACAGATAAAAAAGACAAAAATTCTAAAAATCATTGTTTTGGATTGTATTGCCATAATAAAGACCCGCAATAATAATTTTTCTCAAACATCTTCCATAAACAGCGATTAATTACATACACTTTTATTATACATGTATAGACTAGCAGAACCCGCGTCTCCGCTCGCGCTACAACTACAAAAAAAAACACTGGCTGTTAGTAATAATTTGATGGCTGTAATGATTTTCAAATGTGTATGAGTGTGGATACGTATGATTTTGATTCGCGCACCGAGGGTTCCGTAGCGCCGAATATTGTGTTGTTTTTACTAACATAACGTTTTCGATTGCGAATGTATTGACATATTTTATTATTTGCAAAATGTCATGTAAAAACAGTGACAGATTTTCTTACCAACTTTACCACCCATTTTTGCCCCCTTACGGGATGAATTACTAAAATACTTATTAAAATCCGTATTTATTTAATTGAATTGAAGATCATTAATATCAAGTTTTAAGTAATTTTGATCATAAAATAAATTTTTAGACCGTTTTTTTACATTATAGCCCTTCAAATTCTTATAAAATATATATAATATATATATTTTATAAGAATTTAAAAAAAATGATATACGTATTGTTTTATTTTTAATTTTAAAGGTAGGTTTCATAGAAACTTATATCCCCTATTTTACCTCCTTATGGGAAGAATTTCGAAAAATGCTAAAACATGTATTTATTTACTAATTGTATTGAAGAACATTAATACCAAGTTTCAAGTAATTCTGATCATAAATAATTGTTTGGGTTGTGTTATAACGTGTTTATCTGAGGAAATGAGATAATCTCCCGCAATAAAAGTAGCCTATATCACTGTCCAGCTCTCCTTGACATAAAAATCACCCCAATCTGTCACTCCATTTTGACGTGAAAAAAATACAAACAAACAAACACACTTTCACGTTTACAATATTTTATATATAAGTATGGATTATTAAAACAGGGTTTGTCACTAATGTTTTATACATCTGTAATCAATCATACGTTGCACATGTATGTATTATAAAATTATAATGAAATACCATGCCATAAGATAAAGAATAGATAACCGTAGAAAATAATATTAACATTAGTATTTATGAGCTGTTTTTAAATAACAACAAAATAATAATATCAAGTGATTCATAAATTGTTTGTAATTTGCAGGTATGTGGAATTACGTCTTTTCGTATCTAATACAGTAAGTAAACGGTTTTGGGAAAGTTTCACTATATGGGAAACAATAGTATGAATTCACATCATGGAATTGACATCAAGATAGAACAAGACAATAAAACAAAACAATTTAGTACATTTTCCTCCTGTTTGTCAACGGATTTTCTATATAACGGAATCTTTGAACGCAATTTTTACCCACCTTTAGCACACTTATAAAGGACCGATGGCTATACAATAATTTATTTAAAAAATAATAATTTAAAGAATTACAAAAAACACACTTTTTAAAGCATATCACACTAAAAAATTGAAAATAAATTATAGTTTAAAAAACTTCAAATTAACCGAACTAAAATGTAAAATATAATTTTTAGTTTATGGATTAACGAGAAAATTAATGTTATTGTGAAACAAGCGTGGGGTGCTCGATATCAGTTGTTATAAATATTCCATTGGTACGATTTTTAATCACTATAATCTTATACTAAAAATTATTTTTAACTTATTTATTTATTCTTATTTCTTTTCTTATTTTTATATTGTTTCTTGTTATTTTTAAATTGCTTATCAGCAATATTTTCACAGGAAAATACATTAATAATATATGGTCTGATATTTCAGTGAAATTACTTTAACATGTCGTAATTCATATAAATAACTTTTTATCTAAATAATCTTGATTGATGCCATACAGAAAACATTTATAATTAGTGCCATTAAGTATGACCGTTATCTCTTGCTCTTTGATGTCATTACATAGCGTTTGCAAATGGTGCATGTAGCGTATTGAATCACGGGTCATGGTATCGTTTTGCAAAACATGTGGATTTGTGTGGGGGTATCTGTAAGCCACGTGTCTCGTTACCTCATTAATATCGTATAATTTAATATAATTATGCCACTAACTAACATTGTTATTAATTGCACATTTATTGCATTTTATTATCGGAAAATTATAACATGATTATTCTACGCATGTAAAGTAGGTGTGTATTTACTACTGGCAAATAAAATTAGAATGAATTAATTGTCATATGGCTAAACTAAAAGTAATAGTAATTAAATCTTAAATGGTAGCAAGTAGTTTGTCTAATGAAAACTAAAATAAATGAAAAATCTAAAGTAAAAAATTACATATTGTACACACAGGGATATTTGTTATTCAAAATGTAAACTAAACAGGCAAAAATATGTAAATTTGTCTGACATGCATGCTTCATAAAAATTCGCATGCATTGTATATTAAAAATATAGTAGCATAAAAAAATTGGCAAATATTTTTCAATTCATAATTTTAAACGCTACCGATCTCGTTGTTGGATATAGTCGCATGTTGAAATGTAATAAGCTAGCGTAAAACTGTAACAATTTTTATACACAAAAATTAGATGTAAATCCTTTGAAATTTTGTGTGAAGGCGTTTCGTGAGATGGTTGACTTTAGATATACTAGCGTTTTCCTCCGTATACTAAAACCTTCCCCGAAACACGCTGCATCTTATGGTAAGAGTATTATTCCGATCGGTTCAGGAGTTATCGCAGTATAACCGAACAAAAAAGCGGTTCTTCATTTATTAGTATAGAGTACCTGGGCGACCGAGCTTTGCTCGGAGTTTTAGGCCAAAACAAACTAAGAATTTGAATAAATACAAAAAAAAACAAAATTAAAAACTTTGTGTCCGACCGGGATTCGAACCCAGATACCTGTGGTTGTCAAACTTACGCATTGGCCGCTTGACCATGATGCTTATATCTGAGCGTGCGAAATTATCGAACATAATATTTTGCGTGGAATTATTAATTTATTGAAATAATGCAAAAGAAATCATAAAAATAATAAAGCTCTATTTATTTATTCATTTATTTATTATAAAGGCTTACTAACTAAATTTACATAAAAACATTTATTTAACATTATAATTTTACCTATTTGTATATAAATTTAATTTAAAAGTATGCACAGCTTTTTATAAAAGTATTCCATTAAAATTTTATTTGGTTAAGAGTATATAAGGAGCCATTTTAGTTGTACAATAAAAAAATGTCTATATCACATTGCTGAAATATAAAATTATATAATTTAGTGACTATTGATAACCTTATAATTTTTTAACTAATAATTTTGTAATCTGGAATTAAATTATTTTAAAAATCTTCATATTATTTGAAATGATATTGTATATATATAAATTATCATTAACAAATAAATAAATAAACAATCACAATAAATTAAATAATTCAATTGAGTAAATACTAAACATTTCACAATAATAA